ACTTGGGTGATTCTTAGGGGCTAGAACCTCTTGATAGATTAAAGTCCAGACCTCCCGTGATAGTTAAATAAAGAAAGGAGATTATTTCTGCTTATAATCCCTCTCTTTTTCATAAGTCCGCCAATACTTACGAAATAAAAAGAGGCCTGCACATCAGGAGGGCAACAGTGGTAGTAGTAGTGTCAAGGCCCGCTTGCGGACTGCTGGTAATGAGTTAGGTGGGTTGCTTTCATGCCTGAGCTTCCGCTCGCGTTTCCGTCGGCGTCGGCCTCTAATCGTGGGACATCCGATGGGAACTGCATATGACGTCATGACGATTTTTGACGAGGAGATCTGTTGAAAAGAAAAGAAGGAAGAGCGGGGAGAGATACTCTGGACAGTATATATAGGCGCTGTGAGGCAGACTTGGTCTTGGCACTAGGTCCGAGAGTTAGCGTGCCTGATGGCGTTGCACAAAGGTATCCCTCACGTCTTTGTTTGTCATTCCGTCTGGGTGTTTTGCTATATTCTATACTACCACCCTTAATTGAGTTGGTCGAGGGAAATGATAAATGGGCCTACGTCGATTGATGTGGATGGCATTGGCCGGATACATGGCCCATTACGTGACCAGCTAGCTGGAGATTAGGTCTGGTGATAACTAGAACCCTCCTTGTTGTGCCCCTCGGATTTCATTCATTTTATCAATTTTTGCTTCCTTTCTCATTGACCTCATTCAAGGATTTAACCAGCGTGCGGTGTAGTTATGAAGAAACAAAGAGCTCCGTGACCGTAGTTTCTTTGCTATGACTCCGATCTTTCGACAACTTTTCCATCTTCAGTGACTTTGAATCCCTCGTGAATATACCTGATGGCTGTCGACCAGTCAGCACAACCCATGGAGTCAGGTAAAAGGGGAATTATACCAGATGTGGCCAGTGTAACACTATCCGCATTATTCTGTGACTTCCTTAAAACTATACTCGGCCCTTCCTTTGCCAGTTTCCAGTATCATTTCCATGTATACTTCACCGTGAGGAGGGTTGACGGGTCCATATCACGAGTCTTGCTTCTATTATAAATATGTATCAACTTGTGCAGAATCACTTTGTCCAGAAGTGACAGTATATTAATAGAGTTTAGTAATATATTCATCTTCAGCAGTCTCTTAATAAAAGTATTATAAAATTAAGCCTTTCTCAGGATGTTATAAATTCTTTTAATCTTGTCTTTTCTTATCTAACCAATAAACCATGGACAGAGCTGTATCTGGGATAGCTTGTCATAGCCAGATAACAGAGTGTAGGCTACCATGAGTCCTGTGCTCTTCCATAACTTGTATAATTCCCCTTTATTGAGCACTTTATTAATATCTATATTATGAGTGTTAGCCAGGAAAGTTCTGCAGGGGCCGCCTTGTTGTTGCAAAACATGCCTTTATCCTTTGTTATATCATTCACTGCCTGACCTAGCTTCAAAGTGATTGAAATCACAGTACACTATAATCTAATCATCATTTAGCTAGGACAGAAACACTCAACATAATAGATCTGGTTCGAAGCCTCACTGTTTCAAAATCTGGTGTCTGATTCTTTACATCCTTATTTATAGCGAGGAGATTTCTGAGGTTTTCTAGAACAGTCAGATTCACCTAACACCAACCAACTCCATGACTAGAACAAGGAGTAATACTCTGTACAAGACCTAGTTAGTTATTACTTAGCTCTTCTCTATCCTTCAGGAATATCTATCTGAGTATATTCTTAATATTCTTGCTATTCTTGCCCAGGTCTTTATTATTTAAGATCTTGTTAATTATCTCTAGTTTACTACTTATCATGTTAAAGATACCTGATAGGGCATCCGAGATTATGATTCTAAGTTCTAGGATCTAAGATTTGTGTATCTTTTAGGGACTATTAAATAGATGTATCTGACTCACTGTCTGTTTTGCATGACTTGTCAAGTTTTCAGCCTTTTTTTGTGCTGGCTAGACTGACTAGGCCCAAGACACAAGATAGTGCTTTGAAAAACAACATAGATTCAGATTAATGAGACGGGTAGCTCCCCAGAGAGCAATATATAGAAATATGGCAAGTAGATGTCGAGAGAAAAGTTGCTGGTTAATTCTTCATCGCATGGTGTGTTGGGCCATTTTATATGTACTCTTATGCCTTCAAACGTCCAACGTCCGAAGGTTTTGGCAACTGGCGGATCTACGAGGGCTACGAAGGGCTACGAAGCTACAAATCTACGAAGGCTACGCCAGGAAGGTTTTGGCAACTGGCAGGAACTACAGCGGGAATAGCTTCACGTTTGGCGAAAATCAGGTGGAAATATATTTAGGTGTCTCCTTAGTCTAGAACCCGGGGCCTTCGGCCACCGACGACTCGGAAGGATCCCCGAAAGGGTGATATACTCGAGGATAATCCAACGATTTTTTCATTCGATCTTGTGTTGGTTAATGTTGGTTCACCACTCCCAGATGTCTTGTATAGTCGATCAAGGATGTCAATGTAGGTAGAAAAGTCTGCCTTGGCGCTTGGTCAATTTGACTTGCAGACTGCCAATGGTATACATCCAAATATGCCGTCGTACTAATGCAACAGCGGGTATCATCCGGGTGCGTCGCCCTGCGATAATGTGCCAACTAAACACCAGCAGTGGTGGCTGACATTAGATAGGAGACTCGCCCAATAGCAAAGACTTGGAACCTAGTATGCTGCATATAAGAAAACTGTGCACAGGACGTGTACTGATAAGACATGAGATTTGGGGTCAGTTTGATCGGGCTTGATATAACCGATATCCCAGCATATTTTGCTATACGTCAATACTATCCCCATTCATTCAAACCATGCAACTTCAAACATCACATCTCATCGTGTTGTAATCGATCATTGGAAATCGGTACAAATGTTACATGAGAGGGGCTTAACACTCATCATACATCTCTTTCAAGACGCATCAAACACAGAGCTCAAAGGACTAAGCCCTATAGAATGCTCCCTAGCTTGCGGAAGCTGGCATTTGGCAACCTATTAGGCTTTGCACGTTCTAGAGCATTGCGGGACACGGGGACGACAGTTCCCGTGGACTCTCAAACGACGTTGTCTTTACATCTGATGTCTTGTGTCAGCTGGGAAACCATGTAAAACAGGATGATAAAGCAACTTACCACTTGCATTGGACATCGGACAGCACGTAGCATGCTCTATGGAATACCTTCATCGACCGTCTGCCGGGGTTCCGTGAAAGACAGTCTATGCCATGCTACGAGTAAAAAACTCGATCTTTTGCGACCTGGCAAGATTATTACTCTGGTGCTTTTACTCTGATGCTTTTCAGTCTCCATGTAATGATGTGCGCTGGTCGGCTTCGCAAATAGGCGTATTCTCTGATCAGCTAGAGATTGCTTTGACGGATGAATAACAGGCCAGCAGAACCAAGCCTCCTTATGTCCAACGAATTTTAATCGAAGAGCACGTTGGCAACCAGAGGCCGATGAAAGAACGAGTGGAATTGCCGACCAAATAAAATCCTTGCACTTGGGGCTAGCAACAATGTGTCCTGAACAATCACCAATACTATGCACCCACAGTCAGACGACGCAGCCAGTATCGGCTAAAATGCCCCCGTCCAGGATAGAGGGCCGTCCCGTTCAGAGCCAATTCCTATAGGTTTCAGTCTATAAAAATATCCTAGTCTAACACGTTTACAGCTAATGCATTGCAGAAGTCACACGAGATCCCACCAAGAACACCCCACTTCTAGCTAGTCGGAGGATGCTCTTGGATCGTGGGCGAAATCAGTTGGAAGAATGTGGCAAGGCGGCATTGACTAATTTTTGGTTTTTCCCGGTAACCCTGTCCATTTCGTCTTAACTAGGGACGATATTAATATACGGTTCTAGAGACCTATACTTGGCGGGTTGTGGCTTGTACCCGGGGCGAAGTATCCCAGCAAACAATCAAACGGGTAATAGTCAACAGGAAAGAGAGCCCACCAGCTGACAGGTGAGAGGGTCGTGAAATCCGAAGACGGGCTCCATATCAAACAGGACCAAAACCGTCGATTCACCAACGGATCTATATAAGCACTACGGATACACAGCCGAGGCAATCGAAGCAAAGCCTTCGACACTAAGCACCCGCCAAGAGGAGGCCATCCATTATGGGCCTGATCGGCGGGTAAGGATTCGAAGGATGCAGTGACCAGCCCAGATAGCTCTTCTCTTGCCCCACCAGCGTCCATCCGCATGGCTCAGAGAAGGTGTGGTTATGGGCGGGTAAACTCGGGTGGATACTGAGGGGCATCGGGTTACTGCATCGGGTAGTAAGTTTGAAATGGTTATTTGATATCTGAAGTCAGCACGGATCCACTGTCTATCTGAGATAGCTGCTGCGGTCAGAACGTGAACCACTGACGCTTGGCAGTATCTATTTGAAGCTTAGTCTTGTTTCGCTTCTGGAGTAGTCTGGAAGAAATCCGGTTGAGGACAGCTTACACTTAAGGTTGGATTTGACACTGACCAGAGGGCAATGCATTATCTCGTCTGTATGTAGCTGCACACCTGCCTGACGAGCTTGTTATACCTGTTTTGAGGATAAGTATATTTTTCTTATTTTATTTTTATTGCATGTCATCAAAGATAACCACTCTAGTTGATTGCCGATCGGACATCTGGACAACTCACCACGGCTCGTCTCCGAGCAGTGGGGCACTCGTGAAAATAACATATCCTAAACCACAATGCGGAGGAAATAGCCATTATCAATGATGAAAATTCTGAAATCATATCTAGTGCAATCCCATCCCAACCTGTTGGCCATCCCATGTCCCCCCCCCCACACTGCAGATAAATACACCCGCTAGCTATGCTGCCACGCAGCGTGGAATGGACCCCCTTACGTCTCGGGTGGAGGGACTGCGCAAGCTAGTCTATTTTTATCGCATCTATCTTCTTTACTTTCAAATTCTTCAATGTGATTGACAATGGCCGAAGGATGGACGTTGGGGGCGAAATATATTTGCATACGCGTGTGGAATACACCCAGTATGTCGTCTAAAATATAGTACAGTATAGTGCAGGCTCAAAACACAACAACAGATCAATCATTGGGTAGTATAAATCAGATATCCACATAAGCGTCAAGGTAGGAAGTCGTCCAGACGTGTGTTCCTCGTTTCGGCGTCATATCCGTATCCGTATCCGTATTCATATCCTGTCCTTCCTTTCATCCTCGATCTTTTCCGATGCAATACGGTTTCAAAGCCAGCTTCCGAAAATAGCAAAAGATATATGTACTTCGCTTGATGAAATCAAATCGCGTATATTAATCATGTCCACTTTGATGGCGTCGTTTTCGCGCGAGTCCTGCTCGTGGATAAGAAAGACGATCGTTCGGCTACCGCTTCGTCGCCACGAGCATATTGCTCAGTCGCTTCCAGCGCGCTGATCCGCCGTCGAGACTTGTTTTGGATTTGGCGGAGTCGTTGGTTGATGAGCGTGGACGGCCGACGATGGCTTCGTGGTCGGCGAGTACGTCTTCGAGTCGAACGTCTGAGGCGGAGCGTCGGAGGTGGGAAATGTCCTCTGGTTCGAGGATTTCGACAAATTTGGAGGGCATGGCGTGCATTGTATATGATTTATATATGTATCTGGAGATATATATCGACAGAGTGGTATGTTGATGCAGTGGTGGTGGGGTAGTCACGGGACTTCTTGGACCCTAGAAGAGGTCACGTTGAGAGAGATAGAGCGAGGAAGATGAAAATTTAATGTGAGCAAAAGCCACGATGGAAAGATAGTGTATTCATGGAGTCGGCAGAGAGACGCGGATGATATTTCCGTTGGTGACCAGGGTGGGAAAATCGTCTAAGAATATAAGTAGAAAAGTAAGTGGATGAAAGCAATATATATATAAGATGGCGATGCTGGAGTACGCTGATCCGAGGGGCATCATCTAGTCAGCGGATCCTGGCCCCGTTGAGGGAAGGGAGCATAATAATACTCCGACTAAGAAAAGATGTTGGTCATCCCTTGAGGAAAACTTCACTAAAAGGACGGTGGCGTCCTCCGCAGGAATTATTGCTTAGTCGGAGACATCACTCGTTGCCAAATGGCCCGTTCGCTGAATGCTGCATGGTGGCGCGGTGGTGCGTGGAGGGGGGATCCATCGACAGGCATCATGAGAACCCGCGTCTCCCCCGTTCTTCGTCACTCGACAGGAGCCCTAAATGGAAAGGTGGAGGGATATCTGGTGATGGTAGAAGTGGAGAGAGCCCGAGGGGGGACCATGCTTCGGGACGAATGGGTCCTGGAGGGGGGACCGAGGTTGTAAATGGTCAGTGCTCTTCTGCAGTGTTTCTATTTCGATCTAGCGGTCTCCACTGGGGCCGACGCGTGAATCATTTCCCATTTCGAGCTGGTCCCTGGAGGGTTGGCCAATCTGAGTCGGGACGGGCCCCGTTTATGACGTACGGCCATCCTGCGGTGTGCATATCGCAAGCATGAGGGATTCAGAAACCATTCTGGTGCGGGAACTAGTGATTCTGATCTCCTGCTGCGGTGTCAGGTCTGATATCATAGCCCACTCTTCTTCGCAGACATGTAGCAGATCGTAAACTCTACCGTCCTGGATCCCGATGAGATTATTCGGTTGCTGTGGCAAGGTAGATAAAAATAATTACTGCGCCATGTCGGGCCAAGGATATCCCGCAACCTCCGTGGGATGTCCACGGTCGCATTTGCAATGAGAACATCTGTCGTGCTAGGGTTAGACCGGTGGATTTCCCAAAGAGAATATCAACATGCGGTGTTTTAATCGTAGCATAATCCGTGGCTAACAGACGACATGCGCGATGTACAACAGGACACCTTTATTGTTGGAAGTACATTACCCAAGGACAACAAGCATTCCACCATAATCTCACCACATTCCATCAATCTAGTTGTTTACTCCCGAATGGATCGCAATACCACGGATGTGGCTGGTATGCACCAAGGGACCAGAGCGCCAAACAAGACCTATCCATGGAATCTGTCCGCATCCTCCTCTTGCTACTACTGCGTGCTTATGGTACATTGAATCACCCATTGTATTAATTTGCTAGCAAGGGATATCCACCAGATGAGTTTGAACCGTGATGATGATTAGAATTGGGTATGTTGGTAACAAGCCCTTCATTCCCGTTGGCGACGAGCATTTCCATATCGGTAGAATCCGACGACCATCATACTATCCAGGGTGAGTAGGCGGTTGTACCACCTTGGTATGAGGTTCCTACCTACAATTCAGGGTCCTTTGAGTAACAATCAATACCAACGACTCCCATTCACTGTGAATTCAATGGTGCAAAAGTATCGTCCTCCGCGAAACAGCTGTCGCCCCAAGACCTCAGCTGATGCCAACATCCAACATGCGTCTCTCCGTCCTCGCCCTCGCTGCCACCACCCATGCTTTCAGCATTGGCGGCATCATCGACACGACCAGCGGACCTATACGCGGCCAGCCCTCATCCCTCCGTCCAGATGTCTCCGAATATTTAGGGATTCGCTACGCGAAACCCCCCATCGACGACCTGCGATTTGCGGCGCCCGTTCCACCGGATCGATCCACCACGGTGTTCAACGCGACAGCTTATGTATGTATGTTCCCCACGCGAATGGAAGCCATCTGACTCGAGTCTAGAGCCCGTGAGTGCTCTCGCCTGAGGACGACCAAAAGCTAAATAATCAGAGACTGTCCCGGTGACCGGATCTCAGTGGACCATGCCTTCATTGTTGGTTTACCGGGCGAAAATATCCTGTCGGCCTTTGCACAGAGAGACAATACGCTGGACGAGGACTGTCTGTCCGTGAACGTCTGGACCAAGCCCCAGCACGGCGACAGGAAGAAAGCGGTCCTCTTCTGGATCTACGGCGGAGGTACGTCCCTTCTCTCTCCGTCATACGGTCCATCCCTTGGATATTCACCCAGGTAGACTTCAAGTCCGGCAGCTCCCACACCCTCACCTACGACGGTTCCACCCTAGCCGACGAGAACGACCTCATCGTCGTCACCCCCAACACTCGCGTCAACGTCTTCGGCTACTCCGGTGCCCCAGGCCAACCCTGGAACGTCGGGCTGCGCGACACCAGGCTCGCCCTGGAATGGACGAGAGACAACATCGCCGCCTTCGGGGGCGATCCCGCCCGTATAACTGTCGGCGGCATCTCCTCGGGCGGCCTCACGGCCGACATGCTTGCCTATAGCAACCTGCACGACCCTATCGCCCACGGCTACATCCCCCATTCCGGCATCGCCAGCTCCTACCTCGCGACCGGCGCGCAAAATGACCAAGAAGACGCCACCGCAGCATGGTACAACCTCTCCTCGACCGTCGGATGCGGTGATGCCGACAGCTTCCCCGACACCACCGTCGCCTGCATGCGCGCCAAACCCTACCCCGACCTCCTCGCCGCGATGCAGCAGCACCCCACCGTGCAATTGAAGTTCAGGCCCGTCGAAGACGATGACACCGTCCCGCGGGGCTTCGCCACACTAGGCCAGAGGGGCCGTTTCGCGCACAAGCCGCTCTTAACAGGCTCGACGGACAACGAGCTTGGCTTTTTCCTCGTCGTCGCTTTTATCAAGGCCAACCTGACAACTGAGCAGGTCGCCGCCTTTCCTGTGCGTCTCCTTCAGCCGCTGATGGACCTGTTCGCCCTGGCGGCCTTCACCTGTTCGGCGGCGGAGGCGGCGCAGTACCGCGCGGATCGGGGCGTTCCCGTCTGGCGGTACCGGTATTATGGGGGGGGATATCCTAATACGGAGATGGTGCCTGTGGGGTCGGCGTACCACGGCTCGGAAGCGCCCATGGTGTTTGGGACGGCGTCGGTCGTGACGGGGATGGCTGACAGCGAGGCAGAGGCGCAGGCGGGGCGGTATATGCGGGCGGCGTGGGCGGCGTTTGCAAAGGATCCGGTGGGGGGGTTGAGTGGGCGGGAGTTTCGATGGCCGATGTTTCAGTCGGACAGTGAGTTTCTTCTTCTTCTTTCTCTCTTTTTTTTCTCCTTTTCTTTTTTCTACTGGCTTTTCCTTGTCCTCGTTGCCTTTGCTCGGGTCACCGCTGATACAGTGATAGGGCGCTCCCTGATCCAATTATCGCTCGGCAACCAGACCAAACCGACATATGTCTCCCATTTCGAGACGGACGCGATGTGTCCGGTGCTAAAGTCGTATGATAGCGTGATAGACGACCTGAACATTGTATTCACGGCGATGGGATCGGATAAGGTGGGGGGACTTATAACGAAATTGGCCGGTATGTTACAAGTATCATCTACTATTTATGTGTTGATCTAACATGGGTAGATATCTTCAACAAGCCGCTGGATAACGAGGCAGCGTTGAGGCACGCTTTGGATCGGATACACGAGATTGCAGCGTCGATACGGGGGTGATAGACATGTAGGGATTAACTCTTCAATGAAAAAATACCTGCTTTGTTCTATATATCCAGTTCTCGGGCCAAGGCATGATACATATTCCAGTAGCCGGTCATAAGCCGCCGCTGCCTTAGGATTCATATATCCAGGAGCTGGGTTTATATATATATATTCACATCCTTGAGATATAATTGACAAGATACTCCTCTCGTTTTGAAAGTGCCAGTCTGAATAACTCGACATTTCTTCGTCATAAGGATTACAAGGAGTTCTGGTGATTCATAAGTAGAATGTCAAGGGGTAGAAGAGACCGAACTATCTATAGCTCAAGACTCTAGTCACAGAAGTCTACATCTACACGCCACACAATGCATGCACATATTTCAATACTAGACACTGATACTGCAGAGGCTGTTTGATATACTGACAATGGCAGTGTCCTAACCATGTCAAGTCATGACTTCTGTTCACCCTGCAGCATCAGCATACCTTGTGTTGTTTATACATAATTCCAGTGCATAAGGTCGATATGCCGAGGATGCGAGATATGCACGGGCATAATCATCCAGACAGCCGGATATCCCTGCACAAAAAAAACCGGCGGCGATCTGATTGGCTCTCGGCATGGGACGAGCCGAGGTGGGTCTGAGTATCCCCAGATGATTGGTCGGGACCACGTGCCAAGCGACGTTTCGCAGAATCTGCAGTGGGGAAGTCGGATCGGTGCCGGGTTTAAATACCAAGCTTTCATCTGGATCCTCTGGTCGAGATTTGTTGAATGTATTATCGTTGATTTATCTATTCTACCGGTTGTTTGTTTGTTGACCGATTACTTGAATATTGTTCCAAGTCAGTCAGAATGACGGACGTGGAAAAACAGCCGGATTGTCAGATCGCCACGGACAATACCGTCGACTTTGAAGGCCCTAATGATCTGGAGAATCCCTTTAACTGGCCGCAGTGGAAGAAACTGCGCCAGTTGGTCCTCATGGCCGTCAACACCTTTATCACGTAGGTCCCTCCCTCCCATAGTGAAACACACCCGCTGAGTGGATAGACCCCTCGCCTCCTCCATGTTCGCCCCCGGTGTCGCCGGCGTCATGCGGGATTTTCGGGAATCCGACATGATGCTCGCCTCCTTTGTCGTCTCCATCTACGTGCTCGGGTACATGGTGGGCCCCTTTATCATCGCCCCGCTGTCTGAGATGTACGGCCGCGTGCCGCTCTACCACACCTGCAACGTGCTCTTCCTCATCTTCACCATCGCCTGCGCCGTCGCCCAGTCCATGCCCCAGCTCATGGTCTTCCGTCTGCTGGCTGGCATCGCTGGCGTCTGTCCCCTGACCATTGGGTCTGGCACCGTCGCCGACATGGTCCCCAAGGAGAAGCGCGCCGGCATCATGGCCATCTGGGCGCTGGGCCCGATCCTGGGCCCGGTTGTCGGCCCCGTGGCCGGCGGCTTCCTGGCGGATGCTGAAGGCTGGCGCTGGGTGTTTTGGGTGATTGCAATTGCTGTACGTTTTTATCAGTAGTGGATGATGTGAAAGGACGACGGACTGACTGACTGACTGATGTGATAGACCGGCGTCATGACCATCATGTGCATGATCTGGTACCGCGAATCCTACGCCCCCGTTATTCTCGCCCGCAAAGCCGCCCGACTGCGCAAAGCCACGGGCAACGAGGCCCTCCGCTCCGTCCATGACAAGGGCCGCATGACCCGCGAACGCTTCCTCTCCACCCTGGCCCGCCCCATCAAGCTGCTCTTCCTGTCGCCCATCGTCTCCCTCCTCGCCCTCTTCGCCGCCGTCACCTACGGCTACCTCTACCTGATGTTCACCACCCTGACCCCCATCTTCGAGAACACCTACGGCTTCTCTCCTGGCCTGGCCGGTCTCGCCTACCTGGGCTTCGGTATCGGCAGTATCATTGGTCTCGTCGTCTGCGGCTACGTGTCCAACCGCATCGCCCAGCGGGATTCCGCCAAGGGATGCTTCCGTCCGGAGTCGCGTCTGCCCCCCATGCTAGTCGGGTGCTGGGCTATCCCCGCTGGCCTCTTCTGGTACGGATGGGCGGCCGAGTACAAGGTGCACTGGATCGTGCCCATCCTGGGCACCGGCGTGTTTGCCATCGGGCTGATGACCGTGTTCATGTGCGCCAACACCTACCTGGTGGACTCCTACCTGAAATACGCCGCTTCCGTCACGGCGGCTAATACGGCGCTGCGGTCGCTCGTTGGTGCGGTGTTGCCGCTGGCCGGCCCCTCCATGTACGACGCGCTGGGCCTCGGGTGGGGGAATTCCCTGCTGGCGTTCATCTCCTTGGCGCTGTGTGTGTGTCCGGTGCTGTTCTGGCGCTATGGCGAGGCGATCCGCACGCACCCGCGGTTTCAACTGACGCTGTAGCATTCTTTCTTTGTATCTGTTTCCTGTGGTTGTACAGCATCGGCGTTCAAAATAGACTATAATAAATAATACGATTTGCATTTTAGACATTCACTATGGCTCCACATAATTGGTACAACGGATTCTCCACCAACCAGAAAACACCGTCGCGCTGGGTCCTCGACCGTCCAACGTCTGGTTGACGGTGTGTTAGAGTCTCCCAAAGTGGAGCATCATCCGAACACCGAGTTAACCCGCGACGATCTTTCCCTCTTATGGCTCACCACGTTTATCCACGGTGCCTGGCATGACAAGGTATTGTTCGGTCTTGTATCCGTCCACCGCAATAAATATATGAATGCTCCCTACTTTAACTCTCCCTCAACCTATCTCGCTCTTCATTTCACGTCAGACCAGATGATTTTTGAACCTCCTCGGCGCGTCCCCGTGCCTTCATCCGATATCCTCTCCTACCTGTTCTCCGATCCGCCCTACGATCACGATGAGCCGGTACGCTGGGCTTTCTACGGCAGAAGTCTCCCGCTGATTGAATGGTAGATGTACGTCGATGTGCACGACTGCGCGCGGTCCATCTCGTATAACCAGGCACGCCGACTCGTGCGCCAGCTTGTGGCCGGCTTGAAAGCATGGGGCGTCCAACGCGGTGACTGCGTGGTCATTCACTCGTTCAACGATGTGCCTTTCCCTTCGCTCTGAGGAATTTTAACTACCAGCTAAAATAAATATAGATCTACTACCCCATGCTCGTCCTGGCCATCGTCGGCGCTGGCGGCGTCTTCACCGGCACGAACCCCGCGTACACTCCGCACGAACTGGCCCACCACTTCACCGCGTCCGACGCCCGCTTCGTCATTTCCGAGCCGGAGATCCTCCCTGCGATCCAGGAAGCCATGAACAAGAAACATCTCCCGATGGAGAATCTAAGGGTATTCAACGCCCAGCGACAGCCTGTCCCTGCGGACCTCCTCTCGTGGGAGGACCTGTTCGCCCACGGCGAGACAGACTGGGAGTCGTTTGACGACGAGAAGACCGCGTCCGACACCCCCGCCGCGCGACTCTTCAGCAGTGGCACGACAGGCCTCCCCAAAGCGGCAACTCTCACACATCGGAATCTCGTCGCGCAGCATGAACTCGCTTTTGAGCACAATCCCCGCCCATACCAGGTATTCCCCTCTTTCCCTCCATACATTTTCTCTTCCTCTATATGTATACTAAATAACAATATAGATCTCCCGCGTCGTCCCCATCCCCCTCTTCCACGCTGCCGCAGCCCCAAATACCCACTTCGGCTCCCTCAAGGGCGGCCACGTCACGTACCTCATGCGCCGCTTCGACCTCCCTCTCTTCCTCGAAACCGTCGAGAAATACAACGTGACCGAGCTAGCCGTCGTCCCCCCGGTTGTTCTCGCCATCCTCGCCTCCCCACTCGCCCATTCCCGCCCGTTCCTGCGCTCCGTCCGTGCCGCAGCTGTCGGTGCAGCTCCCCTCGATAAAGTCGCCCAGGCGCGGTTTCGCGCGCTGCTTGCGCCTGGTGCGCCTTGCACGCAGGTCTGGGGTATGACGGAGTCGAGCTGTATTGCGACTTTGGTGCCTTACCCGCAGACGGATGATTCGGGGAGTGTGGGCGTGTTGATTCCGAATGTGGAGGCTAAGTTGGTTCCCTCTCACCACCTTGTCCTTCCCTCATGCGAGAGATACACACAAGGATAAAACTAACAAATACGTCAGACTAGTCGACGACAAAGACACCAACATCCCAGCGTACAACACCCCCGGCGAGATCTGCCTGCGCGGTCCGACCATCATCCCAGGATACTACAAAGACGACGCCGCGAACGCGGCCTCCTTCGACGCAGACGGGTGGTTTCACACAGGCGACATCGGATATTGTGACGCGGTCTCCCACCGCTGGTACATCATCGATCGGAAGAAGGAGCTGATCAAGGTGCGTGGGTTTCAGGTTGCCCCGCCGGAGCTGGAGGGCGTGCTGCGCACGCATCCGGGGATCGTCGATGCGGCTGTCGTTGGTGTCGGCGGGGGAGAGTTGGGTAGTGAACGCCCCCGGGCGTATGTGGTTCGTCGGGCGGGGGTGACCCTGGGAGAAACGGACGTCCGCGCGTTTATGGAGCCCCGGCTGGCGAAGTATAAGGCTTTGACAGGGGGGGTACAGTTCGTGCAGGAGATTCCGCGGAATGCGAGTGGGAAGATTCTGAAGCGGTTGTTGCGGGAGAGGGCTGCTTCGGAGGGGTTATCCAAGTTGTGATTTATATTTATATCTTAATTTCTCTCATACACATTACTCATTTCATACATACTATTTAGTGTATATTATTCATTCATGAACGCATCTTGACAATCCAGTATGTCTATGACTTGAACAACCGTCGCAGAAAACTCTTCTTCGCCCCCTGCGCTGCCTCGTTCAACACCCCCACCTGTAACCGCTCCTGATACCGACTCAGCACGGAGTCGCGATGATGCTTGTGGAACTCCTTGGAGGCGTCTGTCCCAGCCACCTTGCGCAAGACTATTCCCATTAGTATACTACATTACTCACGGATAAAGAGGAAAGGAAAAAAAAATTACTCCGGTCCCCCCCTGGATGCTCCGCCTGGAAATCCGTTATGTTGTACACGTTCTTGTCGATGATGATCCAGCTGTCAGACGTGCGATTATGCGCCGCCACCTCGGTCGGCGTGTACGCTGCGACGAGATGGTCGCTGTGGTTGGCGGGGTGTGATGTAGGGAGGGTTTTGGGACTGAGTGCGGGGGTGATGGTTCCTCCGTCTGCCATCTTGTTTCTTTATTTCCCAGGCTTTGTTTTGTGTCTTGGGTTTCTTTGTAGAATGGAAACCGTGGAAACTGGAGGGGACGGAGTATTTATAGTTGGGGGTGTGGAGTCGCGTGGCCCAATTAGGGCTAATCGGATGCATCGTTACTAATGCTGCATCTACAAAAACCTTACTAGTCAGTCACTATCAGTTTCATATATCTTCCTAGATATTAAAGATGCAAATCCTGCAACGCGCCCGTCAAATCCGACAATCCATTCCCGACATCCCCCACATTCTTCAATATATCTGCCAATCCCTTGCCCCCGCCCAGCCCCTTCAGCGTGTCTAGCAAAACCGTCATGATAGGCAACTCCGCCTGCAGCGTCAGATTGTTCAGCACGCGCTCGAAAAACGGGATGTGCTTTCCATGGTAGACAGTCTTGTTTCCTGATGCCGACAGCCGTATGTTTCCTTTGCGGAGCACGTCGCCCTGCTGCGCCATGATCGGCACGATGTTCTCTAGCACCGTTGGGATGTCGATGCGTCCGCGCAGATCTACGCTGTTGTTGCCTGGTTTGAGGAAGACGTTGTCGATGTCGGCATATCCCAGCATGATGTCTTCGCTTTTGAGGTTCAATGTCACGTTGCCCTGGCTGGTTAGGTCCTACTGCGCCATGAAGGAGGAATAGGGCCTACCAGAGCGAACCCCACCACCGAGTGGTTGGGCAGATTGGCGCGTCCTCGAAGGTTCGTCCCGTCTTCTTCGGCCGGATATACGAGCCGTGCCGATTCGATCGCGAACCCGCTGAGCTTGTCCAGACCTGATATATTAACGACAACCCAGAATGAAGGGGGGGTCGGAGATACCCTTCAACCGAACGTCCTTATCCAGGGTTAAGCCCGCCTTGAGCGCCCCCAAATGCCCAGTGGTCGCCCCCCGCGCCGACATGGTAAATTCCTTGGAGTACACAGCTTCGGACAGCACCGCGACGAACTCGTCTTCCTCCAGCACCTCCGTGTGGTGATTGATCACCGTCAGTCGGGTCGGGCCGTTCAGGCTGAACTCCCGCATTTCCACGCCAATATACGGCTTGAAGGGCTTCGTCGCCCGGTTGAACAGCTGCAGCGTAAATGGGTCTGTCCGCGCCTTGATCCCCTTGGGCATATTCAGCGCCGTGTCGATGGAAAAGGTGACATGTGACGGGTCCGGATCGGTGATCTCCGCGTTGTACACGGGGAGTTCGGTGTCGTCGACGATGCGCTGCGCTATAGCCGGGATGATCAGGGTGAAGCTGTCTATTAGCTCATCTATCTATCTCAGAGGGTAGGAGAAACATACAATATAGGAAGAAAGATTGCAGAGAAGATGATCCCCGCGATGAAGTAGCACACCCAGAACCGCCGCAAATGCTTCTGCGTCTTCTGCTTCCTCGACAGGGTCGAGTCGACCGTCTCAACGTGCTCGAGGTCTGTCCCCGATGCCAAAGCTTCCTCCTTCTTCCGGATTGAGTCGCGATATGCATCGCCGACAGCCATGGTTTCTGAATGCTCGAGTTCAGCGAGCAGTAACTACTCAAGTGTCGTCTGGTTGCATACATCCTATATACTGGACCCTCAACCGCACCCCAGATTAGGCTTGATTTCTCCACATTCTGGGAACCCTAGACCCTGTGGGGGATCTGCAACCCCGCCTTTGCTTCCAATCGCTGTCAGTTTGCTTGATTCAGCCCGTGCGTTATGTCGATCCGAGCCTGATCCCGCCGGTCCGCGGTTCTCCATATGATTCCGCCAATGCCGGTCGCGTGGTCTGGCTTATATAAGAGTAGATATCAATATCTGAGACCTGGTTATCCCAGCGATACAGACCCTAACTTCGCGAACATGTCGTCTTCCTCTTCGGATCCAGAGAAAGCTATCAACGAGAAAGCTATCGACGAGAAGACTATCGACGAGAAGGCTATCCAGAGTACCAGCCTGGAAAATGCCGTGCACATTCAGCGCATCGTCCGCGAAGGCATCATCCTCGGTGGCGGCGCAACCGCCATCCTCCTCCAGGTCGCCATGCCCGGGGTCGGCAAGGGCGTAGACAACCACAGCAACTTCGCCTACCGACCTATGGACCGGCTGCGCACAACCATGACCTACGTCTACTGCATGGCGTTTGGCTCCCCCAAAGAGAAAGAAGCCGTAATTGCCATGGTGCACCGCGCGCACTCCTCCGTCAAAGGGACAGACTACTCCGCCGACGATGCCCAGCTTCAAGTATGGGTTGCTGCCACGCTCTACGCCGTGGGCGTCGAGCTCTACGAGGAGATCTTCGGCCCCATGGACGAGGCCACCGCCGAGCAGACCTACCGCGAGTACGCCGTCTTGGCCGTCTCGCTGCGCGTTCAGCCCGACCAGTGGCCCGCCACCCGTCAGGCCTTCTGGGCCTACTGGGACCAGCAGATCGCCTCGATAGAAGTCAACGACCATGCTAAACACGTCGCCCACGACCTGCTGTACAACACGGGGTTGCCCATCCACCTGCGCGTTCTGATGCCTTGGGTGCGCCTGATGACGGGTGAGATGCTACCCGCGCGCATCCGCGAGGCATACGGAATCAAGACCACCAAGCATCGCCAGCGCGGCTACCGGTGGACGATGAGTCTCGTCCGTAACACGTACCCGGCCCTGCCCAAGTTCGTCCGCACGTATCCTAAGAAATACTATCTCAATGATATGCGCAAAAGGCTGCGAAAGGCCCAGATGCTGAATTAGGAAGGGTTTGCGAGTGTACTAGTGTGGATTATAGTTTAATTACCCTGGTTATATCAGATAATGTGATTGGATGATTTCTGTCCGAAATATGGTGTAGTCTCCGTCTGTTAAAGAACCAGTCGATCACAGCCGAGTTGCCGCGGGACCAACAGCTCCTTCTCCACCGCGGGGTATGTCGATCTTGACCTTGTTCTACGACCAGGATCGGATCCTAGTCTCATCCTGGTCTTGTTCTCGTCTTTTCCTCATGGGATACCGTTGTCGTCTGGTATCACCTGGTATCACAGTGGGAGCCACAGCGGGGAAGCAGGCGTTAGGGCTAGACCGATCACATCATCTGGGGCCCCAGAATCAGACTCCAGAATCAGACTTCATGAATCAGTCTTCATGCCGATCACTACTCCACAGATTCTGCTCACCTGGCCTGTATCGGATGCAAAACGATGACGATCCGTCTGGTCTGAGTGCTGGTCCGTGCAGTCGCTTTCTTCTGTCTCCCCCTTCCCCTGCTTTTGCTTTGTCCTGTCCCATCCCTCGCATTCCCTCGACTGGCGATTGACCCCAAGGCAACATGCTCCGTCGCACAAGAAGAGCCCCCAAGGCATGCTCCTGGTGCCATCATCGGAAGGTGCGCTGCGATGCTTCCATCCGGGGCTGTCCCTGCACGCGCTGTCGCCAGGATGGACGACCTGAATGCATTCTGCGGGGCAAGTTACCCCGGAAGTATGTTATCCAAAACATCCTGAATCAAATATGACCATACAAGTAGAAGTGTCTGACTGATCGCCCAAGCTTCGCCGGCTTCGCTACCCAAAACGACCACAACCTCCGCGCAACTCAGATCGACCCTCTCTCCGCCAAAGCCCCCCTGGATCCCTCCCTCCGCGCCCTCATCCCAGACGACGTTGACCTGTCCCCCTCCGCCGCGTCCGTCGCCCCATCCGCAGACCCTCTTCCCCCAGGCCATGTCGCATTCACATCCTACCCCTTTGTCGAGTTCCGCGGCGTGGGGCTCCTCCCGCGCGAAGACCTCGCTTTTATCGCCTCCAAGGCGTGTCTGAGTGTACCGGATAAGACGGTCATCGACGACTTCGTTCGCCAGTATTTTCTGCACATTCATCCGTCTATGCCGGTGCTAGATGAAGCGGCGTTTTGGGATATGTATCTTCATCCAGGGGAGGATGTCGACGGGCGCGTGTCGTTGTTTGTTTTTCAGGCGTTACTGTTTGTCAGCTGTGCGGTGTGTCTTCCTCTCTCTTCATTTACTTGTCTTCTAATGAGTAGGGCTGACGGAAGTAGCATGTTCCGTTGGAGACCCTCCTGCAGTGCGGCTTCAAAGATAAGCGCGATGCTCGGAACAGCTTCTACCGACGCGCCAAGGTACCCTCCCCTCTCCACCCAGGTGGCATATGAGACTTACAGACGACAGTATTTATTCGATCTCAGCGGCGAAGACCGCCCCTACGCCAAAGCCCAGGGCTGCATTATTCTATCACACCACACCTCAGGCGAGGAACCCCAAGCCGCCAGTCTGTGGCTCACTCGTGCCATCCAGAACGCCATGACCATCGGGTGCAAGCCCGGCCCCTGCGAAGACGTCGAGGACTCGCTGAAGAAGCGTCTCTGGTGGTCCATCATCCTGCGCGACCGCAGTCTCTGTTTGGGACTGCGCCGCCGCGGCCAGGTCACCTCCCTGGAATTTGGCATGGCGGCTGAACCGCTCGACGAGGAGGACTTTGCCGATGAGATTCGTCGCTCCCAGGTCTATGAACCGGATACCAAGCGCATGCTTGTCAAAGTTCTGCAGGAGCAGTGTCGTCTGAGTGTGTTGCTCACGGAGATGGTCTCGTTCGTGTTTGCCTCCCACGGCCTGGCAGCTCCTATCATGGGCCTCGAGCAGTTCCATCATGAACTTGCGCGCATCGCACGTATTCAGAGGCTGCTGGCACATTGGGAGTCTTGTTCCCAGCTGCAGGAACTGCTCACCGGGGTACCGGACCCGGTAACGCAGATGACCAACTTTGCCTATATGTTTTATCAGTATGTTTCTTTCACCAGCTTCTGTTCTACCAACGAGCTAATGGATTAGCACTGCACGCATCGACCTCGCCCACTACGAGACTCTTCTCATCGAAAACCACATTCTGCTAGCAGGGACAAACTACATCCATCATCTCTGGCAGATCGGCGCGACTCTCTACGACGCCATGAACCAGTTGACGGCAGTGATGGAGTACTTCAGCCGAGAAGGGCGTGCTCAGAATTTGCCTCTCAGCGTGTATGTTCCAAAGTAAAAAGAGCTACACATGGTATAAAGCTAACGAGTTAGTCTTGCCTACGTCGCCATGCCTCTCGTTCTCACTGCAATTGACCTCAAACTCTCCCCCACTTCCTCCGAACTCGACACCCGTCGTCGTCGTCTCGACGCCCTCGGCGCCATCATCCGCCACTCCGGCCGCGTCTACGACGTCACTGACATGGTCAGCGCCGGAACTAACCACATCCTCCAGCTCGCCTACATGACCTCCCAGCACTTGTTCCTCCGCTGGGACGACGAACCGCCCACCCCGCGCGTCCGCAGCGGCCAGTCCACCAGTCCGAACTCCACAGACGGAACAGCTGCAGCAGAATCAACACCAACGAATACAGCCCCACGAGCAGGAGGAGCCATTCATCTAGTCGAGAAAGACGCCCTTCCCACGCCGCCCCCATTCCCCAGCGCCCGCCGGGCCGCCTCCTGGCACGAGGCCTTCCTGCGCCATCCCCGCGCCTACCTCCTCATCTCTACCTCCGTCGACTACAGCCTATCCGTCGGGCGTCTGCCATACGACTCTGCCCTTCCAGAGTTAGTTCGATGCATTCCACCTATCGGAATTGGCATCCGTCTCCCATGGACTATGCCAGCCCCGTCCACTCCCATTTCCCCGCGCAGAGCCAAACAGAAGCGACAGTTGGCGTTGAGAGAGCGCATTCACAGTGTCTCTTCTTCTGCGTCGTCTGTCCCTTTGGACGGATACAGGCAGATAGAGGCGGATAACAGTCCGGCCGGAGCGGATACCCTCCGCACCGTATCCGATGAGGCTGAGGACGCGTCCCACCCGCTCATCCTAGGCTTAACTGTAGATGATACGAGCTACGATTCCCCTCCTCCTTTCCCTTCACCTCTGCGCCAGGAGCAGGAGCAGGAGCAGGAGCAGCAACAGCTGCAGCAGCAGGGAAATGACGAGACCGTCAACCTTGACTACCTCTATCTAGACAATATGTGTGACCCTTCTTCGCCTGATAAGGGATTAGAGGGGGATGAAAATCTCTTTGGGGGGAGTGCACAGTTCATGCACCAGCAGCAGCAACAACAACAGGAACAGAATCACCCGCGTAATGAGCAAGGGCAGTTCGAACAGACTGTCGCGGGATTCGATCCGCTAATCAGTTCGTTCGTGCAGGAGCTTTTTGGTGAGCAGGGTGGCCCGGGGATGGTGATTGGGTAACTTAGCTGTATGCAGATATAGTATGCGTATATGAATGCGACTGCAGGTTAGGAACGGCTGTTCTTCCGAGATGCTTGTAGTCGACTGTATTTTCCCAGCCGAGAACCGATTCACTTCATTCTCAAGTATGCGCAATGGTTTTGGTCTATCTTATCTCAGCCACTGCACCAGATACCGAATGGCATGTTTGTTGGGCTTGGGATGACTCGCATCCCAGCATACTATGTTTTATAACTCATTCCAGTATAATATTATCGTATAATATATGTCATCTTACAAAATGCAACTCCGCACATGTCACCGAGATCCGTCGGCACGGGGACCCATCCACCCCAGTGAACCAAGCCAGCCACCATGTCGATCACCCCGCATTCGCGATCATAGCACCACATGGAGGGTGGTGTGGAGAGAGAGACAGTAAAAGAAAGAGTCATTGAAAACGATAATGCACCCCACAGAAACAACACCAATTATGCCAAAATGCGTCTCGCTGTGCTTATTCTCCCCGCCCTAGTGCTCACCACCTGGGCGGAGCCCCGTCTCGATCGAGAGAAGGTCGTGAAAGCCTCCGAGGGCGTGCAGGACATTGCCAGGCTGTTCTTGTCCAAACACCCAGCTCTACGAGATTATTTTCTTGCTCAGAATAAGGCTCCCCATGAAAAACGAAACCCAGCCTTTGAGATCCCCCCCGGCACGTCGGCCAACCCCATCGAGAATATCGGGAACTTGCTGAGGGGTATTACGGGGCTCCTGTCACCGACATTTCTCCGCGATGTAGAAGATAGCGTGCATGCGCTGGGCAAGCTGGCGGAACAGCCGTCACCGGATCAGACGAAGAAGCTCGTGCGATTGGCGTCGCGCTTGAAGGATCAGGGCTTGGTGGATGATGCGATGACGCTGCTGGATAATGCATCGAACCTGCTTACCCCGGATTTTGTGGATACCGTCGTCGATCTGGTGAAGAATGTGGGTCCGCTCGTTACAAACGCCAATGTCGATCGGATTAAGAAACTGCTGCACAACGCAGGCTTGTTGCTCACGCCACAGTTTAATGATGATACGCGTCTGCTGCTTCATAATGTGGAGAAGGCTCTTCCGGTGGAGCACATAGCTGCGTTGAAGGTTGTGTTGGCTGGAGCCAATGATCTGCTCGATCAGGGAGGCGTGGACCGGCTACAGGAGCTGTTGAAAAATGGGAAGGAGCTGCTGACTCCGGAGATGAGCAAGAGTATTCATGAACTGATTAGGAATGCTGGTTTGCTGGCGACGTCGGAAACGTTAGACGCCGTCGACAATCTGCTGCATGCCGCGTCACAGCTGCTAACTGCCGATATGGCCAAGAAGGTATCGGCTGTCATGGACGGCGTGGACGACTTCAACCTCGATCTATTGCAGCGCGTGCCGGGTATGCTCGACAATGCGGCGGATTTGCTGACGCCAGACGGGGTCCGACAGATCAGTGGCTTGCTATCTAATGCTGGAGTCCTGGTGGATAGTAACGCGCTGGAGAAGGTCGGCCCATTGCTCCAGAACGGTGCTAGCCTTCTCACGCCGAACATGACGGACGATATCAAAAAGCTGATTGCTATCGCTGGCGAGGCTGATATTAAGAGCATGCTGAATCAAGCCCTGCCCATGCTAGATGTGGCCGCGCGATTACTCGAGAAAGACTCCGTGAAAGAAATCCATAGTCTTTTAAAGAATGGAGGCCAGCTGCTCACTCCGGATGGGGTGCATATTATCCGCGGAATGATCGACACGCTCTCGTCGGGCGTCACACCACGGCTGCTCGAGCAGGTGCAGGATCTACTGGCTACCGCCCAGCGGCTGCTGACGTCGGAGATGACAGACCATATCAGGGATCTGATTGGAAACGTTTCTGTGGCGCTGCCACCACAGACCCTGCAGAGAATTCCGTCGCTGCTAGGTAATGTGGGCGACCTTCTCACTGAACAACGCGTTGAAGATATCACTGGATTGGTGGACAACGTATCTCCAGTTGTTACGCCCGAGTTGATGGACCGTGTGCAGGGACTGTTGAGTAACGGGGCGAAACTGCTAACCGAGGAACGGGTGGAAAAGATGGGGGTGTTAATAGGGCACGCTTCCAAGGTAAGTCTATAGTATATCTGGACGATGTCAATACTGACAGTATTAGCTGGTTGGACAACTCATCGAGCTCCTGCGTACCGTCCCGTATATCAAGATCGAGATTCCGGATGTTGGGGGCCTGATGAAGAGAGAGGAGCTTTACGACATCGTGGCGAAGGGAATGAATCATCTAGAGACGTATTCAAGGAGTAGCTAGTGATTTTAATGATATAAAGCAATCGTTTTCATGAAGCATTGTCTATGAAAATTTAGCGGCTTGTCCAATGATGAGCCGATTCAATTGCGATTGACTTTATTTATCTGGATTCAAGCGATCCTATGATAAAACTAACAAGAAACCAGCCGGGATACCCAGCTTGAATGACCAGGTTTGTACAATTCGTTCATATGTATATGGATGCCTCTGAGATAGGCAAATATATGCCCTAAAGCTTAATGATATAAAATAGCGTGTCGGGTTTCATTAGACCCATAGTGAAAAACAGCAGTATGATCTCAAGTGAATCCTGGAATGGACTTGCTGCTTGCCAGATTGTAATCAAACTACGGCCCCGCAATAGATTCCGGGTTTTGTGAAAATTTTTTGCAACGCGTAATAGTGAGGCAACGTACACCTGGCCCATGCTTTGGTGTGAGAAGCCGCTATTAGCGAATTTCCGGACAACAATGCCACATATGTCGTTGAGAAACTCGATATGCTGGCAGCTATCGGCCATGTGAGTGCATTACACACCTGGCTGTACTTGATGCCTGTCTCAGGATACCTTCGATGTTTCCGTCGACCAAACGTAGAAACGCTCTTCACGTCGACCAGATTCAATCACCAGCACTTTAACAGCTCAACCCATCACAGCCGCCTTTGAAGTGAAAAGCTAACCGCTTGCGAGGTTATCAATGCATCGTCACTTGGATGACTGGTAAGTGCGATTTCCTGCCGCAGACCTTTTCCAACGATACTGTTTCCGGCTCCGGGGCCGGTAGAGCCCTCACCGTGCGCCCCCTGTTCGACCGCGGAATCCGCCACAAAGGCTCCCAGAGAAGAAATGAGGTCCGGAGAGACTGCGTCAGTCGTTGTACTATCCGCTTCTCCACGCCTTCGGTCCGGCCCATTTCCACATTCCGGCAACACGCGTCCAGCCAGCCCGGGCAACTAGGAACAGAGACATACCGCCGATACACGGCGTCGATGATGAGCTCCGCCTCCTGCAGCTGCAACAACCCCCGTGCGTATGCTTCAGTGACGAATCGGGCAGCCAGTTCGGGCTGGCTGAAAGTTGAGAAGGCAAACGCGGATCGCTTGCCGTCTACCGTCGCGAAGGGGTTCGCACCTGCGTAGAGAAAGACACGAGGAAGACTGCGATGGCCGGTCTCCACGACCGAGTACAGCGACTGATCCAGCGCTTCCTGCAGCCTTCCTAGCCGATTCTCAATGCTCTTTTGCGTGGTGGAGCTGAGAATTAACTCGACAGCGGTAGAGTTTCCAACCACGGCAGCAGCACGGAGAGGAAAGTCCAACGGCCCAGCCTGGAAAAACGGGTCGGCCCCTGCTTGAAGAAGCACGTCGACCACGCTGTCCGACCCAGAGAGAATTGCCGCAGTGAGTGGTGTGCCCAGCGGACCCCATGTTTCATTCATGTTAAACGTAGGGATCTTCTGTAGGCGCAGCAGTCGTTGCATAACCGCGGGTAAATTGCCTTCCAGCGCCTCATCGTACAACAGATTGTCTTCCTGAATAAAAACCTTCTTGAAGTGGCTGATTTCCTCGATCTCTCGCTCACGGAGCTCCATGCCCCTCGGGCTGATTTCAACCTCGATAATCGGATATTCTTCTTCGCTAGACTCGTCATCACTCGCCGGTGCGTCTTCAGGTGGTGGTCTTGAAAGTCGGTGCGGATTGCCGCTACTGTCTATGCTGGATGCCCCTGTACTGTGGGGAACAATCACTTGGAAATCCCCCGTTGCGCCGCCCATGTTCACGGACAATGTATTACGGTTCGCCAATAAGTCGTGTTGCAGTCTTCTTTGGCCATCTTCGTAGGACGCATATAGTCCGACTAGGCAATCGGTCGGAGGGTCAATAGCGCGGGGCACCCCTAAGAGACCGTCACTCAGTAAGGATGGGATGTCCGCAATTTCAGTCGCTGTCAGTTTCCTCTGCTCCTGTTGGGCGCACAGCGCGAACAGACCACAGTTGGGGCATGTTATAAAAGACCGGAACCTCTTCACCCGGCACCGACAGGATGTGCACACTTGGTCCTCTAATCGCAAGTAAGAAATGACAACGGACATATGTAGCTTTCGTCCATGTTGAATCTCATTTGCCCAGTTATTTGGGCCCAGACGCTTGAATCGCTTCTCCGATGTGTCGCAATAGACAATAATAAACTCCCCTGATCGCACTTTCTCCAAGCCATACCGTTCCCCGGTGTCGAAGAAGGGCAGTAGAATCACCGCGAGGTCGTACCAGTCCATGGGGATCGGAAGGTGGAGCTCTCGGCCGAGGAAATCGGCGATGATGATCTTGCTCGTAATTGCCCTCGGAATCGTCCACAGCGATGCGATATAGAGGACTAACTGATAGAGGATGTACGAGGCCTGGGGTTTTTGGGGGGCAGAAACCCTCTGCCATACCTCGGTCAGGGGTCCAACGGTCGTGGTCTCATGATTTTTTTTTAGCCCATGTAGTCTTGGTGTTATAGTCTCGTCCTCCACGGTTACATTTGGATCGTGAGCGGGTAGTCTAGAAGACGGTGTTCGGCACATCGAGAGGCGCTTGTCCAGTGCATGGTCTGAAAGCCGCCAAAAGGGACATGCGAACAGGATTAGCTCACCTCAAAGACGGCCAAGGAGACAACCTTACCATCTGTTGACACGCGTGACTGGGGTAGGTGGACGACTGAATCTTGAATCAGCTGGGCTTCTACGTTTTCGAGATGATAACATGTTTTGATCGTACGTTTCTGTACCGGTTCAGCCCAGTTTCCTTTAGAAGGGATCCTCCCTAATATGGTTTTGGCGTATGCAGCAGCCATAGCCGCGGCGTAAGGCTGCCATTCGCTATTTTTATGTTCGTCCCCGTAGTCGCACACTCCCCGGATAACGGCCACCGGGATCTGGTTCATGATCCCCGCCGCCTCCATCTCCACCCCGATGATCTGGTGCCGCTCGCGCATCTGCCGTGCCGCTACCCCGTTCTTGACCAGCTTGTCCCCGGAGCCGATCGAACCGTACCAGACGCGAGTTCGCCCCGAGCGTGGTCTGAGGGGGCGAACGACCGAGCGACCGTCGGCATGATAGCAGCCCCGATGCTGTCCGGGATCGCGAAAATTACCAGTCGCGTGTTTTCGGTGCATCATGCGCTCGTAGTGTTCACGGAATGAGGGTTCCGAATACGGTTCCTCGGCCTTCAGAGAGCCAATAGCTGACCGCAGGAGTGTCTTCGTCTGCGCCAACACATGCCCCGAGCGCAGTAGCTGGAAGTCGTCTCCCCTCGTTTCCTTTCCCAGGCCGTATGGGATCACCGCCGGTCGATCGTCGCACGACAGGGCCACGAGCACATCCCCCAGTCGAACATCCCGTGGTGGGTTTTGGGACAAATCAGGGAACCCGGCAGCGACACCAACCAGGAGACCAAATCGGAGGTTGGGAAAGAAGGCCTTGACCTGACCGGCGAGAGCGGCTGCGGTGCTGGTACCGTACTCCTGCCCTGCGGGGAAACTTGTTATCACCACATTATACCCCGCAATATCTCCAGCGCGAAAAACATGGTCATCGCCGGGACCCAGGGGGAAGTGACCATCATGGAGGTGATCGAGCATGGCGACCGCAGCCTGGGCCTCGATCTCGAGCGGGGCAAACCAAATCACGGAGTAGAGGTAGGGATCCAACGTTGTCATCGTGAGTCTCAAGAGACATAGCCCATGATCACCATCAGATGTGCAGGAGGCAGCAATAGATGAGAGAGGTGAAGAAGAGAAGAAGAAAAGACAAAGAGGAGGAAGAGCAAGGAAGAGGTCTCACGAGAGACACAGCCTCGTATCACGTGGCATCTACGCTTAAAGCATCACATCCAGTCCATCTACGCCGACGTCGATCATCGACGGCAACCGTGATCTAATATAAGAGCCAACTCGGTGGTTCGACAACTAGTTGATGCACTTCATTTTTCGATCCATGTTCAGCATGGTCGGCTATGCACCTTGTGCGTTTCCTCTTCTGATGTCTTCCCCTCAGCCTCTCTTCCATCTGGCACCATCTCTCCCTTCGCCGAACACCACCGGTACATCTCTCCCTGACCAACATTATACCGATAATAATTATTCGTCCCCTCGGGAATCACCGCCCGCCGCAAGGTGATGTTGATTCTCCCCTGTCGACCCGTCGATCCCCTCCGCTTCGGCAGCCCGTGCAGCCAATGCGCCTGGGTCTCACCCTGCATGATGACCATGTCACCGGACGCCATGGCGAATTTCATCGGTGGTGGGATCTTTCCTGCGCTCCCCGGGGGGGCGGACTTGCGTTTGAGGAAAAAATCACGCGTCCCGCCGAGCGACAGCGATGCGATAATGGGCTGCGCGCCGAGGAACCGCTCGTCGTCGGAGTGGTACGCAATGCTATCATCCCCCGTGGCGTAGTAGTTAACGAGAATGAAGTTGTAGTGTCCCCGGCGGTTGGTGGCCGCTTCGACGCACTGACGGAGGGCGTCGAGGCAGGGGGGGATCGGTCGTGGTGGGACCCTGTACTTATTTTCCGGGGCGGGCTGGTTCGACGCCGAGTCGAGCAAAGTGGTCGACTCCCATTCAGTGGCAAATCGCGACGTACTGTCTACCCCAAAGACGGTTGTGTACCGTGGGGTCTTGACCTCTGTGGAGAGGCCGCCGCGGTTGATGGTGTAGCAGACGCGGTAGAAGGGGAGTTCCCGTCGGAGGAAGTGGAACAGTTGGCGTGACAGTGGGGGCGGCACGAATGGAGTAAAGTAAAGGAGGTCCAGGTGTGGTTGGCTCGCGATGTGTTTGCCTTCCGGGCTATCTCTGTTGACCAGGGGTGTGGAGATACTAGAGGGGAGGTCGCGGATAGCAAAGGGGTAGGTAGGATGGTGGGTGACCGAACATTTTTCGGCCAGTTCCTGCTTGGGCTTCTTAGATGGGATGGGCTGAAAGAATGTATTGATTCGTTTAGACATTGTGAGTTGGTCGGGGACAGATGCTAGAGCTATCTTTTGTAGATATAGAATGATCTCAGGGTCAATACCTGATCAATCCGATCGAGGATCGATCGGTGATGTCATCGAAGCTCCACTTTCATCAGCTACTGATTGGCAAAGGGCTTGGAGTACAAAGAATCAATTAAACTAATCAATGAAGGACAGATTGATGTCAAGTCAGCGCAGAAAGATACATCCCACGCACTAGGTCCTCGCTCCGTTCGGGATCTCGTGCCAGCACTTTTTAAGTCAGTCCCATTCGGCGGGAAATCTTCATAGTGTGAACCACTACAGTGGTAGTGAACAAATCGACAAAATCGAAAATAGGTAGAACAGAAAAAAGAGACACATGAGAAGATGACAACTCACATTCGACAAACCCATTCTCGACCCCCTCCAGCTCCAACGGCGCCAGCTGAATCCGAAAATCGGTCGGGGAATATTTCGGCAAGTTCCGACTGACCTTTAGATACAGCCAGACCCTCCATGGCGCCATTCCGATGAAGAATTCCTGCAGATTCCGCCGAACGCAGTTCTTCTGTGACAGCGACAAGGGCGAAAACCGCAGGATACGGTCGGTTTTGATCCGCAGCAGCAATAGAAGGCCCGCTTGTTTGAGATCTTCGAGAAAGTCCAAGGGCGTAGCATCTATGATACGCGATTATCAGCACGCTCCTTCGCCACAAATATGGTGCATTTACCTGGTCTCAGCATGCGATATCCACCAGGCAGGCGTGTGTCGTCAGTGACGTTCTTCATGAGCTCGATCCCGACCATTCCCGCCACATACGCGGACATGTGCATCTCACGGGGTGAAGGTTTTCGGAGCGTGTACTTGGCCTTCTCTGTCATACCCAGGCCCCGGGCAATCCTCTCCAGCGCTAATATGTGCAGTCTGCGCTGGTCGAGCGGGTGATCAATGGCTGTCTTGAGCCCCGGTCGCCTGTCTAGCAAATAGGCTTTGAGGCTGGCCCGCAGCGCGTCCGGTGCGTGGTATACAATGGAGCTCACCGCGTGCGACTCTTCCAAGAACAGCGTGTTGATCAGGTCGACGTGTTTGCGCGACAGCTTGAAGCACTCGAAGTAAAACCGGTGATCGGCACATGCTTTCCATTCGGCCGCGTCGGGGACCCCCTGAGCGCTATACGAGTTGGCGCACCGACGCACAGGGAGGTCATCCAGTATCGAGCCCGCCCGTTCGGGATTCTGATGCAGGCTCCGGATATACGCGCCGAGGCACGCCGAGTCCGCCGATGGCTCTGAATCCCCTGCGGACAGCATGTTGCTTCGCAGGATGATGAGCAATCGCGGCGCCACAGGCGCAAACATGTGCCATTCCGTGTATAGGCCCGGGACAATCTTGCCGGTGCGAGCGTCGAAGCCGCAGTCCGACGGCCCTTCATACACTCCATAGGAGTTCTCCGTCAGGAGGAACTCAAGCTGAGGGGACTCTGGCTCGCAGAATGTCAGGAAGAAGGACTGGACGTGGGCCACGAACATCATCGCGTCGTCGGGATACACGTGGTTGGAGATGGTCCGGCGCCACTGTCCGCCGGCGTCCATATCCAGCTCGAGCAAGCCGCGAAGGTTGGAAAACCACACATCGCGCGGTCGCGAGAATTTCTTATTCTTCATGTATATCACCATGCGATGTTTGTCGTCTTCGTTGTAGTCTTCCAGACGATCGTGATCGTATCGTTGGAACATGCGGGAGTTGCGATACTTCATCAAAAAGAGAAACTTACGCAGCGTGTCTCGCTCTAGTCGCGTCAGCGTGAGTCGCTGGTTTCGGTTGAAGACGTCGCATGCACGCCGTAGAATACTGCTGGCGTCATTCTCGAGACGCGAGAGCTTCTCCTCCAGGTGGTTGGGGTTGTTTTCGAAGCCGGGGTCGCGGTACATATCCACCAGAGCGTACTCCCGCGACACCGGGCGCTGCGTGAGAATCCCTCGCGTCAAGTCAACCTTGTTGACCAGGAAATCTCGACGACGCCGAGTCTTCCTGCTTGAGGGTCCTGCTGGGGGCTGCTCATCGGCGGCAAACTTGCGCAGGATAAATCGGGGGATGAAGTGGTGGCGTTGGGGTACAGACATGATGGCTGAGGTCTGTTACTCCTAGGTTGATGGGATAAAACTAGGATAATGTTAGCATCTCGACGAATATATACGTGTACTATCACTCGATTATCCACAGTGAATAACATCTCTACTGATACGTCGACATCCTATCAATTGCACAGCCCTCCATATCAGCTGGGGCCTTGTCGGCGCGTATGAGTGTTGGCGTATCTGTGGACAAGGCCCATGTTGCATCTTTGCCGCTCGCAGGGTTTGCTTCCTTCAAGCATTCTATCAAACCAGATCAGCCATTGACTGGGATATCATTTGACGCACCTCATGCCATGCATCATTTTGGGAAAGAAAGGCGAGACAATGTGCCTGAGGCATATGGTCTAAAGTGCATCACGTGAGTGGATTATAATACGACGATCATGAACAAACCCCACCAGTGGACCATGTTGTGGAGATACTCGATGGTCAGACGTAAATGATGAAAACTAATGAGATTCTCTCCTAAACACGTTGCGAATGGTTGCAGGAATGATCAAAATTCAACAGTCAAAGGTATGGATGGGGTGGGGAAGGACTGCCGGTCAGCTGATTGTTTAGCTGATTGCAGTGACTACTCTTTCACTCGTCTGGGGTCATTCACGTTGTGCTATTCACGCAGGTATGGTCTTCTGTAGACAAGTCATTTACTTATGCCTATGTAGCTGTTGCGATGGTTGTGGTAAAACACGGGTAGTCCCCGCTGCGGTGTATATATATATCCTGCCCAGATCCAATCACACCATGACATATCCTGACCTATTGACTAACCAGTGCCTAATAAGAATGATAAACCTCGAAAAGAATTGAGACACAATTGGAGTTGCTCTAGCTAGTCTAAGTTGTAGTCATTTTTATAAAGTTGACGTGATAGATATAAACCTATAATTGCTACGGCGAATTGCTACTGCAAAATACCAACTTGTCCAGAGTTCACACTTCAATTCTCTAATCACCAACATACAGCCTGGGTATAGAGTAACACACAAAGTTAAATCACAGAGACAGAAAGAGAAATAGAAGTAAATGATATAATAACAAGCAAAACCCGTCGTAAGCGTCATCTGTTCGCCGAGCAGATCGGCCCCTGGCGTCCCAATCCTTGCCAGAATGGACAATCGCTACACACCAGAACAAAAAAAGATTGACAATGCACATACCACGAAGTGGCAGATTGGTATAATGTAGGATTAGAAAAAGACAAGTAAAATAGAAAGAAATGATCAAAATGAGTGTAATCCTCCCGTACTCCGTGCATTACCGATTTTATAGATGGCCATTGCGTGGTGGCGACTGGTCGTGCATGACCTCCACCGTCTGCGACACGTCCACCGTCTTGTGGATACCGTCGTGACCGGCAGACCCGGTCGAGACGGCGCCTGCGTACGAGATGAGATGGCTCTGGTCGGAGGCGAATTCGTTGGGTTCCGGGTAGTGTTTGGAGGCGACGGCAGAGAAGGTACCCTTGCCAGCGCCCTTGACCTTGCTCAGCGGCACGGACGAGTCCTGCTTGTAGTAGTGCCCCGAGCTGTAGGCGGCCTTGCGTAGCTTCGACATCAGGATGTTGAGCGTGGGGAGACAGGCGCAGATGAGACCGACGCCACCTTCGGCGTTTCTGTATGAGTCCGATTAGTATTTTCGCCCGGATCAGAGAAGAGTGAGAAACATACCCGGACAGAATGACGCAGGTGAAGACCATGGTCTGATCCAAGGAATCACCTTCCTTGATCACCAGCACCAATCGGTAGATACTGAACGCGGTGGCCAGCCCTCCGGCAGACAGCATGCCCGTCACCCGCAGCTTCTTGTTGCGCGACATCTGCAGCGACCAAGTCATGGGCAAGGGCAGGACCAGGATAATCAAATCCGACACGACACTAATGACCGAATCGGCCACCAGGGCCGCCCGCTGGTCCAGACATTGGGATTTGATGTTCAAGTCCCAGTATCCGGGGACCGGGTCACACATGCGGATCTTGATGACCAAGGCGATGACGTAGTACACACAGAGGCACCCGAGGAAGGAGTAGATGAAGATGACTTTGGATTTGAAGGGGGTGAAGATGCGCGTCAGGATGGAGAGCAGAGCGACCTTGCACAGGAGCGCCATCGGACAGTACAGGACGGTGGCGACGTAACCGAACTATATGTTCCGGAAGTCAGCAGGGTCATTTATTTCTGGTTGTCCGAGGCACTCAAAGATGCATTCAAAGATATACCTTGCGGAAAAGAGTCTGATCATCCAAAGGAACGTCTGTGATGTGGTAACCACCACCATATTTGCCGACTATGATCATACCAGTGAGTGTGGATCTTTAGCAGGTCAGGATCTGAACATACCGACAATACTGACACCGCAGTACCCCATAAACAGCAGCCATGTCAACAGACAGGCCGTGTCCTCGACCCAGACGAATTGCTTATACCAGATCCGAATCCCAAACCGCAGAATCACGAAGATGGAGCAGATGGGGATACACAGACATTGGGTGACCAGATTGACCGTGTTCAACTCATCTTTGGCATTTTCGTAGGTCATGATGGAGGAACGTCACGACACAACATGGGGACACGAAGGAACGAAAGGGAAGAGGAGGGGAAGAAGAGAGCGCAGGAAGATCGAAAAGGCAGTCCGCGGGCGAGTGTGGAATAGATTGGTCTATATTAATACTGACCAGCGAGTCGAGATAAATTACGATCCGTCCACGATCCCTGGCCCCGTCGTTCCCGAACCCCGTCCAGTCTGGCGTTCCCCGATGGCGTAGGCATTATTGGTCTTGTTCTCCTTTTCTCGGACTACGATTGGCATGCATGGTCTTTCGTGGGAGGTTTTGCGGCGCAGAAGTGGAGATGGATTGCCCGAGTGGCTCGCTGTGGACCCGCTTTGTTGCTCAGGGAAAACCCAGTGCGCAGGGGAATATCCAATGCAAAAACCTAAACGGATTTTTACCGAGGAGAAGAATCGAAAGAATCAACTGAAGGCCAAACTCAGGTTGACTATCATTCCATCAGGATATGGATTAGAGTCTAACCATGCTGGTGGCATGACCAGGAAGGTTTTCTATGCCTGCCTCTCCTTGGTCCCCTTCACCCTCCGAATCTGCAGATCCCAACTGAATCAAGCTACTAATCGCTGTCTTTTTCAATAGACTAGAAACCCAGGGTTATTGTTATTTTTATTCTGGTTTGTGTTGATCGACCCTGGAAAATATCACGACGTCAGATCGATGTGGGCAATAGCAGCGCACGCGCAATGACCGACCTCCCCGAGGACACATAGTTGCACGAATGATGAAACATCCAGGGCGATCCAGATCAGACGGATTTTGTTCCAGAAACGATAGGCATCAGGGACTTGCCCTATTACGACGCTATCGATCGTCTTCTATCGGGGCGACGGAACATTAGGAAATGGCCTATCTGCCCCTTAATTCCTTCGCCGCGCTCTCCAAGGCGCCAGGCTGGCACTAGTTGCTTCTGCACGCTCGCACCGTTCATGTGAAGCGAATTGGGACACCAATGCCGAGAGATTGAGCAGACGATAGGTTCTGGACTAATTTTAGTTATTCCCTTTTTTTTTTTTTTCTCTCTCTCTTTCCTGGCCAGAGGCTCCTCTTTATCCCGCGATACCTGGCCCAAACAACCGGGTAGACCTTTTCGTTCCCTGGTTGGACCTGGTCCATGCGATCGAGAGTTGGGATGGATTCTATTCTTATCATTACCCCTATCCGAATTTTTCATATGGCCTGTTTCCCTTTCTCTTTAGAGTTCTCTTCTAGAGAGGGGATGGGGTGCACGGCACGAGGGACACTGGAGGATCAGCATTAAAACGCCGATCATATACCCAAACAGGATGATGGACCAAAACGAGGCATGCAGGGAATGAATAATGACGGCACTCAGCGAATCAATCGGATGCCAGAACAATGGTTCCCGGTGGAGTTGGCAATGGGGCGACCCACCGCAGTGGAGCTGAGTACCATCTGAAGCCCTAACATGACCATGGATCATTTCAACAATTTAACCTTTCGCTTGCAATGGTGGAACAGCCACCGTTAGGGAGACCCACGCCCTCGGTTGCAGGTTTTGCTATCCTGAGTTAGTCTTTGCCACAGGCACTGTCAATCCAGCGGAAACTCGCGGGCGACAGGATGATCCTCATTGTCCTCTGAGGGGTTGTTGCAGACCGGGGTTTGTCTGCCGCCAGCATTTTGCACGGGAATTGGTTTCCCGATATGACATATCTTCTAACGCGCCAGATAAGAATAGCATTCAGGCGTAAAGATGGTTGTCGGGTACTGTGTGAAACATCCTTCAGGGGGCCAGAATCTTTCTGGCCAAACGTCTCGCCAGTTCTGGCTGTCCGACTGACCCGTTCCTCCACTCTGGATATCCTCACCCCGCCGGATCTCCAATTCCATTCCCTCTCTTCTCCCTCTCTGATTGGAGTGCCCCCCAAATTCAGTCAGACCCCAAGAGAACCACAATTTCCCCGTTCCCACCGCCCAAAAGGGGGAACGGGGAATGTCTGGGTCCGTAGAGGGGGGCAAATGGTGGACAAATGGTTCCACGATGGGTCGCGATAAGGGGACAGCAGTTTCACTTGTATTCTCAGTCTATGGGTGTGGTAGTAATAAGATTATTATTCTCCCTGCATGTGTCCCTGGTTCCTGTCCTCTAGCTCAACCGTTTTTCGACTTTAAACTTTCCCCCACGTTGCGTCCAATTGATTCAGTTTGATTATTGTTCTGAGTCGTATCATCCATCCACCATGGCTACCAACGAACAGTCGCGGCTCTTTGAGCCCCTCGAGATCAACAATGGCAAGATCCGTCTTAGCCACCGTATCGTGCATGCCCCCATGACGCGGAATCGTGGCGTTCCGGAGAATGCCACGAGTACGCCCGAGAAGCCCAACCGCGTCTGGTATCCCGGGGACCTGATGGCCGAGTACTACAACCAGCGCGCCACCCCCGGCGGGCTGATCATCTCGGAAGGAATCCCGCCCTCGTTGGAGGTTTGTCTCGCGACCCTAAAACACCAGTTACCCACACGCCCGACATCATTCTGCATCCATGGTTTCACACCGTCGACTGACTCGCGTCCCAGAGCAATGGCATGCCCGGCGTTCCCGGTCTCTGGAACGAGCAGCAGGCTGAGGGTTGGAAGAAGGTTGTGGACGCTGTCCACGCCAAGGGTGGTTACATCTACGCCCAGCTGTGGCACGCCGGCCGCACCACCATCCCCCACCTGACGGGCACTCCCACCGTGTCGGCCTCCGCTGCTGTCTGGGACTCCCCCGAGGAGGTCTTCCCCTACCCACCGGTCGGATCGACCCAGCAGGAGCGGCTGGCCGCTCACCCGCCCATCGAGCTCACCATCCCGCACCTCAAGCAGACCATCGCCGACTACTGCCACTCGGCCGCCCTCGCCATGAAGGCCGGCTTCGACGGTGTCGAGGTCCACGGTGGGAACGGTTACCTGCCTGAGCAGTTCCTCAGCTCGAACATCAACCGCCGCACTGACGAGTACGGCGGCTCCCCCGAGAAGCGCTGCCGCTTTGTCCTCGAACTCATGGATGAGCTGGCCAAGACTGTCGGCGAGGAGAACCTCGCCATCCGTCTGTCGCCGTTCGGCCTGTTCAACCAGGCCCGTGGCGAGCAGCGTCTGGAGACCTGGTCTCATCTGTGCGAGCAGCTGAAGCAGGCCCACCCTACGCTGTCGTACGTCAGCTTCATCGAGCCGGTATGAACTTTGATCATAAGAGTGTGTGCCCGGACACAAACTGATTTCCATCCAGAGGTACGAACAAATCTTCAGCCAGTCCGAGAAGGACAAGTTCCTCGACAGCTGGGGTCTCGGTGACGTAGACCTCTCCCGGTTCCGCCAGATCTTCGGCTCCACCCCGTTCTTCTCCGCTGGCGGCTGGGACCAGTCCAACTCGGCCGGCGTCCTCGAATCCGGCCGCTACGACGCCCTCCTCTACGGCCGCTACTTCACCAGCAACCCCGACCTGGTGGAGCGGCTGCGCACCGGCGTGCCGTTCACCCCGTACGAGCGGAGCCGCTTTTACGGGCCGTTCGAGGATAATGCCAAGTGCTATATCGATTATCTGCCGGCGAACTCGAATCTGGATATCAAGATCCAGGTGCAGCAGTAGTGCACTGGTAGGATTTTATCATCGATGGCTCTTCGTCGCATTTAGTTTAATAATGGGTGCGTGCTTCTTAAAGATTGTATATAGGCATAGACGCATGTGGATAATTGTTTGTACTCGTGGCAGTACGTTTATAATATACAATTAGTATTTTGAGGGCGTACTGTAGCGTGCTGTCAGTCGCAGAGAGCCATCTTGAGGAGCACACCTTGTGACCATCCTAACTCTAACATCCGCATCTGCTTCTATTCAGAACAACATACTGCAGGGTCTTACCTAGACAACCCCTAACTACACCGACAACTCCATCGTTAAATATAACAAGTAGATAGAGCTACGCGGTACACCCCCCGTCCACGACCAGCGCCACACCAACCACATAGCTACTCATCGGCGACACCAGGTACAGGATCGAGTCTGCAATCTCCTCCAACGTCCCGCAGCGGCCCATGGGCGTTTGACTTATTGTCTTGTCGAAAAATCCGACTGCGATGCCCTCATGGGTCATAGGGGTATCCACGACGCTGGGTCTGTCAGTGCGGACTCTCACGAGAAAGCATCGGATGAATGGCTGACTTTGGGCAGATAGCGTTTATGCGGATACCTTCTGCGGCATAAGCTTTTGCGGCCTGGATTGACATTTGCCGGTTAGTTGCATCCTTTATCATGGGGTTGGGGAGCGTACGTATTTGGTGATAGCCACCACGGCTGTTCTGCGTTAGCCTTGCTCCAAACAAAAACATGAAAAAAAGCATACCATGTTTGGCGGTCGTATACGGGATGAGCCCCATCTCTGTCGGCGGGATGGAATTGCCGAAGATAGACGACAAGTTCACAATGGCCCCTCTGCCCAGTCTGCCTCCACGGTCCCTATACCGGTCAGACACTTCCATCCAGGTCATCGCGAGAGACAAGAAGATGAAGGGAAGGGAAGGAAATACTCTTGTTTCCGCATTTGCCGGACCACTGCCCGCTGACAGAGCCACACCCCCGTCTGGTTGATATCAATCACGTTCTGCCAGTTCGCGAAGCTGGCCTCGTCCGAGTTGGGAGCTTGTCCCCCGATCCCAGCTGCGTGGACAGCGATATCGATTCCGCCGAAGCGGGCGACTATTCTTTGCACGGCGGCTTCGACGGAGGTTTCATCCTTGACGTCGGCGGTGAGAATCTCAATCCCTAAGTTGGGGAAGCTGGCGACCAGGTCATCCCGGGTAGTCTCAAGCTGGGCGGTGTTGAGATCCAGCAGAGCGAGATTGGTGATGTCATTTTGCGCCAGGGTGTAGGCTGTCTTTTGGCCGATACCTTCTTTGTGTTAGCTGCGCCCCACGAAGGAGATGAAGTGATGGTACCTGATCCACTGCCGGTGATGAAGGCCGTTCCGGTAACACGAGTGGACATTATGGGGGGTTTTTTTTTCGAGGCGTGGAAGCTACAGAAAAGGCCCGAGTGGGCCAACGGGTACTGATTGTAAGATCGGATATGCGTGACAGACAATTTAAGCCAATTCTTATTCCAGAGGCTCTTCGAGGACTACGTTGTACATATAGCCCCCACCTTTGCCTTATGGAGTAGTCATGATAGATAAAACCGAAAGTAAGGCGGGGTTCTATCGATCGCCTTAGCGAGCCTCGTGGCAACCCGCCTGATTTCTGTGTTCATGTGAACTGATCAAGATCGCATATTACCCAAACCGGATTAGAGACGCACTATCCACTTATAGAGAGACCACGGGCACCCCCATCAAGAACGTTGAGTGATGCGAAGCCACACAGAAACTCCATGTCTGTGCTGCCCAACAAGTCTCAGCCAAATCTGCAGATCCCACAACTCCCAAAAAGCATTCCAACCGGTTTATGCATCGGTGTAGGCCTATACCAGTTAGTACGGGGTATGGGGTGAATCAAATCAAGGTCTAGCTCCTTCACTCCAATCTCAGCCCCTCATCCCCTCCCGTGATAAGCGGCACCAGCTTCCTTACAACAACCGCAGGATGAACATTCAATTTATTGCATAATCCCAGGGCCGTTGCTAGTTCCTCATTGATGTTGCAGCTGATGTTGTTTTCCGCAGCCTACAGCTTTGGATATGAGCTAACAGAGCGGAAGGCCCAGGACTCATCACACCATTCCATATGGTCATTATTACGCCGAATGATAATGCCCCCAACACATTGTTACTGTCGCTGTAGAGTCGACCGAGAAGACTTACGGGAACTATTCTGCATCCAAGAATAGAATATCAGTGACGTCGGGAAATTATATAGGGAAACGACTTGTCGGTTTATGCTTCCGGACGACCAGTCAAAACATACAGGGCAAATGCTGCATTTTGTTTTGCACACGCGAATGATGTCAGATTTTCCTTATTTGTCATGTAGCAAACAGTGGCAAGTCTAAAATATTGCGCTTATTAATGTACGTATACCATCTAGATCCTATTGATCTGGACCACGGTGCTATGCATTGTTGCATTGCATGTCGGCTGCGATGGAGACTCTTTGAAGGACCCATTGGGTGGATCTATAATGGGCCAATGATTGGTTCTAACGGCGAATCGGTTCGCCGAGCGAGGCGAGGATTCCGTGCTCTCCGCGGAGACCGCGGTCATATGCGTACCTTGTAAGCATCAGGTAGAATGGTGGTAGAAACCAGACGCGATCTCCCAATGAGTGAACATTATTTACTGCATTCAATCGAGAAAGGGGTTGTCCAACTTTTTCGCCCCACTCCCGTGATGGTTTACTCCGTGAGGGTTTATATATTGACAAAAACCCCGTCTGTTCGAATATGAAGCCCATTGCGAGCACACGCCCCCTCACATTGTCACCATGTCGAAGAGAGTACGCCATAATACCCAGAACAATGGTGCCAATGGCGCAGCTGATGTACCTCAGCATGACCATGACTCCGAGAACACCGAGTTTGAGTTTGGCGGACCGCTGGGAGTCACGGCTATCATGGCGGGATCCCCTCTGATCATGTACTACATGTTCATTGGGGTGAAGTGTTTCGACGGCCAACTGCCGACTCCAGCTCGTGCGGGAGAAGACACTATCACCGGGTTCCTAGGTCACCTCGTCGAATTGGTTTATACCCATGCCTTTCCGCACCGCAAGGCGTGGATCATCTACTGGACCTTTTTGATCCTAGAAGGCCTCGGATATCTGTACCTTCCAGGAGTGTACGGTAAAGGGAAGGCCCTCCCCCACCTTGGCAACAAACAGCTGGACTACTACTGTTCCGCCTTGTCGTCGTGGTATCTGACGATCAGTGGCGCTCTTTCCCTGCACTTCTCGGGTCTGTTTCGGCTGAGTACTCTCATTGATGAATTTGGACCGATCATGTCCGTGGCCATTATCTCGGGGATTGTAGTTTCCATTCTCGCGTACTTGTCAGCCCTGTCTCGCGGGGCGCAGCACCGCATGACAGGATCCCACGCGTACGACTTCTTCATGGGCGCAGAGCTTAATCCGCGTATGTTCCGCTGGATTGACATGAAGATGTTCTTCGAAGTCCGCATTCCTTGGTACATATTATTTCTGTTGTCGCTCGCTACGGCGATCAGACAGTGGGATGAGTATGGTTTCGTGTCCGGTGAAGCCGCCTTCCTGCTGATGGCCCATTTCCTGTACGCCAACGCCTGTTCAAAGGCGGAAGAGCTGATCATCACCAGCTGGTAAGTCGGTCGACTTTCTTTGACATCCAAGATGTCACGCTGACAAAGAGCAGGGACATGTATTATGAGAAATGGGGATTCATGTTGATCTTCTGGAACCTTGCCGGGGTACCGATGATTTACTGCCACTGCACGCTGTACTTGGCTTCGCACCACCCATCGACATATCACTGGACTCCGGTCGCACTGGGCCTCCTGGCGGTGGTATATCTCTTCGTATACTGGGTGTGGGATACCTGCAATAGTCAGAAGAACTACTTCCGTGCTCAGGAGCGAGGTAGCGCTTTCGACCGCAGGACATTCCCTCAGTTGCCGTGGAAGTTCATCAAGAATCCCGAAACCATCAAGACCAACACTGGAAGTGATATTCTCTGCAGCGGGTGGTGTAAGTGACCTGGAGCCCTCCAGAAGTGACATTTCTGACGACTGCAGATGGCCTCGCCCGTAAGGTCCATTATACTTGTGACATATTCTTTGCTGTGTCTTGGGGATTGGTCACAGGTTTTGATTCTCCCTTTCCATGGTTTTATCCATTGTTTTTCATCACCATGATCTCCCACCGCGCTTGGCGCGACATCGAGCGATGCCGCGGGCGGTATGGTGAGGCGTGGATGGAGTACGAGCGTCGGGTGCCGTATTTGCTCATTCCGGTAAGAAGACTTCCGGGACCCAACCATGGATAGGGTGGAGCTAACAAAGAGGGTAGTATGTTTTTTGATACGGCGTGATAGTCGAAGATAAACAATAAGGCGGACTGAGAACGAGCAGACAGCGAAGTGAACCACCGCGTCGTGGCTAGTCGGGATAGACATTGTGCCAATGCCATTATTTCATTCTGGAACATAATTTAGGTAGCTAGCGTTTAATATATCCATAACCGGGCGATTCGTTCCGAGAAAATCATTCAAGAACATGGACACATCCTCTTGGTTCATGGCGGAATCAAACGTATTCTCGGGCCACGAGACATCCGGAAGAGTGACATTGGCTGGCCCGTCGACAATAGGGGGCATAAACAAGGACCCATCCTGGAGCTGCTCGAGTCCAGTGAGAGTCTGCTGGGTATCAACCAGCACCTGCGCAGTCCTCACGAATGCCTCGCAAATAGCATGTAGATGCTTTGCGCCCGGAGACAAATCTTTAATCAACTCGAGCGACCCGAGCGTCTCTTGCAATAAGGCCAGATCCGCAGTGTTAGAGGTGGTGATCGCATGGGTAAAGACAATCGCGAATGGTGCAAAGGAGGGATACAATAGGATACTATTCCAAGTTAACATCCGTAACAAGATGTCGGGAAGAGAGACTGACCTGTTGACATATTCCATTTGTTTATGCGTCTGACGACCGCGAAAGTAAGTGAAGCACTTGAGATGGCTGTGAAGAGCCATACTACCGGCTTTGTAGCATTCTAAGGAGATCCCCATTCCATCCCCTGGCCCTGTCTGCGCACGGTAGATAACCGTCAACACCGAATAGGTGATAAAGTCCGCACAGGCGGCCATTCCGTGCAAGGAGTCCGAGTACAGGGCAGGGCTGACGTCAATGCTCAGGAGTTTGTCACGGACAGCGATTAATTCAGCAGACAGGGCGTCAATCGCCTTCATGCGATCGGTCTGTCTGGCCTTGGAGGCGGCGGTGGAGTACAGCTGGTCGTATACACGTCCCTGGATTCCTGCGAATTCTACAGTGACGAGACTCATCAGATCCCATGGACGCTGCTGGGGGTCATTCGACGGGGTGAACAGGTCGGCGTCGATGTCATGATCCTGGAAATGAGACGCCAGGCCTATATTGAGGGAGAGATTTTTGTCGATCGTATACAGGGACCAGAATGCGTGACGTTTGGATTCCGCTATCGGAAAAGGGTCTTTGACGATGGCATGACTCCTATGGAGGCCCAGTGTTTGGCACATGTTAAAGGCAATGGACAGATAGGTCCAACAGCGCTGAATATCAAACTCTTCCTGTGATTTGACGATAGCAATCAACAAGGCCTGCACCTTCTCCACGGTAGGCGCCATTACCATCTCATAGCTGCTCAGGGCGGCAGAGAAGTGGCGTTCGCAGAATTTCATATGGGCCAGCAAGTCAAACTGTGCCAGATCGCGGTTTTCTTCGTGGAGGTAATCTCGGATAATAAAATATAACAGACCGTGTAGAAAGGGCAACGATCCAGACGGCATGGGAAACAGAGGAAAATAAATGGACTGGCAAAGCGACTCGACCTGCAGGGGGCTTGCCCACGATTGGCTCACCAAAAAAAAGGGCGGTCGGGCCTTGACCTTCCGTATTAGGGCGACAACCAGCTCAACTGGAAGAAGTTCTTGTCCGTCGTGATATAATGTGGGACTTTCAACACCGGTGGTAGGCGCGTCTGGCGCATGATAGTGATCAAGGCGACGCCTGAGAGACGACAAAGCGGCAGATACATGATCATCCTGTTCTCTGGCCTGTGAAGTAGCGACAGCAGAAAAGGCCGCATCTCTAGCAACGAGAGTTTCATGATGAAACGAGGATGGTCCTTCAAATGGAGGAGCCGTATGAACAGAGGGGACAGGGCGAGCTGGTGGAAGGACTGTGGTAGGTGTCGAGGACTGGATGAGTTGCTGGAGAGTTTGTTGCATAGCAGTGAGCTGCTCCTGGATGCCGTCCACCTTCTGTTCACTAGCTATATTTTAGCGACAAGCCTCTAGTAACCCAGGTCGGATCCCAAACTAACTATTCGTGAGGAATTCGTTGTCTCGACGCTTCTTGGACCGTGGGGGAGGCAACTCCCACTCCGCTACAAGGAATGCCCAAGGCACCACAGGAAGAGCAGGGAATTTCCTTGTCACATTTGATCTATTGCATCATGAGCGGAGAGTCAATGTGTATTCATTACAGTCCAGGGCTATACCTTGCGGGCTCGACAATTATCACACTATTCGAGTCAGTTGTTTTAGTGCTGTACATGGGATGGAGGGCACACAAACGGCGCGGGCTCGGAAAGAGCTACGTGCTGCAGAAGCAGCTCTTTCTGCCATTGTGATAGAGCACCTTGGTGTACAGGATGACGAGAACCGGGGATGTTGAGTGTGCTGAACCGTATTGTGTCCACACACTAGTCATACGTTACGTAGAAAGCGGAGTGGAGAGAGTGCAGAGACACCTGAGGATGGCAGAGTACGGCTGGCGGACTCAGGCATCCCTTCCAACTAGCCAATGAAAATGCCGAAACCACGTGATCATAGTGACTTTACGTCAGGTGACATTGGCTAACCGGTCATGGTTATGTAGCTGAGTCATTTGTCATAAACCTGTTCATGACCTCTATAACGTCCTTCATGCGACATTTTCATCATGCTGGCAACATCTCACCCTTTCCGATTCCACCCAACGAGGAAGATGGACATGGCAATCTGCAAAATACGAGGGTAAAGACCAGATCACAAGACGTTGCCAAGTGCTGGACGAGATCTTGCCCGCGAAAAGGCCTAGATGTGTGGGTTCTACAGCAGGAGAGAGCCTCGGGAAAGAAAGACAACCTGGAATATCCATCTTCTCCCTTCCATGATATTCTCCCCATTCTTGATGATATTGACATAAAAGAACAATACTATTACCTAAATTGAGTCAGAATGTCTATCACCTCCAACGTTAATCATCAACCTGTGTCTCATCTGTCAATCATCAATCAAGAGTAAATGTATATACATATCCATATATATAGAACGACACTAGGCCTTGAACTCCTCTTGCGAACATCATCATTCGCTGTCATCTGCCTCAGGTTCGAGCTTCATTGCCATCCATCGATCCCGCGCCTCATCAGGGTTCCAGTCCTCACGACCAGAATTCCTCCGTGCTTCCTTCAACCACCCATCCCAGTTAGGGGTCGACGGCGCCAGTTGCCCCTTATGAATCCAGTGGACCTTCCCCGTCGTTCGAATACAGTGCCACAGAACCTGTGTATAATTGTCGGTGAGCTTACGCTCGATCGGCTTGATACTGTACCGCGAGTCAATATCCCAGGTTTGCCGAGGTTCCGTCAGCAACGCCATGGCCCAGTAAGCGATATTGAGGATGACGTATGCCAAACCGACGGCGATCTGCGATTTCCATCCGCAATTGCTGAAGAAAATGATGGATGCCATCAGCAGCACCGTGCTAAGTGCCAGAAGGACTTGGTGCGCCCGCCCCCTGAAGACATAATCGCAGGCTTCCGTGCCGCCATAAAGCTCGCGAGCAATGTCCTCGTTGCATTTGACGACGATAAAAGCACCCGACCGCGTGCGGATGACCACATCTCCGGGCGGGACCTTGGCAGCCTTGGACTTCCGCACCGACAGCTTCGGTCGCCATTGGGAGGATAAGCACGCGGTGCTCGTGGATAAGGTCATGGTTCCCAGACCAATCAAAGCTACCGCGTCATGGTTGACGCCGGCCCAGACGAATAGTGCGATCGTCATCAGGATGGAGACCAGCGTTACCAAATTGAGTGGGCAGATCTTGCGCAGTGGAATGCTGTTCTTGTCGTCCGGGGGCCCATTCTGCTCGGGACTACTTCCGGAATATGTAATTTCGTACGACTGAAACTCGTACGGCTCCAGCGAGTCTACCCGATGGATCACGTCGGCGAAAAAGTTCAACTCGGTGAAGTGATTGCCGGAGAAGACACCCACGACGTGTACGTCCTTAACGGAGGGGAGGCGGACGGGGCGATCGGTGTTGAGCATTGTCTCCGGGGCGGGCAGGAGGCGCGGAAACCCCCCCAAGGGTGATGCTGTGATCGCTTGCGCATGCTTCTCAATAGATGAACCTCCGACCACAGCGAGTAAACCGACGATGTCGAAGCTCCAGGTAGGCTCATCCGACGCGAGATCGAGGGGAAACCAACCCATTTTGTTTATCGGTTTCTGTCACGGTGCCTCCAATCGAATAGGGGAAGGTGCACGACGATGCGAAAACAATACCAGTAAACACAACTTGATGAAATGAGGTTCGCTGGACTAGTACACAGACTATCCCACTGGACCGGTAGAGAGTCAGGTAAAATACTGCAGATTCATCAAGCGAGGGCCTGACCGCAACAATTTAAGCGCCAGAACAAGAGGGAAAAAGGAATCGCCAGGAGAAAACAGTCAGACACAACGTGTAGACTAACAATCAGCCGCCCCCACTGACTGGGGTCCAAAGTCCGCTATCGCTACGCTGCCCATATCCAGTGCATTGGAAGATCCCGTTTTGCCGTGTTACTTATCATCCCACTGCCTGGTGCCCCGTACATCACCCCTTCATGGAGAGATGAACTGTCGATGATATCCGGATCTAAACAGGGGTTTTTTGTCTGGGTTGACGAGCTGAACTGTGGGGCCCCGGCGTCAAGCCCAATCACGGTCGAAGGACAACGCAAATCTGCGGGGCTATCCTGTCACGCAGTCTTTGCGGTTGAGGGGGACAAGCCAGCCTCCTGCTGATGGATGAATTCGACCAGTGACTCGCAGGGTGAGCCAATGAAGCGATGGCCAATACGAGAGATAATTTGCGCGATCAAGCTTGGGTTAGCGCGACTACTCTAGCGTGGATGATTGGGATGAAGAGCAGAATGGTGCCCGAAGGCGGATGGTAATCTTTTTGCATCCATCTACAAAGATTAGGTCCTTTCGTTCGACAAGAAATGTCTCCCTGCATCATTTCCTGATTTTAACCCCTCTAAGTACTTCTTGGCTGTGTCGTCGAGACGCGAGCCCGCAAGCAGAACTTCGATGATGTGACCCGCCAGCTGTCCTTGCGTTATGATCCCGCAGCGTACGGCGTCTTTCATCAGCTCGGCGGTGCTATGTGGTTTCATGCCCCGTCGGATACGCTCTGCTGGGGGTTTAGCTTTATTCACTACGGAGCACTTTGCGGGTCTATGGCGATGAACTCACTGTTCAATGCCCCATTGCATGGCTTGACGATCTCGACGGTATATTCGCGAACAGACGACATGCGATAGGTAGCCCTGAGTCCGATCTGATGACCCAGACCCTTGGTCGTGAACGTACTGGATCTGTAATACTCGGTTACGCCGCCCGAATATTCCTGCCCGTCGTTGGGTCTGCCCTTCTGCTGGTTGATGCGGCTGGAATTTTCCCCATGACTTGCAGACGCCTTCCAGAGTCGGTGTCGGGCACTGTCGGGACCTGATGACCATTAGTATTTGGATTCCCGGCATTTCGATGATCCTGACCTTCTTCAGGATCAGAGATCTCGCTATCCTCCGTGTTCTGGTCAGCTTGGGGCTGAACATGGGTTGATTTGGATTCTTCCTCGCCGGGGAACAATCGATCGGCCTTGTACCCTGCGACGGCCTCGAAAACCCCGTTCTCCTCTACATATGGTTCAGTAGGTTGGTGATCAAGAACGTGTGGAGGAACTGACTGTAGACAATAATCCCATGCTCAAATCTTGCGTTGGCCGAGTAGGAGATGAGAAAAAATACATCGATAAACCCAATCAGCCGGATCTTACCCGTCCATTGCTCTCCATTGATCGAGATCTCCCACGGGTGTATATCGCTACTTTGTTATCTCGGAGGTCACAGAGCTATGCAACAGGGGACATACCAGTCACATTCCAATGTATTGTCCCGAACCGATCTGCCAAAGGTTTCTAGCACCCGATGGTAAGATGCCATGATGAGTGTCTTGCGAGAGTTTACAAAGGTCTTCGGGCGGACCCTATATTTCAAACAAGATCAAATCCTCCAGTTGAGACTTTGGAGGTTCAGTTGATGCTAAAAAGCTAAGTCATCAGTTTGCGATCGTCGTCTCCACGTCAGTGTATGCGACATGACGATTTCGCAAATGGTAAAGCCGGTCGAAGTGGTGTGAGAGGGAGAAAGCTGGCGGGAAAGAGAAAGAGGGACAACGCAACGCAGGGAAAACAGGTCAAAAGCAAAGCGTGTGACTCGGGCAACGTGGCTCAATGAGACGCGTCATTTTCTCTCTGTCTTGTCTGGTGGGGGAAGCACTTGCATGAGCAAGTCAGTGAGGTTTACAATGTGATAGGTTACCTGGAAACCCAAAAACCTTTCAGTGGGAGTGGCGAGACATGGATCGGGTCCCAATATGGCCCAACTGTATATATGTCTCCCGGATGAGGAGCAGAGCTTTCTCATTTCCCATCATTTCACAGGTTTTAATGAATATGGATCCCTTACAGGCCCTCAGGTCAACCGTTGAAAGTACTCTCACCCACCATGCCTCACTCAAGGAGATACACGGCCTAGCCAATTTGGTCATCGATCGCGCGGGACACATCAAGGATGTTGCTCTGAAAGAAGCCGAGAGGAATCAATTGCGCGTCACTCTGAACAATGTTCTCATTCCCAAACCCAAGATACATTTTGTGGACGACAGAACCTTCGAAGGATACACCGAGGATAAAATTCCTGATGATTGGTTCGTCTCATCCGACGACGATTTGAAAACGCCATTTCGCATGTTCGATGTCGAGACGCAGAACATGGTCAGTACGTCCAATCTCGGCCTGAACGACCAGTATTGTGTTGTCTCGCACAGCTGGAAAGGCTCCGAGGTTGATCACCAGTACTTTGCCGATGCTAAAACCATGGAGTCCCTGGAAGACAATATAGAGGCACAAGAGAGCATATGCCAAGATTCACTACAGCACCAAACAGTGCCTGCATCAAGTGATTTGGGCAAAGTTATTGAGAAGAGCAAAGCGGATATCACGGTGTTGGAGCGTAAGGTGGCATCTGCACTCATGCAAGCTCGCCCCAGGCATGATGGAGAGCGCCCCAAGGATCTAGAAACACTTCTTCAGTGGTATGTCGATGCAAGGGGGGCTGAGAGCGGAATGAATCGTTGGCAGAAAGAGGTCCACAACGCTGCAACCCTTCGCTCCAGCGCTGAACGGCGCGCAGCGTATTATAGAACGGTGTGGAATGCTATGGTGGATTGCCTCAACCCCTCAAATACAAACACCAATGAGAGAATACCATCGTCCGACGATACGGGGTCAAGACAGCTTGACTCTGCAATTGATAAATTGACCTCGGGGACATTGAATCAGCAAGCGCTAGCAGAAGAGAACTTTAATGCGGCATCTAAAGCCTGGGCGGAGACTTCCTCCACCGCCCAGTTCTTTGACAGCAATCGGGCATTGAGCTACGGTACTGAAGCATTGTTGGCTGCTCTACAACGCATCCGGTCCACACGCAAGATTGAACAGTCCATTATCCATGCAAAGAAGCTATTCGAAGCGCACTTCCCTCGCGGGGGGAAACGATACGTGTGGCTGGATACGTGTTGTATCAACAAACGGGATAGCTACGAGATGACCGAGTCCCTGGCGTTGATGGGAGACTGGTATGCCAACGCCGACTTCTGTCTCGTGCATCTCGATACTCCCCGGTCCGAGGCGTCGTGGATCGAGGAGTGGAAATACTGGAAGATGCCATCCCACGTCCCAATAGAATTAAATATAGAACGGTTCACGGATATTGCCACGAAGGGTAAAGTGGGTGATCACAAAGCCAAGGCCCAGGTAGAATGGGCTACGCGTGGATGGACGCTACAGGAGCTGGTGTTGAGCAAAATGACCTACTTTGTTAACTCCCACTGGCAGCACTTGGAGAGGCCTATTGAGGTCATTGGGCCCTTCTATTTCCTCTGTCCATTCATTCACAGGTACTTGAAACACCCCTTCGTCCAGGGTCTGGGGAAACCACCCGTCGAAGTAATACACAAATTGGAACAACAACTATTGTCAAATCCGATACACGAGATGCCCCGAGAACGCCAGCTTGTCTTTGTGCTTGAAAAGATTGGCTTCGTGCCTCCCAAAGATTTAAGAGACACGACGGCTGAAGCGCAGGTTGGGAAGGCCGTGCTTGCCGCTGCCAGGATGTCTCCAAGCATACTAGATAAACTGACATTGGACACCCTTGTCGACCCATGCAGCGACAATCTCGACCTTCATGGAAGGTTAGCTCTTATTAACCATCTGCTTGCTGACTTAGTCGCTACTACCGGTGCAGAAATAGTAAACGACCGCCAGCGGATATCAGCGTTTAGTAAGATCGGGCATCTAAGTAATTGGGTTGCAGGGACTGGACTATTGGACTCTTCCGCCAGCAGCGTCCTGATTACTGCCTCAGACAGGCAAACCACCGTTTCAACGGATAAGGCATACTCGTTGATGGGGATCCTTGGCGTTCGTTTTTCCGCCTTCCCTGCGGAGGGACTTCCCAAAGCACTATCCAGGCTGTTAGACGAGGTTGTAATCACGTATAACGATGTTTCGGTCTTCAATTGGACGGGCAAGCATTGCGGGAGCCCTCTCCACGGGCGATCGCTATATCCTGCCAGCATCGATGCTTTCGTGGATCCAACAAATGATCCGACTTCCACCACACAGGTTAATGCCAGCCAGAACATATTAAAACTTTTGCACATTCGACGAGCGCGACGGAGAAAAATCGCTCGCGACGTCAACAACCTACTAGCTGGCATGCTCGTCCTAGCGAAGGAGCTCCCTGCAGAATGCTCAACGCTGTATGAGCTGGGCGACCTGGCAGACACGATCAAGGATGCCAAATTTGAGCGTCTCGAAGTCAACCTCCACAATTTAGAGGTCATTATCGCGACCATTCAAGCTGTTTTGTCTCGCCAGGTGCCCATGGACGTTAAAGAAGACGCACCCAGCAAGATTTCTGGAAGATTTGGCTCGCTTGAGCGAATAGATGGAATCCGTAAATCGGGTTTGCCGCATCATGCAATTGTTCCCAAGCTATCCTTTCGGCGACAAAAGGCTACACCCCGGCCATCCCAGGGAGGACAGCAACACCAGGCATCAAATTTGAAGAACGGGGAAACAGACGACCAGGAATCCGATCTCCAAGCGATCAACGCATCAATAAAGCACATTATCGGCGAGTTGAATTACCCTGTGCCAACACACGTTGAGGAAATCAGCGACAACCTTACCCAGGATGGCGGCGCAAAAGCCCAGCAAGGTCAAGAAAGGAGGCTAGTTTGTCCAAACCCGATTGTGGTTAGCACTGCTGGTATACGGGGCATCTTCGACATACAAAGGGTCATTGTCACAATGATCGACCCTGACAAGCTACGATCTAAAGTTACAAATGCAGGTCCCAGACAAAAGATTGAGGGGTGGTGTACCATCAGCACCGGGTTGTCCCTCACGCTGGTCGCATTCACTTGCGACGCGCATGTGCTAGCCAAGCAGCTAGATCTTTTGGAAGTAATCGCGCAAGACATTGATCCTAACCAGGATCGTGGTCCAGTCACGGATCCCGAACAGCCTTGCGGCAGCACTTGGTGGCCGAGGAGCGCCGATCAACGCAAGGTCTCTCGAATGGTTTCCTTTGTACAAAATTCTGACCTTCATAGCATTGCCGGTGAATGGGTGCTAGGCCGTTTCTCGGGATCACCGGGGGCCAGATGGTTCCTCTGCCAGTTGGAGCTGGGCGCCGGAGATGATTTCTACGGACAGCGAATTGCTACAGACGCTTTCAGCTTTGAGAACGCCGCCCCCGAGCAGGGTCTCTCCGAATACTGGCACCAATTCACGGAGGAAAAGAAAGCCAGGACCTGCGAAACGATTAAGATGTATATCCTCCGGAAAGCGCTTTGGAGAAAGGCGGGCAGTGAGATGGATAAGCTCAAGCGCATAGAGGATGCAAAAAAGAGGAGCAAAGGCCACGTCGACTGGGACGCTGCGGCGGCGATTGCGCAAGACCTCTCGTCGAAGAAGCTAATCAACATGGGGAGAATGGCACGGCTAGGTGTTGCCGGGGCCGGTGTCGACCTGTGGGCCAACTATTTAGAATCGCGTATTGAGAAAGGAGCACTGGACCGCCTGCCAATACCTTTGCAGACGGCCGTGAAGGATTTGGATCACAACAAGATCTTATTACCAGCCATGTTCCACGCCGGGCGTGAGGTGCATATGTTCTAATGGCGACGATGAGCTGCGTGGGTCGAGGCACCCATTGTCTAAACACGCGGGGGCGGTAAGCTCTAGATATTGGTGATACAACATTTCTCCTTGCAGATGATGGGTATCTACTAAAATACTACGTATGTCCAACAGCGAACGAACTACAATAGGAAGAATTGAACAAAGGAGGACTATAGAAAACACACCACTACCCTCATGGGTGGGTTGGAGTCAGCCCAGGTAGAGATGTTCTCGGTGATAATCTATAATTTACTTTTCTACGGAGTACGTGCGGTCGATGTAGATGTAGATTAATAAACGGGTATATGATCATTTGAGCTAGTAAGGGTTTTGTTTATCTTTTTGGGGGGATTCTGGCAACTAATAAAGAAATCCGTTATCCCACAAAGAGAAGTGCAGGCAGCCGCTGATGACTTCACATGAACATAATTCTATAAAATAAATTCAATACCTGGAAATTGAATTATTTTGAGCATAGATTGCTTTATTTCAGTGATGAATTGCATGGACCTGGCTGGTCAGATTGCCCAATCGAGCTGGCCCTTGTTCCCTATCGCCTGTGGAGCTCGGATGTCGATCGATTCTAAATAAGCAGGGGACGACGATCCATTCCAAAAATAAGTTGACCGCATTTCGATACATCGTAACAAATAGTGTCAATCTTCTCAAAATCTGCAGCACATCTCGAGCCTTGTCAGTCATTTACCATTTCTACCATGATCATGGGCATCCGTTTCTTGCCATGGGTAGCCCTAACCCTGGCTGCTGTCACTGCAGCTCAAGGACAACCCTTTTCGACCTGGATGCTGGACAGCATCCTGGCGCGGCAGGATGGAATTACCAGCACAGGGGCGATGACAAGACAAATTGAAAATGTCATTTTCCCACACTCGATCACCTGTATCCCATGCTGATTCGTGCAGGGCATCTTCCAAGAGGCGCTTCGCGCCGCTATCGAGCGGTCGGATGACGCTGTCCAGCGTGGCCGGTGGACTGAATATCATCATCGCAGTGTGGAGCAAGGCATCCAGGAGGCGCTAAACGCGTCCAAAGATGCTCTAGATTATGGACTAGACCGACTGTGTCTAGCTCGGTCGCTTCTGTCGGTCCTTACCGCTGTCATAGTTCTAATTTCTACTGACAACTCGCCAGCGAATTGCCCCCCAATGGCCAATTTGACCAACAAGCCCTGGAAGCTTTGCGGGAATCAGTGCGGCTGCAACCTCGCAATGCCCTAGGTATCTTGATTTCCATACACAACGATCTGTGCTTTTCCCGTCGCTGACGACCACCACCAGGTGGCCTTTGGTACTACGCCAACCCGCCCGCCCCTTATAATTACCACGGAGACGCGTCCTACGGTGATGGCATGTATGGATACGCTCCGTACGCCGCCCTTTGGGGATCAATTACCGGCGACGAGGTGCTGAATCTGGACGCCGCCCTTACACAATTAGCCCTGATATATCGCAATGCGCGCGATTCAACGACTGGTCTTGTCAAGCACGGGTATCAGCTGTCCCGCAATGCCTCCTGGGCCGATACCGCTACAGGTGCCAGTCCTGTTATCTGGGGGAGAAGTCTGGCCTGGTATACTGTTGGCCTGGTCGACGCCCTGGAAGTGGCTGCCACGAGGTCACCGGAGGTCGTGGCTACCGTAACGTACCATCGCACACAGGCTCTGCTGCGGGATATAGTAGCAGCTGAGATAGAGGCTGTGGACAAGTCCGTGAGCGAAACGGGCCGCTATGGCATTTGGCAGGTCGTAGACCAACCCGAGGCCCCCGGTAACTTTATTGAATCCAGTGCTGGTGCCCTGATCACCTTTGCTCTAGCCAAGACCTTGCGTCTGGGTTATATGGGAGATGTGCATGGTCGGGTGTCGGTTCTTGTCCGAAAAATGCACCAGGATCTGGTGGAACGTTTCGTCGGGCACAATCAAAATGGCACGCTGGACTATTTCGGCACTAGTGCGATGGCTAGTCTGCATCAGCCCAACGTTGACTACGAGGTGTGTGATAGTTCTTTGACTTTTTATTGTTGGAACAAACCTAAGCGTGATCTAGTACTATGTCAACTTGCCGGTCACGACGAACAGCTTAATAGGCACGAGTGCATTCGTTCTAGCGAGTCTCGAGATCGAACGGATGGGCTAATCAGATTTGTGGGATATTACTCTGAAAAGGTGATTGTCGGGTCATGTTTGGATTTACTAGGATATAATGTTTCAAACTTGATGTTTCGAGCTTCATGTTCATCACCAGCCGATCAATGGCGAGACATCTCACTGTGTTCATCACTGATCGTAAAGCTCCAACACCTTTTGGTAGAGTGCTGCACAGAAAAAGCTTTAACCCTCAATCTGCAAGTACCATGTCGATCCCCCAATGCAATGCGGGGTCGGTAGTATCGGCTGGCCTTCGCTCAGGGGCATCGTTAATCAAACCCCCGCAGGGGAGCTATAGGACGTGGTATTCCAGCGTGGCATCCGACCATAGCCAAATGCATTAAAAGTTTTTGATAGAAAGTTTTCGATATTCCTCAGGGATAGCAAAATGATCCCCATTAGTGCAGCGCACACTCATCAATAGATCACTCAATTGGGCAAGCATCATGAAGATATCCGGTATCAAAAGGCTATGCCTGATTGCAGCTTGCGTCCACGCCGCAGTAGCTGAGCCGGTCGTTCGCACGGGTTTAGATGTCCTGCGTGGAGCGGACTACAAGCAACTACATGGGCGCAAAGTCCTCATCCTGACGAATCCTACCGGAATTACCCCTGACTTCGACTTGGGCGTAGACGTCATGGCCTCGTCTGGCAAGGTCAGTCTCGCAGGGGTCATGGGCCCTGAACATGGCTTTCGAGGTACCGCACCGGCCGGAGGGTCGGAGGGCACATTTACAGATGAAAAGACTGGTTTGACGGTTTATGTATGAATTCCTTGTCCATATAATATGCGAGAAACGAGTGGTACTCATACGGGTATAACAGGATGCATACAATGCCAACACGTCCACCCTGGTGGGGTACATCCGGGACTCAGGAGCGGACACGGTCCTCTATGACATTCAGGACGTTGGGGCGCGGTTTTACACATGTATGTACACCCTGTACCCCTGCTGTATTTGCCCATCTGATGCTCCATCAAGATACGTGGGCAATGTTTGACACGATGGTCGCCGCTGCCCTATCCAATGTATCATACATTGTTCTCGACCGACCAAACCCCATAACCGGGCTCAATGCTTTCGGCCCCGTGCTGAACGAGAAGTACGCATCCTACGTCGGACGCCGACCAATTGCCCAAGCCCACGGCATGACATCCGCTGAATTGGCCCGTATGTTCGTTGGTGAAGGCTGGATCAAACATGCCGCCAAGGGGGCGAATCTACACCTCGACGTCGTTCCAATGCAGGGATGGAAGCGAGAGATGGCCTGGGAAGACACAGGCTTACCGTGGGTCATGCCCAGCCCTAGTACGTACTCCAATCGGAACTGTAACAGGCCCAATACTAACGTGGTGTAGATATGCCCACCCCCCAAACGGCCCTGCTATACCCCGGGACGGGCATGTTTGAAGGAACCAACCTGTCCGAGGGACGGGGAACTACGCGACCCTTCGAGGTTAGTCTACACTTTACGACAAGTATTTATTTTCAGTCTGATGATTAATTGCAACAGTTGCTGGGTGCAACGTTCGGTAACGAGACATGGGCCATGCACATGCGGTCCCTGGAGGTTGCAAATACGAATTATCGCTTCGCGTGCTTTAGCCCAACTACTTCCAAATTTGAGTCGGAAACGGCTTGTGGTGTGCAAACTTATGTTTCACTACGAAACCAAGCGAGCTATGAGGGATTTGATCCAGTTTATCTGGGCGTCGCTTTGTTGTCGACTGCCAAGCAGCTCTATCAAACTCCGAAGAACGGGACCGCATTCGAGTGGTTGGCGAGCACATCTGACAAAAGCCAGTTCAATGTTGATATCCTCGCGGGGAGTCCACTAGTTCGTGAGGGAATCGATGCTGGGTTGACACCAGAGGCGATTAGAGCAAGCTGGAAACCTGCCCTGGCTAAATTCAAAGCCCAGAGAGCGCAGTATCTGGTGTATTGAAATGGAAGGATGACCATGTACTATTACGAAAAGGCTTGCACATGTTACCTCTTAGATCCGTTCTTTTGAATTATGAGCTGGATAGGATTTTGTATGCATACAGGGAGTGGTCTAACGTCTGCATATTCTGCAGATTGTGATATCCACAGAGATTGTGGACGTGCCGGATGACCATCGATGGAATGAAAGAGGACATTCCCTGGATAGCGGAAATTCAGAGGAAGCACAGGGTATATTGGCATAGAGTATATTGACTTTACCGCGTGCCTGTTTGGTCAACAATGGCAATATCGGTGGTATCATACTGAATAAATGTGGCGTCGGGCTTATAAATCAAGTTGCCGACCTTGAACAGCATCCACAAAAAAAAAAAATCAATAACTTAATTGAACTTTCCTGCTTACTACATAGCTGACAATGGATTTGAACTTCACCGATCCTTTAAAAATCCCACGGGGCGTCACTGTCATGTGCCTGGATGGTGGATATGGTTTGGTAGCACAGGTCCTTTCCATTGCGGGGAAAACGCTATGCCAACCTTGTATGCTGTTTGTTTTTTACCCCACTACATAAAGCCTGCTGGTACTTGGTGTTTTGAACGCGACCTATCCTGTCACTCCGAAAACTGTATTCATTGACTGGACACGTGGTTGATTGTGAATACCCGGGGTTTTATTGCACGGCTTCTGTTCACGTTCAAAAGTAGGTTCACATGTTTCAGCTATGGAGTAAAGCTGCCTGTAGTACAAGATCCTGCTCGGCCAAGAAATATACAGCCGTCGTAGTTATGGTGAAGATATAGTTCCATATCAGCGAAGAGTATATGAGTGAAACTATAGTTTTTGACCCAAAGTGGAGCCTAGGGATCTACACATGGGAAGATTGCTATCTAAGTAGGGATTGACAAATTCCCGCCTTGACTCCTCTTCGCTATGCCATGCGCACTACTAGTGGCCGAGCAGATGACCATGATCAACATCCACGTACTCCGTACTACGTAATACAAATTGAGGCAGTGCATGAGGATGCAGGAACAGTCCCAAATGCCCATCTTTGTCTCTGTTCGTCCCGCCTGGCCCCTGGCTATATCCAACCCCATCCCTAACCTATTACCCTTCATCAAGCGTTCAGCGAACCGCAGGTCATCGTTAGAATCCTCCTTTTTGCCCGATAGTTGAGATTGCCTACCCTTTTAGCCCCGTACCAGGAAAGCAATCCATGTCTCGAAACGAACGGTGCTTCTTCGTCTTCAATAAGTCCCAAATTGACGCTTCCTCATTTGATTAACCGGTCCGGAAATCCCCCAAACCTATCACAGGTTGTCAATTGCGCTATATATCTTAACCCTACAGAAGAAATAGGTCATATAGCATGGAATGACACTAACATAAAAATCTTGAACGAGCGTATACATCGATGTTCACTGACTGGGCACCGTTGCGGCCCACAGTGATGATCCTATGTTCCCGCCCCAAGAGGTCTTCATTTTCCCAATTGCTTCTCGACAGTCAGGTGGTCCATGAACTACTATACGCTATTCGACTAGTCGAACAATAGACACTGACATCAGGTGTCTCTTGGGTGCTCCCTTGACGGGACCACCTCGCCCTGGTGGGTCGGATATCGATCCTCGCGGGGATGGCGGGGCATGGTTGATATCCCGCCAACCCATTGGATGTATCAACCAACATCAACGCCCGAGGAGTGTGGCCGGACCAGTAATCTTTTAGTAAAGAACTTGGTCTTTTGGAGGCGATGTAGCAGGAGATTGGCAGGGGTCACACACGACACAGCCGCCGCGTGAGGGAGCTGAAATTTGCATCTCTGGGTTATCTGAATACATTATGTCTTGTAGAAGCGGCAACTGACCATCATCAGAGTGTGAGTTCTTATCACGAACTTGAATATCCTTCTACACAGTGTGCTCCCTATCCTCTCATGAAAGAATAATCCCTGAGATATACCTGTTGATCAGGGCTTCCCTATAGACCTCATTGTCATATAATCATAGATTTATCGCAGATGAGATAGCCACAATATGTCTTAGAAGGTAGGATGGCAGTGGGTATACCCAATCGGTTAATTACCAACATTAACTGGCTACGCCATCGCCAAGCTACGGCCCCATCTATGCCCACTTGGAGAGGCTATACAATCGCACCTACACTTTGTGCGCAAAGACTGATTCGCTAGCAGGCTCACACTATACCGTTTCCCCCAAAGATCTTCCTCGGTGGAGATGGCCCCCCACCGTAGACAACCTTTCGTGTTGGATAGTGATATATAGGATGTATTTCTTATGTCCAACATCACAGCAATTTGGGGCCAGGTCTGTATTGTCACAATCCTGTGATACCCCTGCCTCTCGCCCTGTAGGATGCTTCCCACACTGTTCACCGGGCCGGTGGAGCATACGTTGAGGTGATTGTGGAGAAAATCTGGTTGGACAGAGGTAGCAAGATGGGATATTGTCTGATCTCATGAATGGGGGTCGGTATGGGCGGCTGGTGAGGCAGCTGGTGGGATAGATAACAGATCGGTGTTTTGTATATAAACCAGCGAGTCACCACGCAACAGCTACCAGAATTCTTCTTCATTTTCAGCCAATATTTGATCAGACTGTACTCTCGTTCCTTACTGTTAATCACAACCTCTCTTCAAGCAATAAACATTTTCGCCATGCGTCTGGGAGGTGTCATCCTCCTGGGTCAGCTGGTTAGCCAGGTCAAAGCAGTTCCTCGTCCGCAGAACACAGCCCAGAACGGGTCACAAACCAACAATGGGGCCAATTCCTGGAAAACTATGCAGTGTGCACAGCTTCAAGGAGACCCGGCAGCAGAGTGGAAAGCCGCTAATGGCGATGCTGCCTGGAATACTACCACTGCCTCGTGGCGCCAGCTACAATCGAAAGGGAAGGCCTTCCCTCGGTTCGTGAGCGAGTTTCTCCACGGACCGGACGGGATGCGATGCAGTGATTTCGCGACAGAGAATCGTTGCGCCATGCCCGTCGAGTGTCAAAATAACATTATCCCCGCTGGGTATGTCGAAGTAGCTGATCTTTTCATCTTGGTGATATCCAGCGACTCTGACCATGTGGCAGTTCGGTGATTCTGAATGGGTTTGTGGCAATCCACCAGGTCTGTGATGACATGTCCAGTTAAAATCGCCTAAGTGTATGATACTGACGTATTCTGGCAGCTTCACGCCTCGAACTATCAAGGCATCGACAGCCTCGAGGCAGACCTCACGGCGGAGGTCGGAACATTTCGGGATACATTTGCCCCAGAGGAGCAAGATGAGAGCAAAGCCAAGAAGAACATCTTTGACTCCATCATGCTAGTACTGATGCTTGGGGAGTCTCTGATATTTAGCGCCGGTATGTTGCAAGCCCCACCCCCCCCACCGGTTCAGAGTTGCAGGCTAAGTCTTAGCACCCATAGCGCTGAGTGCGGTAGAACATGTGGCCAAAGCCGTGACATACGACTTTATCATGGCCAGTCAAGCGTCCGTGGGTGCTTTCTACAAGACCAATATGAAAGCGTGAGTCCCGCGCCCCACTATCGCAGGTCTGCCCCTGTCGAAATGACCGTGCCCATTTCCCCATATGTCAGTCTAACTATGTACAGTGCGGTCGAGGGCCTAAAGGTACAGAACGATATCAGCTCATATCTAGGACAGACCATGCTGGCCTGGAAGGGCCTGGAGTCTCAGTATCTGCAGTCTATATTCTCCGGCTCGGATGATAGCAACAAGAAATTGTATGATATCATCCACCACGGCGTCCAACAAGATCCCATCAACACCCTCGACCTAAACAAGACAATGGGAGAAATGAAAAAAGCCATATATGGCCAGATGATCCCCTATGCGTGGAGCGTTGCCCCGGGTGACAAGCGCCCCTTTATCTGGTCAGTCTTTCCATTGATCGATGGCTGGTGCAATGGATCAACGAACTAAAGTCATCGACAAGGCGAACAATTTATGACTGCGATGAGAATACAAAGGACATTCCGGAGGAATACAACAGTCCTCTTGATCAGAAGTTCGCTGTCGACACCAACGTCTGCCATGATGGGAAGATTCATTATCTTCTCGCCGCTTACAACAAGGACATGTCCAACTACGGACTAGACCGACTACCTGGTGGTGTGCACTCCACACTAGATGGGTCTCGGTGGGGTGGGCTTACTCTCGAGCAAATCGTTGCGAGCAGCATCGCAGGGTGGAAGAACAACAATCAGAAGAACGGATATCCGCGCCCGAACATGGACGACATCATTGGTAAATTCGGCAAGGAAAAGGTCGATCTGAGCATGGCCGGATTCTTCAACTTTCCTATCTGCACGGGACTATATAGACGCGGCATCGAGGATGTGATCTCGCGCGGCAATCCCGACGACCCTTCGTGGCCGTGCGACAGCGCGGAGGGATATAGTAGTAGTGGTACCAACATCGTGAGTTGATTCTACCACAGCTTCATTACCACATAGCAGTTGCTGACTTGGCCACAGAACATTGCACGGGGCTGTATTGTGATCAACGATTCCAAGCGCTGCGCGCAGGGAACCGGTGGTGCATATAGTAAGTTTTCTGCCCGAACAGACTTGCAGCACGCACTAACAGCGTGGCTAGACGTCGCGGATCAAAGCAAGGAGAAGAACACTGCCACGATCTATGCTGGGTTTGATGGTGATGACCACATTCATGACAGGGTGACTCCACCGTGCAAACTAAATGCCGAATGGCCCCGGAACTGGGGAGACTTGGATTTCGACAACAACTGCCTTAAGAGTCGGGATGAGAGTTACGAACTGTGCTGCTCGGACAAGACCAAGACAAGCGATGTCGTTATCAATCCATATGTGCCTCAGGACTAGTCCTTTTTTTCTGGGGTAGCCAGGATGGGTTGGTTTGGGATGCATATGCCATAGTGCTATGGTAACCGTATCTCGTTGTTTCCTTTCTGATAGTGGAAGGGCTGGGCGTTGAATAGTATTCAATTTATCTAAACCCTTGAAATAGTATATATACTGTAAATTGGCAGCTACAAGAGCTTGCTGAAGTTGTTCATTTTCGTCGAATTTGGGCACCCCAGACGCGCTCTTTGTATGAACCCAAGTCTCGTTAATAGTATGGGCAAGGCGAATTAAGTCACTGCCACCTGCTTCGCAGGCCATTTGCTTCGCCTTAAAAAATACATGTAAAGACACGCGCGATGTTAGGGTTTACACAATCCACGTTAGAGATATAGTCCCTATCCCAGTGTTGCGACAGGATTCATTGATACTCTGACATGCCATAATTTGCACTATTCCTGACAGGGCAATCCAGTTGCCGCTGCCAAGGTTGATTAATGTTCTCGCTGTTAGGATGAACTAGCTAGCTTCATTTTCGTTATCGGTCGGAATGAGTTATGTATGCCAAATGAGATCTGTACGCGTTGATTTGCGATAGCTTTTGACAAGAGGGGACGGTTCTTGTTATTGGTCTCCGCGTCGGCTCTCGCTGTATGTCTCTTAGGAGAAAACACATCGCCAACACGCATCAGGCACCATCTCCCAAGATAGAAAAGTAGCGTACATAGAAGGGCCACGGTGGCGCCCAGAGCTAAGATGATTTTCACCATCCCGTATACCATCTCAAGTTGTTTGAATACAGGCATAATCAACATGTTGATGATGATCAGAGAGTACTTCGTGTCTAGCCATTCCATGGGGCCTCAAGTATAAACTCGATGACACGCAGAGAAAATAAACCCCGATGGGTGGGTAGTATTGTGAAGTTGTTTTGGACTAATCAACATGAGCAATCCCAAAACCGGATCAAAAGCCATGAGAAAGGAAAGTCGGCATCATGTGACAAAACAGTGGGGAATCTACATCGTGTGAAAATATTGTTTCTCATAAGCTTCATTCTCCCCCAATATTACTTCTAATTTGCGGCGTGGAACAAAGTACAATTACCACATCCTAATTCACCAGATATATAGACAGAGAATACCACGCATCCATCTACATACGCGCGAAGCAAGACCTGCTTATATTATATGAAAGACGAGGGTAGGGGTATATATAGTATCTGCCCTAGAAATAATATAAATTATAGCACCCATTTTGACAGATTATTGGATTGCTGTTTCGTTTCTTTTTCCTTCCACTATGAGCAGCGAAGACGACTACACGTCGACGAAAGTTTGATCCTACCTATAAAGGGACAGGTCCACAGCTCCCAGTTGGATGTCTATGTACCACCCTAACCCACAAGGTGTCATTACTCGACAGTGACAATAACCGCATACTAATAAATCATCAAATGGATGGCTCATGACCTAATTACACGTATACATGCATAGCTTCAGTAGCCACCCGAAAGTAAAATACAGTTATGGCAGCCTTTCCACACGGACCATCCTCGTTCTGGCAGTCATTGTTTTACTTGAGCCAAAGGGGCAATATGGAATTGCGCGTGTCTCCACGCCGATGGAAATATGTACCCAGATGCCCACCCAATCGCCGTAGGAGTTCCCTCGGGTGATGGCTCTTGACAGAAACTTCGACGACCACGAAGGACTCCCCATAGACTGTTTTAAACCTTAGCTTGACAGATACCCGCTCCCATTGACTAAGTCGAAATTTCCGAGAAGCCACGGCGTACGGTAGATTTTCCCCCTCTAGTTCGACCGACCCACCACTTAGCTTGACCAACCCATTCACAGGTTCTTGCCGTGACCACCACCCACACACGATATCAAATGTCTCGCCGCCAACGTCCAGGCAAAAGCCTTCCTTGAAGCTGCGCAAGACCCAGCGGTCCAGATCGACGGACAAGATATACACATCAGACGCCCACCCGGAACGGTTCCGCACAACCCCCGACTGATGGGTTCGGGTCCATCTGCCTGGACAGCTAGGCAGGTCTGAAATCGAAAGAAGGGGCCCTGGGCCCTGGTGGATGCGTAGGTAGCATGCCTTATTGCTCACTCCAGGCGGTACTGAGCCCCCCTGCGCCTCGCAGGTCATGACGATGAAGAACGATCGGCTTTTGGCCTTTCTCTCAATGCCGTACTCTATGGTACGCAGCCGCGTGGACAGATGAAGAACCTCGGAGGTGCCGTCCGCATCTTCCTTGACTGTGATTGCCAAGGACCCAGGGGGACAATCATTGTAACGGCATCCCAGCGTCATGAGCCAGTAGCCCTTGCGGAGGGGCAATGCTGGGAGGGTGATGTGCAAACCCTTTTTGGTTATGATGTATGCCTCGACATTCCGAGGCCGTGGCCACTGGTAGATGCGACTGGCGTTTTCGAAGTACGCAGGCGACGGCGCCAGCATACTGCTGTTATAGTGGACCAGTGTCTCGTCCATCGTGCCGATATCACCCTCCCAGGCGAAGAGACTCGTGTCATTCGACTGCTTCATGAGTTCCTTTTGAAACCGCATGAATGCGGTCGCTCCCTCGCCGTACAGCAGAGGCATGTTTACCTTGAATAGACCAAGAAGGCAGTATGCCTGGTCCTCTATCCTCGACGTCTGCCGCTTGGCTGCCCACGACAGCTTCCGCGCCACGCAGACGTCGTTGAGCTCCAACCCCGTGTCTCTTGCCCCCTCTAATATCGGACGGTCAATCCCGGTGATGGCACAAATCACGCTGGCCATCTCATGCTTGGTGGTCAGACAACGCCAGGTGGAGCTGTAGAATATGACTTCGTTGGGAGCTATCAGCTCCTGTAACGTCCACCCTCGTGTCCAATAGCGGGAATTTGCAAACGCTCCATTGAGGAAATCCCGCGTCGGCTGCTGGTCCCAGGGGATGGAGCCATGTTCCCCCGGGACATCGGCCAGGTAGGCATAGCATTTCGTCGCACCGGAGTACCACTCATACATGGAGTTAATCGCCTCCGACAACTCTGCACTGCTCGTTCTATCAATGCAGCACGTGTCGATCCAAACATATCCCAAGGCGTCCTTGGCAGCCTGCGTGCAGCTGTACGCAATTTTGGGAAACCCTGCCCGTTCATCGGCAGGGGGGCCATCCTGCCGTTGCACATCCTGGAAACTGACTTCGTCGTCTCCCCACGTATGTGAGAGAATGGCGTACTCCGGCTTGGCGCTGGTGACGAATTCTTCCAGCTCGAGAGTGTAGACATTAAGCAGCCTCATGTTGGCCTACCCCTTTCTAAACCCCAGGAGCAGGCAAGCCAGATGCCAGAAAGTTTGACCCAGCGACACCGCTGCCGCGCGCTACTGGCCACAGGCGCAATACTATCCTCGGTGTGGCGGTGCCGCTATTTTTCAGCGCCAAACTCCAATGTCTCATATTCCCGGGCCCTAATTGAGGTCGTGACAGGTCAAGTGGAGTCGTGCTATCCAGGACTGGGTTGCGCCGCTACTAGTCCTGGAGAACTAATACGAGAATAGAGAAGCTTGAATATCGTGAGTGTCTTTAGCTACGGGGGAACAAATCCGCAGGCACGAAACCATCGAGCATTATGAGAAGGTGGAGGCACTACCGCCTGGCTCCCGTTGATGTACACGGTCCTCCCAGTAAGGTCTTAGAGACTAGGCGATCGCTTCTGCTGCTTCGCGCTCATATCCAACAAGATCTCCTCGCTCCCCCACTGACAGCCAGGACGCGCACATCCCCGCCGATCGGGTCCACCCGCTACCCTCATCCGGAACGCGAGGATCACCGTCCCCCAAACATCTGTTGCAAATACCGCGATCTTCTCCAAGTTGTGCGCCACCTGGGCTTTGAGCACCGCCGCCAGGGGGCAAGTTTCCCGCGATCGCATGTGTACTGATTGGAACACCAATTCCTCTTTGTACGCCAGCGTCGGCTCGAACAGGCTCCCCGCCTTGGAGCATCCGTAGGAACACTTGGTTGTCGAACAGAGGGTTGCAGATAGATTCGTGGTGAAATACTGCGATCATCTAGTGATGGCCTTCTTGTAGAAGATGATGTTAACGGCAAAGTCGATATGGTGATTTCGAATTTCTGTTTCTCCTTGCCGATCATGTTTGCCCCCGTGACAGCGCTCCACAAGAAATAGAAATCCAACCTCATAATGAAGATGCTCAACTACACCACTTACCGTATCACGGCCCCTTCATCGCACTACATAGACTCCACCAGCTGACATACACCCAAGAGAGTTACCAATGCATCAACTACCTCGAGTCTTCACGCTCCATGAGACAGATCAACTACACGACGCCCAAGGCTGGCATCGTGGGGTTGATCGGGACTGTCGCGTCGGAATGGAGTGGGAGCGTTCTGTCTTAAATCAGTTCAAGCGGTTGCATGACAAAGATTCTTCTTCAGCACGACCCTGGTAGGATGCATATATCATTTGATCTTTGCCATCCAAGATGCCCGCGCACAGGCTGAGCGCACCTTGAGTATCAAAGCGTTCAAGCTCTCGTACCAGCTCCCCGTGCGATTCTCCCACACGCTAGACACCGCAAAACGCGCTACTCGGGCGCTCGACTGGGCAGTCTTCACGGGGGAGGTCGGGTCGCTTTTTACAATTAGGGATGGCGCGTACTTCCCAACGGAATGTGATGTTGAGGATCATCTCCCGACAAGGGAGAGGACGGCGGTCTCCCCACGTCGGCCGCAGGGGGTGCAGATTTCTGGGATCTGTTTTCCAGTAGCCTAGAAGAAGTGCGGTCACGTCATCATGCTAACAGGTTGTGAATACCACAAGAAATATCTAGAGCATCACGCAAGTTCAGAATGTGATATATTATATGGTGAATAGACCAGTCACTTCATCAGTAGCATTATCTGGTCATTTCCATCTCCACCCTCTGTGTTGATTCATAGTTTCGCCTGTACCTGCCTTCCTATCTGCTCACTCTCTTGTCATCACACTTTCTTCACAATTGTCCCTGTAAAGTTCCTGGGAAGAGCATTCACAATTACTACTTCCCCGCGGAGTGACTTGTAGTTGATACTTGCTTTGACATGATCTTCGCAGGCAATATTGTCACAGTATCTAAACCTGTCACGCTGGTAGGCTCAAATGACAGCCATTTCGCGAATAAATGGTTGTTAGACGAGGACAGTTTTCAAAGTCTTCATTTTATCAAGTGATAGACACAGGCTAAAAGCATGCTTACCACCAGCAGTTCCTGGTTTTGAGCACCGTTGATGCAGGCCTTTGGAGGTCATGGTCATGGAGGCACTTTCCTCTAGATAGTATACATCATAAAAATGTAGGACACGGAAAATTTATTGGAAGCCAAACGCTAATAGATATTCTGTTGAAGTCCACTGGACATGACTGCAAATTACTCCAGGCTGCTGTTGAGCCTGAGGCAACTGACGCTAACCGGAAAAGGTGCGTGCCAAATCCGCGGGCACGAGAACTGGTCCAATCATAACCTTGCTCTCGCTGTTATTTTGTACGCAATTTTCAAATCTCAAAATGCGTGCGGGTATCGTCTTATGCTGGCAGAGACTGTACTCAGGGAGGCTGTGGAGATAAACAATGCTTTTGATTACTTCATAGCACTGGTATTGGGATTACGACGTCGGTATCTCAGTACAAGTTGTCAGGCGAAAGAGAGACTTCACATTGAGAGTCTAGATCACGTGATAGAGTAGTCCCGGTTATGCAATTTCATGACGCGTATTGATCCACATCCTGTGATTCCGCGCCATCCCACGCCTCCACTTCTCGCGAACTACTCCGGGACCAGCAAACTGTCGACTCCAGGATCTGGCCATTTCCTCGATTGAGGCGACGGTCCATTATGCGCAAGGCACAACGAGCTCTGGTCCAGCTGGCCGTCTTTGCGGTCATCCTTTGCTTTCTTCTCTTCCTCAACCGTCCCTCGTACGGCCAGAAGATCTTCTCCTGGCGCCACATCCGCTATCGTACTCCCGCCGCCTCACTACCGGAATCGCGCGGCGTCTGCCCGGGATTATCCAAGACCACGAAACCGGCCTTGGTGGTATCGCGTATGTCTACCGATGGCGACCCCTCCTGGCTCGACAATCTGGCCTCCCGATACCACCTCTGCGTATACACCGTCGATGCACCCGCCAACCCACGCTCCGACCAGCTCCAAGTCCCTGCGAACCGCGGCCATGAAGCCATGACTTACCTGACCTTCCTCATTGACAACTACGACCACCTTCCAGCCGCTGGCATGGTCTTTATCCACGGTTCCCGCTGGGCGTGGCACAACGACGACCCCAACTACGACAACGCCGCCCTCCTTGCCGCCCTTAACGTCCCCGCCGCCCTAGAACCCTCCGGGTACCACAATCTGCGGTGTGACTGGAGCGTCAGCACCTGTCCCTCGTCGGTTGCGCCCCAGGGTAGCCTGCAGAACTCGTTCCAGGCGGTCATCGAGCCGTGGAGCGCGCGCACTGCCTCTGACAAGGCCCTTCCCGTCACCCTGGCCACGCTATTCGGTGGGGGGGACTCCCTGCCCGTCCAGCTGGACCGTACGAATACCCTCCGATCGCAGTGCTGCGCGCAGTTTGTGGTCTCCCGGGAGAGTGTGTGGCAGCATTCACAGGATGAGTATGTCGGTCTGCGGCAGTGGCTGCTGGACGGGGGGGGCGACCGTCCATTCGTCAGGGGTGCGGCGCCGCGCGACGACCGGGTCGCTGGCCGCATCCTATCCTACCTATGGCACGTTCTGTTTATCGCTCATGAAGGCTCCGAGTCGGCGGGTATCGACTTGGAGCGCCTCAACCAGCAGGCGTGTCCGCGGGCCGACGAGTGCTATTGTCGGTTGTATGGACGGTGTGGGTTGCAGAACTGCAACAGTCCTGGCAGTTGTCGTGGGCAGTACAGCCTGCCGAAGAATTTGAAACTCCCGGACGACTGGGGGATGACGCATTGATCACGACTGCTTTGTATAAATAGAGCATCTGTATATAGTTTTATGATTCATGACCAATGACTTGGACAGAGTAAAGATTACTTTTTGAATGGTGTGTTGCTCTCATCGGTTTGTGGTATGTTCTTGTAGATCTTGCCTTCCCACCAATATATATATCCGGCAGTCTGTTTGATTTTTCGATCTCACGAGCTCGCCCTTTGACTTCAAAAAGCAAATGTATTTTGAGTATGTAATTAAATTATAAATTATAACTCAATTTCTTCAATGCAATAATATTAACCAAAATATGGATTAATTTCAAAACAAGAGTAGACTTCTCTTTAGTGATTGATCTTTTGTAACTACTTCATTTTTTTGAGAGGTACAATAGTAGTAGGTGGTGAATAATGTAAATGCATAACGCTGTGTATAAGACATACCAACAGTGCATGTCACGTGTGAGGACCCGCAACATCCTGCCTCAGGCTGCAGACTGTGACGCCCGAAGCATGGTTTCTCATGCCCTAACATATATTCCATTACTTGTTGACCACACAAATCTTCACGAAGTAGGTCCAGCTAGCCTTGATTCAAATGGGTAATTGGAGGTTGATTGGCCAGAATACAGCCATTGCCATTCCACAGGCCACATAATGGTTAAGCGGCAGGACACTTTCATGTCGTGAGTATTTTATTATGCCTCTGGATGGGTTACAATTGCACGACCTGCCTCATGCTATAAAAATGCAGCTTTCACTGATATGGTCTTACACATATGCTCTGACTCATGAAGTAGATTGAATTGTCCTTCACCTGAAGTACTGGACCGTTTAGACAAGGACCTGTGACATCCGCGGCCCGCGGCCCCACAACCGAGGATCAACGGTTCGGGCAGACTACGGACTAGGCTCGGTTGATGGTCAGATAATGGCTAGAGTTTAGGTACCAGCTTAGGATATCGTGTGAATCTCTCGATGCGATAACCGAATGGAGAAACCGAGTCAGGTCAGATACCAATAGTGGATACACTGTCGACGATGGGTAGAGTGGGCACAGGTATGATGACATACCTAAAGTCGACAGCGAGTCGGCAGGCCGTAACCACACCCCTGTAAACCATGCAAGTCCCGCTGGGCTTAACGTGCGGGGAAGCTGGACCCATGGCTTATTTGCATGCCGCTTTGTATCACAGACGCTGTTTGCTGCGGATCTCTGGGCCAACAACAGCCACTGCACCCCTCCAGACCTACCTTTTCAGACCTATTCTTTCAACCCTGGCCCCTCCTCAATCATCAACATCTTCACAATGGAGGCCTATACCTCTATTCCAGAGGTGGACTTGACTTATAAAACCCTGCAGACAACCTTCCGCAGCGGGCGTACCAAGGAGCTGGCCTGGCGGAAGTGGCAGCTGAAGCAGGTCTGGTGGCTCGTGGAAGACAACCAGCAACGCATCATCGATGCCCTCAACAAAGATATGAATCGTCACGCCTTCGAGACTACCTTCGCTGACTGCATGACCGTCAAGACCGACGTGGTTGACCACCTTAAGAACATCGACAAGTGGGCTGCAGATCAGCCTGTCGATGCTAATATGGTTATGAAAGCGTTGCTGCGGCCTTGTGTGAGGCCTGAGCCTCTTGGCGTCGCCCTCATCATAGGGCCGTGGAACTTCCCCGTCTCCCTGGTCCTGCAGCCCATGGTTGCTGCTATTGCTGCTGGATGTGCTGTTCTCATCAAACCCTCCGAGATTACCCTCGCCTGTCAGGCGCTGCTGGTCGAGCTGATACCCAAGTATATGGATCCCTCCGCGGTCCGGATCGTGACGGGGGGTCCCACAGAGACAACTGCACTGCTGGAACGCAAATTCGACCACATCTTCTTCACAGGGTCTGTCGGCGTTGCTCGTCATGTCGCCCGCGCTGCAGCCAAACACCTCACTCCCACTGTTCTCGAACTAGGTGGCCAGTGCCCGGCCATCGTGACCAAATCCGCAGACGTGGATGCTGCCGCTCGCGATATTGCCTGGGCCAAGTACCTCAACTCTGGGCAGATCTGTCTGTCTGTTAATCATGTGTTTGCCCATCCGGATATACAGGCAAAGCTCATCGAGCGGATGGCGTTCTACTTCGCTGAGTACGCCAAAAACGGGGCGGACGAGATGACGCACATCGTCAACCAGAAGAACTATGAGCGGCTGAAGGGTCTCATAGAAAAGACTCAGGGCAAGATAGAGTGCGGAGGGACCTTGGAAGCGTCAAAGAATCGCATCGCTCCGTCAGTTGTCTCTGGCGTTACGATGAATGACTCACTTCTATCTGAGGAGTTGTTTGGAACCATCTGTCCAGTTCTGACAGCATCGACCGAGGAGGCTGTCGCCGCCATCAACGAGTATGCTATCTCCTGCACCATATTGAAACCGCACAAGTAATTGACTACCCTAGTCTACCTCGCCCGCTGGCCATCTACATATTCAGCAAGAACCAACAGGAAATCAGCCACGGTAGGATCTATTGCGCCGCCCAGTAGAAAAAGCTAACAAACCGAGTGATTTCATCTACCATTTCTGGCGGAGTCACCGTAAACGGCACCATCATCCACTCCTCTGTTCCTAGCGCCCCGTTCGGCGGGGTCGGTGACTCAGGACATGGATACTACCATGGAAAGCATGGGTTCCAGGCCTTTACCCACCTGCGCACGATTGCACGACCGGTCCCACTATTTGGCAGGCTGGTTTCTTTCCTGCGCCCGCCATATTCTGTCAATCGTATCAAGTGGATAGGCGTGCGCCAAAACCTGGGTATTCGGCGGGGTTGGACACTAGATGATGAGCGGCGTATTGCCCGCCAGGGAAATCTGCTCCGTCTACCGGTTCGATTTTTTCAAATCTTAGCCTTCATTGTGACCCTAGGGCTAGTGGACCATCAGATGGAGGGGCAGTTGGGAATCATACAGAGGCTGCAGGGCTTGACCGACTTAATTCGAAACATCTTCTAGGACTGATGTTTCTACTAGTCGACGTCAGTTTAAATATTGGCCTGTATGAACAGGAGTTACTCCTCCATTCGGTACATATAGTTGAAAGTACAATAAATTCATACATGACCAAGCCTGGGTGAACTGTTCACCCGTGAAACCCCGAGACCTACACCAGGATCATGGTTCAACCCGAGGAAAAGACATACAGAGCATGGATCTACCTAACGAAAAGATGCACAGAGCGTGGATTAACCTAAGTAGAGGATAAACTACCGAATTTAAAAAAAAAAAAAAAAAGAAAAAAATCGTAGCGACCAAAACATCATATAGGAACGGCACATCAAGACCGAAAAGACAACTCACGCCCATCACGCCAACGCCAATGTACCCCCGTTGACCTTGTACTCCCAATACAGCGTGGTATTCCCCCCGCTACTCCCACCGGTCTGACAATGCTGAACCCACTCATCCAGGTCCATATTCTTGATGAGCGTGGAGAAACGGTGGGATCGCATGAACGCACAAGCCGCCGCCATCTGCTCAACGGGCACAGAGTCGTTGTTGGAGTCGTCGCCCTTGGGGTACTCGATATGGAGTACCGGTTTCCCGGCGGCGACGAAACGCTCATAGAGGAGACAATCCCCCTTCAGCGCGCACTCCTCGTTCACAGCAAACTGGACGTTGGCCATGAGCGAGGGGAGGAGGTCGGCCGCGTTCTTGAGCCCGAATGCCATCCCGCGGCTGTGGGACTCAGTAATAAGCCACTGGACGTAATCTAGGGAATCATGCGCAGTTAGAGGAAACCCGTTGTCGTTGTCGTGGATATCCACGTTGTCCGGGTCAACGGCGTCGCATCCTTGCTCATGCGCTTTGGCGGTACGAGCACTCATCGCAGTGCGGACGATGTCAGCCCGGATGTCCAGCCATCGTTCGACATTTCGACCCCGCGACCATCTCCCAAGCTTATTGCCAAGTACCTCGTCCGGGAATTGGCCGGCATCGGGGCGCCAGCTCTCCCAGGTGCCCGCTGAAAAGTAGCACACCACCTTCTGCCGTTTGGCGTGCCGATTGTCCACTGTCTCCTTTGGGTTGTCCCATAAGTCAATGTCATATATGGGGATTTTATCGTCGTAGGTTGTCGGGGGGGAGAGAAGCACAATTTCCCAACCGATGCCAAGGGGGGGCTGCCAGATGCCCTCTGGGGTGTTGCGGACGGCGTGGGTTGAGGTGCTCAAGTCTTGATATTGTTAGTGGCCTGGGGCATCGATGGAGTTGGCAGCAGCTTATGTCATGTTGGATGAGCAACAGAATAAAACTGGCAGCTTGATACATCATGGGCTCTGAAGGAAGATAGCTTACCATACGAGTCCTCATTGATGGCGCTAGCTGGAAGTGCGAGCACAGCCTGCAAGAGAAATAAGGCGAGGAGAAGGATGGGCAGCATGATGAGTGTCCTGGTGTTGTTTGATGATATGATTAAATAGTAATGCAAAGGCTGTATTTCAAGGAAGCGATTCAAGATGTGAATGAAAGGGTCGAATGCCGTAAGAAGAAGTCAGATCAAGCTTTGAAAGGAATGAGAACAAGAGAAATAATAAAAAGTACATGTGGGAAGGTTGCTTGAATCCCTTCAAATCTGGGATCACAGACAATATGCTTCCAGTCACTAGTGAATAATTTCTTGGAAATGTCTTCTTCATTAGTCGAGGATGCATGGTACGGAATATAAACCATTTACAGCAAGTAGGAGAATACTTACAGCATGATAAAAAGATTGCACTCGAGTAGATTCAGTCTTGCAATGATATTAATAAGAGAAAAGAGATTTTACGAAGTATTTCAAGATTAGATTTGTTTTAGGTAGATGATAGACTAAACAATATACTTCACACCCAGAAAAGTGATATTCTGTTTGGCATAGCCGCAAGATATTAATTTAAAGCTTTGTATATCTTCCTCTATGCTGAAATTGTCACTGAAGTTATTATACCACTCCAGGGAGGATGGTACCAGCTGCGAGTACATTCACGCGCAGTGCGTGATACATCGGATATCCCGCAGTAGAGTTTGAAGAAAGTTTGTAACTCGAGAATTGTTACTGTTAAGCTTTTTGATTTCCCCCGATGGAAAGATATGCTAAAACCCCACCCCTCAACCCTGATACCGAGTTTGAAATCTCCAAGGAGTGGACCTGGCAATTTTTTCATTTTGAACAAACAACAGTCAGTGGTAATTTAGTAGTACAAGGGAAAGTGCCAGAGTGAACAGGGAGTATATATCTATCGTAGTGTTGCTGGGTAGGGCATGTATGGGTTGATATAGTTTCAATTAAAGTATGTACTGAGATAAATCACTTGCCCAATTCTATACAGTAGCACGTGTCCTACCCTATATACGCCATGCAGCCAGTGATGTTCCCATAAAAACAAGATACCTTCTAAATTATAAGCCCATCAACCAATCGAGCAAAAGTCTCAGCCCACGAATTCCCGCCCCCTCCGCTTCCCAGACCCGCAACCGCTCGATAACTACCCTCACACATGTTGCCCACTCATCTGGCAAACTGACATTCTCCATACCCACCACACCCTGCCGTTTTGCCCTCCAAGCAGCAATCAGACAGAGAGCGTGGTTGAAACGAACCCGACACGCTCCCCACGACCCCGGATGTCGAAAGAACGGTAGCTCAGTCTCAATTCGGTACACTGATAGCTGCAGAGCCTCGCTTGCCTTTTTCCCAATGGGACCGAGCAAATCTTGGTCAAGCGGTACATGGATGCAGAGATATAAGTACGCACGGCAGAGGAGTTCGCGGACTTCGACGTAGCGCTCACGCGCCAGCTTCACCAGTTCAGGTTCGTGGCTGGGGGGCTTTACAAGAAGGGGTTTGTTGAAGTATAATGCGGGAGGCAGACAATCGACCCATTGCTGGAGCTGGTATTCCAGGTCGTGCAGTGTGTCTGATAGTTGGAGAATTCCTGACCGGCTAATAGGGGGACTCAGGACAGTAACTGCGTGGCGCACACGATTTAGAAGTCGACGGAGGGAAATTTCCGCTAAGTAGTAGTATGAGGATAACGTCTCATGGTCCGGTGGCCCTGGGGAGGCGGCGTCGTGGTTGGGAAAATTGGGCAATGAGAACGGGTAGTCCGTCAGGGATAGATCGCAAGGTGGAAGATCGGTCAATTCGTAACGAATTTCGCTGCGAGTCGTGTTAAAGAGTGGATGGTTGGAGGTCGACAGATTTTTACCATTCGGATTTGAGACAGGTCCAGTATAGCCGTTGCTCCAAACCTGGTTCATGTCAATATCTGTGTAGATAGTAGCGGAAAGGTTTAGGACGCTTACTTTCTTCTTGTTCGGATCTGGCAATGGACCCATCACGATGCCTCAAGTGATAAGTCTGCCACAACATCGACGCCGTGCGAAATGCTTTCCATCCTGCAATAGGTTCGATGTTGTATTGATACCACATTCTATCAATGTCTTGTTAGATGCTGGGAAACGACTTGATGCAGAGGCTTACCCAAAAAGACAGAAGCACTGGATTCCCACGACTGACCCGTCCAGATACGCTGATGACATTCGTTTTTGTGCCATTGAGAAGAAGTCCATGGATTCTTTCATGCGGTGTTTTGGCACTTCCAGCGTTAGGTGTCCAGAGGTCGCCTCTCGCGCGTCAGGCTCCGGATAGTTTCCCCATATCGCAGCTAGAGCGAAGACCAGAAGGACCAAGCAGGAAGATACAGACCAGTCAAAGCCGCTTTCCAGTACACGCGCAATACACTCATCCAACTGATCGGCATCAACAATGGGATTCTTGGTGCGGATCCGGGTCATGAATATCAGGCGCAATTCGCAGATGCGATGGGGAGTAACCTTTGGGATATCTACATGGTTTTGATGTTAGCAACAAAAAAGAACTTAAATGTAATGCGTACCTGGGTGATATTGATCATCCTTCTCCGCAAATGCAGTTGGTGGAAATGTGGGTACAGGCTTCTCCGGGGGGAATATTGGCCAGTTTAGGATCATGTCCGATCCTGTGATGGGTGTTTTCAAAGTGTCATTTCTCGATATTGATTCCGGACTCTCGCTGTCCCAGGGTGTTAATGACCGCAGGTGGTCTTCGAGACGACGCTCCTGGCGCTCAAAAGCTTTTAGAATCTTGGAACCCCATGTCTCTATGCTATCCGAGGGTCAGCAACTCAGATTTGACCATGTGCCCAGCACTCTAATCATAGGTCTTACACCGATAGAGGATCCGTCTCTGGATACACACAGGGAACTCCTCGCTTGGTACATTTATCGCACACCGGCCGCGCCGAGTCACATCGAGTCTTACTGAGCCGACAAGCCTCGCACGCCGTCAGCACGCGGGTATGTCTTTTTGTTCCGGACAAGGTGTCCATCATGAGGGTTAGACCTTCGGGAGACCAGATTGTGCGGGGAAAGGATGTGCTCGTTTTTGGTCCCGTGAAATGTGGCTTGGAGACTACGCGCTATTCCACCAATCACCAACCTTGACTTCGCTCCTCGGATTTGAAATTTCTGTGGCCAAGTTTGGGATTTTGAGAAGATTCCAGAAACATTACAATCAAAGCCCTTTCCAATACCTTGTCTGACTCAGAACAAACTTGCCCTTGGAAACGATCTCTTGACTCGAAACTCCGACCAACAACTCATACTCCCCTGCCTCACTCTTCCACTTGCCTTCAATATCGTCCCAAAAACTAGTGGCGTAGGGGTCAATTGTGATATCGACGGCACGCTCTTCACCCGGCTGGAGGAACGTCTTCTGGAACCCGTGCAACTCCTTATCCGGCCGCCCTGTCTCGGGCTGTGGCGCCGCCACGTAAACCTGAAGAACCTCGGAACCAGGAGCATGGCCAGTGTTTCTGATGGAGACTCGCGCCGCAGCTGGCAGGCTGGTAAGACGCGACACTGGGCCCACCTCGACGGTTGGAGATACCTCGAATGTGGTATAGGAAAGCCCATGCCCGAAGGGGAAAAGAGGAGAGCATCGAGTCTTGTCATAGAAGCGATAGCCAACGTAGATATCTTCCCCGTAGAGGACTCGCCCTCCGACACTTCCAAAATTTAGATAGGTTGGATTATGTCTGACATCTGATGGCCACGAGAGAGGTAACTTTCCACTGGGGCTGACATTACCGAAAAGGATATCTGCCACGCCATGTCCAGTTTCGTTTCCCCCGTACCAGGCTTGTAAAATCGCTTGGGCTTGCGGCTCCCACGGCATAGTGACGGGCGTCCCGGAATGATTGACAATGACAGTTTTATTCTTCGCCACAGCAAGTATACTGGAGATGAGTTTGTCCACCCCCGGGGGAAGATCCATGGATGCCCGATCGAATCCCTCTGATTCCCAGTCCGGGTTCAACCCAGTACAGACGATTGCATAATCCGCTTCACTGGCGGCCTTCACAGCAGAATTAAGCATATCATCGGGGGTCAACCGCAGTGAGGCTCCCAGATTGGCTGCACCGCCGCCGAAGTTCACCATTCCCACGGTCTTCATTGTTGTAGTGTTGGCAGAACCGAATTCCAGTCGTATTTTGTAGGATCGCCCATCTTCAAGCATCTTGGATCCACGCTCCTCAACGGTGCCTTTGCCAAAGAACGACGTTCCTTTCGTCTGTTGGCTGGTATTGTCTATAACCAACTCATCGTCCAGATAGAGATTCGCTGTTCCAAACACACTCAGCCCGAAGTCCCAGATTCCCGTCGCGTCAGGGGTGAAATCGCCCACTAATGTCGCCCAAAAGCACTCGCGATTCAGGCCTGGGGCGCGGAAATCCATAAATTGAAAACCGGTGGTGCTGACCGGCTCTATGTGGAGACATTCGCGTCCGACATCCGACACGGGAGAATTGTAAAAATTGATGACCGCATTGCTGAGCAACCTCTCAATAACCGGCATCATCTTGTGTGCATATGCGCCGGTTTCGCAGATGATCTTTGCGTTGGGAACGGCTTCTCGTACAGCTTCGTACAGTGACACGGCATAGTACGGGCGAAGGGAGGCACTGCCTCCACCCGATATAGACGGCGCCATGACGTGCGATCCGATCAGGGCGATGGTCTGCGCATCTTTCTTCAAAGGCAGAAGACCATTATCATTCTTCAACAGTACTATTCCACTGGCGCACACGTCGCGATTCAATGCCCGATCCTCAGGGTAGTCCCTTCCCTTCTCGACTTTCGACACATCGACCTCTGACATGCATTTCACGAACGACAAGACCCTGCGCGCACGCTCGTCTACCGTCGAAGCCTTTACCAATCGGGCCTGTAAAGCCGACTCAAGGTATCGTCCGCGGTACCTCGACACCCCGGGCATCTCTAGATCCATTCCCGCATTCAGGGAATCCACGGTGGAGTAGGTGCCATACCAGTCGCTGATGATCAGAGGATCCCATTCCCACTCAGTTCGCAACAGTCCATTCAACATCTTCTCATTCTCCACTACGTGCTTCCCGTTAATCTTGTTATAACTTGTCATGAGTGCCCCTGGCCTCGCATCGCGGGCGACGATCTGAAATGGCTTCAGATAAATCTCTCTCAAGGCCCGCGGGGTGACCAGAACATCCACAGCCCGTCTCTCATGCTCCTGGTCATTGCACACAAAATGTTTCACGGCAGACACGATTCCCTTGCTCTCGCATCCTCGGATCATCGCTGAGGCAATAATGCCGCTGAGATGTGGGTCTTCGGAAAAGGACTCGAACCCCCGACCACCCAGCGGAGATCGAGGGATGTTGACTGTGGGTCCCAGCCAGCAATGTGCGCCCTTCGAGATGCATTCGTTGGCTAGGAGGACTCCAGCCCTCTCGAGGAGAGGGGCATCCCATGTCGCGGCCAGTGCCGTTCCGCAGGGGAGACAAGCCGCTGGGACACCGGCAAAGAATTTGGTCCCGCGGATTCCATTGGGGCCATCAGTGAGACGAATTGGTGGGACCTGGTGTGAGGGGATAGAGTGCGTATGCCAAAAATCAGCTCCTGTATTATGGGTCAGGGATCGCACAAAATGGCGGGGCTAGAGGACAAGTACCCGAGAGAAGGGCAATCTTGTCTTGCTCAGTCAATTGGGAGAGGACGGTTTCGACATCGAATGGCATGGTTGACTTAGGGGACACAATGGATCTGTAAAAATGTACTGTATCAGTCAATGCCCTTCGACAGCTGCGAACCGCTCACTTATGTCTCATATTTATAGTGTGGGCACCCTACGTCGAGGTCACTCCGGCGACATTTCAGAACAGCAACGGGGAGACTCCCCGACCCCACCCTGGCAGCGTGCATGGCCCATCCTAGCTGAACTTTCGGTAAGACGGGCCTGCTGCAGTTCAATCACGTATCAGGCCTATTCATTGCATGAAAGAAACCATTACATCTACTAGTGAATGGAGTGTACTGGGTAGTATTTTTCTGGTCGCGGGGCTAGCTGCTAAGTCTCATTGCCATCAATGTCCTGTCCACTACTATGATCACATATCCCCCGACTTCGATAGCAGAACTTCTCGTATGTCTTTACACTACATTCCTCTCCTCACGAACCTCGGTATGTGTTACACTCGGTTTATGTTCAGTCCCATGCTCGACCTCTTTGCGGACGACCGCAGCAATTTCATCGGCCTTGTCTCGGTTCTCGAACACTGGGTTTTGGTTAACAACGTTGTCGTAGTACAGCGAGAGAAAATGTCTAATGACTCACAGAATGACAGCTCCTCCAAGGTTCTGCCCGATGTTTCGGGGAAGAAAAGGTATATGAATACCACTTCGAACACCAACCAACAACAATACACCAACAGCCACTTCCAGGCAACTCGCTCTAGCCCGATTGGATTGACGTAGGTGGCAAAGAAAGTAGCTCCACGGCCGAAGAATTGGAACCAGGAGATTCCGCGCGACCTACCAAAGTATGGGAATATTTCGATAAGGTAGGCTGTGGTTTGAACTGTCAGCGAAAACTAGGTAATCGATGTGATGGATGGATGACAAGTGGACAACGAACTATATGTGAGTGCGTTATATCCCAGGTTATACGCGGGTGAGTATAGAAAGATGAAGAGAATTGTCAAAACCGCAGCGGCCTTGACTTGAGTAGTCAAGAAGCGTTCCATCGAGATGGTCCAGGCAATATAGACGCAGAGTAGGGACACAGCGGACGTGAGATACATCGTCCGACGCTTAAGACGGGGGGCAAAAATGGCCAAGGTTGTACCATTGACAAGAGACCAGCAAGCGGTACCAATATTGATCTTCGACTTGACCACGCTGTCCTTGACGTTGACCATGTCGAGGAGGTCGCTCAGGTAGTACCTATGCTCTTTGTCAGCCTAGTCACTTCACTCTAGTATTTTCCCTGTCGCCTTTGGCGATCCATAGGGCGATTGATTGAAAAAGTAGCATACGATGTCAGCGTGTTTCCCGACCACTGCGTGAATAGTCCCAGAAATGCAGTAATAAACAAACGACGCCGCATTCCCGCCGTTCCAAACATATCGCCCCATGTCTGTTTTGCGTCTTGGAGTTCAATTTGGATTGTTCGCTCGATCTGCGCCATCTCTGCTTTGACAAACACTGAATCTCGGTCTCCCTCGGCATGGTACTTCGTCAAGATATCAAAGGCTTCTTCCCGACGGTCGCGGCTTATCAGGTACCTGGGGCTTTCCGGAAGAAAGCTACAAAACAGCGTCAGTGGACATGGCGGAAATAGAAGGTGAAGGGATAATACAGGATGGTACTGATCTGCACCATGGCCGGAGCAATTTGCAACAACGACGGAATCCTCCAAGCCCAGTCAGACGGGATAGTCACGGTTCCCAGACCAACAGCGGCAGCTACAATCTGGCCGATAAAGTATGATGAGTTGAACAAAGAGGTTAGAATAGGTCTTTCCTTTGGATGGCCCAGCTCTCCAATCAGGGCGGATCCGGCGACAATGCAGAATGGAATGCCGAATCCGAGCAGGATACGCGCCACCACATACATCGCAGCTAGACGGTCTTAGTACGTGCAATCGAAAACACTGGGACCAGGTAACCATACTCCCATTTGAGAAACCCTGAATCAATGCACCGACCAGACTGATGCTGGAGCCGAACATAACCGTCCATCGCCGACCGAACTTTTGGTTTACCCATGGAACAAAAGGAAGTGAACAGACAGCACCGAGAGAGTACGCGGCGGCCAAAAAGCCTTTGAGATTCGCTTCAATCTCGTAGACCGGGACACCGTTTTCGACTTCGCCAGTTGGCTTTCCGAAGACTGCATGATTTAGTTAAGGTCGACGTTGGAAAACTCAAGGGTGGGCTACATTTCTGCCAGGTGCCAACGATCTGAACGGTGTTAATGATCTGGGAGTCGAAGCCAGAAGTGATCTCAATCCCCATGCAAGCGGGAAACATGAGAAAATACAATGCCCGGAGGTTGGGTTTTCGATACCACGGGGTACGATCATTGGCGAGTAAGGACTCGAGAACAGGCTCGGAGACGTTCTCTCCTCGTGACTTGGCGATTGCGACCATATTGTTCAAGGATGGCTCTCGTGGTGCTCATCTGAAAGCAAGACCCGAGAAGTAGTCTCGCCGCCGGAGTGTATGGGCGATAAATATACCTCGACGGCGCTCATGATTGCATTGACCATTGTTGCAGAATATCAGCCCGGGCAGAGGCTGGCTCTGTGAACTCGAGCCGCCACCATCACAGGATTCTACCCCGCAATAAGGCCGCCACAATATAACTGACGACGTGAAGATTGAACACACGCGGTGCAAGAAGTGAATTCCTCTTCCGTGTCAAGCTTAGCGTAGTGGCAGCTACATGGGGAGATTCCCCGGCGACATTATAACGTTTGTCGCGTATTATTTAGGTGTCTGCCCCCGCATATATTGATATCGGCTGAATCGACCAATTTACCCAGACCAATAGATGCATCGGGGAGATTCCCCGGTTGGTCAGATGCGAGCTCTTGTGGGGCCTTCCCATCAATGAAACCTGTGACAATCGTCAGTCACAACGGGTTTCCAATTGAGGGCAATACAGGGCCTGGGCTATCTGGTGATATATCCAACATATCTCAATGACCGAGCAATATCTATAAGAAAGTTGACACTTTCTCTTCCATGATCTATACAATCTGCTGCCCTGATGCTTCTAGACCAATGCTATCCGGGTATAGGCAAAGCGCACATTTAGGGTCATGCGATATCCACTACACTGTGACGATCCATGCGGACTTTGTCTTTCTTTCCCCAAATATGGTCATATTTATTCGGCTTGAATTTCCAAAAGTTGCGATCGAGCACGATAGTCACCATAACCAGACCTTTCTCCACTAAAGCCCCTGAAAGAGGCTGCATAATTATGTTAGGCATGGATAGCATCGTAGTACAAAATCAACAGCCACGAGCGCGCTCTCAAGCTATAATATGTAGTACATCGTTGACCAGCGCTCGTCACCATAACGCTATGTGTCCTGTAGACCTGGGCCTGAGACACCCATATCACTGGGTGAGTACTATCCATGACTATACACTTGAAGTCGACTCATTTTACCTCTCTCATGGAAACGTTTGTTTTCTGGATTAATTCCCTAGCCCTTGCATGCGATAGTCGCAGAAATCGGGGTTCGCACTTGTTTGAAGCTTCCTGGACATTAAATTCGGACGGAATTAGATAATGTCTATTGCCTGTTTACTTCACAGATGTGATTGATAACTTCCTTTCGGAGCCTGTAGTAAGAAAACAGCAAACACATTGTTGGGGACCTGTCCTGTGCCTTCAGTATAAATGAGATAAATACTCCATCCACCGCACGTTTGTAACCGGTGCGCTGTCGTTGGTATGCCCTAGAAGGCCTCGAGATGATGGACGACCAATTTGCCTAGGATGCCAACCATGTGAGCATTGTCCTGCTAGATATGTGAGGAATGTAGAAAAAATATATAAAGAAAACAGAAAAGAAAAGAAAAAATGGTCTAGGGAGCCTGTTTTCTTTTTGGACAATGTGACTTCTAAGGGGTGTGTCTTCATTGAGAAAGTGCTATAAACTTACTTTGTTTGGAAAGGTCCGTCGCTAACTGGGATTTCTCCAGTCTTAAAGCGAAGGTATAATTGTCTGCCAACAAAGTAGGATTATCAAATCCATTGTAATGTTAAATTTCATTGGCTATGAATCCAGCCACAGGATACTGGCACCTGTTGTGCTGACATGGGACACCGTACCCTTTATTTTGCGATATTTCCCAAAAGGCAGAACAATGATAATCGATCTAACAATGACCATGGTCTGTATGAACTCAAAAAGACGCCTGGCGTATTTACCTGAAGACCAAACAATGCTTTGTTTAGTCGGTAGTATATAATATTCGTTGTCGGTATGCCGTGAGAAACACTAGTACTCCGAAAAATTCCAGTGACGTCTACAGCCTATAACACCATCTGCTAACAAAGCTACGACCCAGAACTATGTTCTCCTACATCACTATTTGGGAAGAGGGCACCGATCCTGCTACTATGTTTCCCAAGTCCGATAGGTTGACACACCCTAATGTCATTGCCCAGTACTCTGACGATTCAATCCGGTACTTGCTCATACCCGGGGTGGATCATCCGGTGGCAAATCAACTGTCTTTGATGGCATTTATAGAAAACGCCATCACTGCGGAAATTTACAGAACCATCCCACCCAAGGGATCGACGGAAACGGTGGCTGCCCTGACATTTGTTCGAGAGATGTCTCCTGCGCTGACAGGTGGTGTGTGGATACGGTTCCACATCCCACATTTGGTCTGTGCCATGGAAAATGGAGGCATTTTGGGGTGGGCACAAAGCGACATCAGGCATCGGATCCAGCAGATCAAGGACGGAGTATGTATGATATAGGATGTGTAGGTGTTACAAAAAAGTGGCAATCTGGCAAGTATTAGTGTAAGTGTGTCGTATTTTCATAGTGTTAGTAGGTTGCGTGAAGTGTGATTGCGTTTTTAGCTTGTAAAGCAACCTAGGGGCTCTGTTTGGTTTGAAATCGGTATTATGCTACTCGTGTGTTTGAACGACCGTAGTAAGGAGTAGGGAACGGATTGATATCAGACGGTGCACGCCCGAGGCGATGTACATCATAAATCTTGAACCATCAGAAATTTGCGGGTACTAAAAAGGTAAAACAATGCCTTTGTAGGCATTTTGGGAGGAAATTCCTCTTCGCTCTCGCAGGAGCTGTTGTGGAGACTGGCCAACGTAATAGGGAGCAGCTCTAAAAGTGACGTAAAGCGGAACAATAATAACCCATCGTGGTCTCTACATCCGCAGCTTTTAGTTTCCGGCCGGTGCGAACTGAACATATTCTGATTAGCGCGTCTTTGCTTGCCGGTTGATGACTCTAGCCCCTTGCATCATGGAGCTATCCGGGCTTTATACTGAGCTCAATGCATCGCCAAAACTACTTCCAGGCTGCTGCTTGGCTATTTCCAACACGTTACTCACTCACATGACCTCAATCCTCCCCAAACAACCCGCGTTCACCATCTCAGTCGGTAGTGGATCCGGCCTACTCGAAGCGCTTGTAACGTATGCCCATCCGGAAGTATCCGTAGAGGGCGTGGAGGTTGAATCATCCATCAATCGGTATATTGCGGAAGAGCGGATGCATGTTGTCAACGGGGGTTGGGGCGTCTTTCCGGGCGCGCAGCATGCTGCAGCCTGGATGTTTGTTTACCCACGCGACCCGAAATTAATATCAAGGTACATTCATATGTATGGTGATCAAACCGTCGAGATGATACTGTGGCTCGGGCCGCGTGCAGACTGGGCAGATTATGAACCATTCTTCTCTCAATCTTCGTTTTTCGATTTGAGCTTCCCAGTGGATGTTGGACTGGCACCGTATGAATTCCTGGTTATTGCTACACGGGGTGACCATGAGAGAACATAAAGCCTACAACAAACAGTTCGCGGTGATCAGTCTTGGCATAACGATCTATATCCATATATATGTTTCCTCGGCTCTCGAGTCCTGATACTCGGCTCGATGCCATGGGATGACCTGCCTGGTTTTCCTTGATCAGGCTCGGGGACGACGACATTCAGCTACCCATCACCCACAACATTTCAACACCAAGGACGGCCTACTACATGAATCACCTCTTGGCTCTCAACAACGTTTGAACTCCGGAAGCTGCTCATTGAGAATTTTGTTCAACTTCCCTTAGTGATAAGGGCTGCGCGGGGGGAAGATGGGCATGATAGGAAGGCAAAAGATGCACCATAAAGAGAAGACAATGCTTACTACCAGCTACAACATGGTGTCATTGGTTCTTGCGCAGAGTCTTTTGATACAAAGTCGCCAGTCAGTGTGCTGGCTAGCATTTATTGCTTCTGCTTTTGATTAATGTGAACAGACCTGGAACCACAAATTAAGTCTCCTTAAAATTGCGTAAAAGTATCAACAACCTGGGATATCACAGAGTGAAGCTGGATTTCGTCATAATCTTCTTCAGGTGACGGTGGGATGGGAAGTCCGAGTCCAAGCGGGGGAAATTTATACCAACTGCCAGCAGAGTTTCTGCGAACTCCTCTAGCTGTGTTTGATATTTAATGGACCTAAATCACCGTTTACAAGAAGAATCCAGAGTTTGGAACGACATTTGGTGCGCCCAGAGTTGGAGCTTTAGCGAAACCAACTACTTATAGAAACACACGTCTGTTGTCTATGTGAATTACGTCTGAGGGGTCAGACTGGCCTTGTACATATATCATTGGATTCGGCCCTCCGCTTCGGCGTATTAGGTACACCCAGGATTTGAAACAAAGAGCGAAGGTGCAGTAAAGCCAGTGATATTGCGGAGCAGGACCGTGCATCGGCCCCAAAAAGCCATCGCATTTTACCACAAGCCCAAGGTCTTGCGATGTGGGGGTTTCGTCCTCGTCAAGTCATGTAGTGATTCTGTATGTCGAGAGAAAGACGTATCTGAGAGGTGATGACCTCATGTATTGATGGGTTGCCCCTTATGAGAGTAGCCGGGACCTTCAACTAGGTACCATGCTGAGGACACTAGAAAGGTGACTAGCTGATAGGATTTTCAAAAATTCGTTCTTATGGAAGGGGTAACGTTTCTGGGTTATTTTCTAGGGACATCGTCCACCATGTTTTGAGCTCGCAATTGGCGAGCTGCTTTCATTATGCGAGAGGGAGACCGGGTTGTCGGTTTATAGAGCCACAAATCAAGACGCACCGCGGGGCTAGAGATAATAGCCTGTGTGCCACCAAATATCAAACAGTGTAGCTGAGTCACTGGTAAGGGTTCAAAAACAGCATCGCAGGCATGTTGGTTGAACTGTATAGTTAGCCCAGCCTATTAGCAACAACGAAGCGATCAACCTCGGGAGAATTGCTGCAACTGACATTACCATTCCAATACAACTGCTCGGAAGCATCGCGTATGTCGCTATTGAATGAATTCACTGGTAGGGATACTAAATTGGTATCCTCTCTTCGAGACAGAGGTGTGCACTGTGCCGCTGATAGATTCGAAGTTGGACAGTGGCCGCGATCCCCCACGGTCAACATTATGCAGGGCCGTGTCAGGTCTAGATGTTAATACAATTGTAGTGAGTGTACAAAAAGTAATTAATAGTGGTGGTCAATGATATGAGAAATCCGGGGTTCCCTGTCCAGCGTGGCCGAGGGAGGGAGCAAAGCGATCACGGCGGTGGGAATAACTTTGCAACCCATCTTTCCCACCCACACTTTCCTGTCCTGTTTGGTAAAGTGCTAGGATAAGGTGACATACATCCGAATAATCGACTTCTACTTAATCCCACTGGAGGGGAAATCACTGCCACTGCAACAAAAAACAGAATCGGTATTTGGTTAGGCTGGATATGTTGATACCTCCATTGGGAGAATGGGGATATATGTTTTCCATGTCAAGCAGGAGACCAAGATAACAAATCACGCACGGCATATACAACACGCAAAAAGTCATGTCGAGATGTCATTGCCGGCGCGCTGCCAGACGTATCGTTCGGCAGTAGGCATTCATCACAAATAGTCCGAGTGGCATGCATAGTCATATTTCCGTGGCAGGGCCATGAAGACGGTAGATATAACCTTGTTTGTCTCACATTGACTTGATGTGGCTGTATGGGTTTCAGAATGGTCCAGCAGTGCCAGTGGAATTGTTCCCTTCAGAAACCCAAGCATTAAACGCTTGGGAAGGGAAGTGTGGGAGAACTAATGAGAATGGTCGAAATATTGATAAAATCGATGACTTAATGAACTCAATAAACCAAATGAGCAGTTTATGTAGGAAAACATTGCAAGTCAGTGGATGTTAGCCCATTACATGTCTCACTCTCCCACAGTAAATACCTCAAGATGACAATCCAAGTGACTTGTTGCCAACTCAAGGGTTTCTTGACTCATGTCAGGGATCCCCTGTAAACGAAAAGAACGACAATAACAACTTAATAAAGATCAAATTGAGAGCAAATGAGATAACAGTAGACCACAAATTTGATCATGTCAGCTTTGGACGGTGTACCAAGAACACCCCACTCTTGTCATGTTTCCGTGGATTTGGTGGCGCTTGATACTCAAAGCCAAGTTGTGCTAACCTTCTGCTAGAGTCGATCGCCCCTTGCGACTGACAGTGTTGCATCTGCTGAAGCTTATGCAGTGCTATTCTCCACAAAAGCAGCCCCAGCAACGGACCCGATGGTCATGATGTCCAATGTAGTAGGCAACAGGGTATTGAAGAGCACGTAAATCCATCTGCAGGTGTAGGTCAACGAAAAAGCAGACTGTAATGAATATTGCTATGAAGCGAGTGTTGAACTCAATCGATATTAGAAGAAAAGAAAGAAAGAAAATTAAAAATCCCTAAATACAAAAGAATGATCATCAAAACTGATTACATGAATCGTCATCCAGACCCATTAGGCTGCCGAACAGGCAGCAGATTAGTACGTCGTCACTCATTATATCCCTCGCATTTCCCTCAGCAAGTATATTCGATCGCCCATCCGGTGTAGCTGTTCTGTTCGATATAGACCTCGTCATTTTTCACCAGCTCCACGCGGAGATTCCGCGCCTGCTGGCAGTCCATGCTGCCCACCACCGCCTCGTGGCCTTCCTCCAAGTCCGGCCAGAATGAGAATTCCGCCTGTCCGACTCTCTCCGCGTTCTCGCCCACACTGTACACATCCACCAGGGCGTTGCTGCCAGCCCGGAACGTCCGCTTGCTCTTTTCGGGCACGACCCATGTGAGCGTGCATTCTTTGGCTTCCTGGGGCAAGTCGAAGGCCATGGTCTGCTGCTGTTCTTCGGTCGCCGACTTCAGGATGTGAAAATTCGGGGTCGAGACGGGCGGCTTGCCCTCCTGCAGGGTTTTCATCTTGGGCTGGAAGACCTGGGTCTTCTTTCCGGGCTGGCAGGTCTCGGGTTCCTCAGGTTGTGGTTTGTTATCCGGGCACCCTTCCTTCATGGCGCAAGGGTCAACCGAGCAACAGCCTCGGAAGTCATTGATGTAGCAGACGTAGTAGGCGGTGCCGACGGGGCACTGGGTGTCGTCGCGGGCACTCAATGAGGAACCCGAGTAGGCGGGGAGAGCAGTAGCCACCGACAGGAGGCCTGCGGCTGCGGTGAGTAGAGGGAAGCGAGAAAACATTATGATTATTGTCGGAATTAATTTAATAGATAATATCGTGATTCAGGAGACGTTATCGCGTTGCGGGGGCGAGATAGGTGTGTGGAGGGATGGAGAATTGATGTCTTGAGTTGCGGACATATCCACCGTGCAAGCTGCGGTCTTATTTATGTTTCCCTAAACCGAGCCGGTATGGTCTAAATATGGGACGCAAGGCATTGCGCCCCAGTAAGGACGTCCAGCCAAGAGAACACTTCCCTTAGTGCGGCCCCAAAGTAAGATCATCGCCCTGCAGGTGGGGCGAAGCCACCGCCCAGCGAATCTCTAGGTGCCCTGTCTTAAAAGTTGGCGTTGCCAAGATGGTACTATCACACTCGCGCGTTGGGATACTGCCATTTTCGTACGGTCGGAGGTGATACCTCAACACGTCTTTCGCTCATGGCTCGTTCTCACCCCCGAGCGGGCATTAGGCAATCCATATGCGCCTCCACCACGTTCGTTCCGAGTTCCGACCCCGTATAGCAGGGCTAATCGCTCACGGGCAACAGACGTAGCCGCACTCCGATGAACGCATCAACGCGTTGGTGTCAGACCAACACATCGAGATCCCATGTCTCAAGTATTTTGGGGAAATCCCGCAGCCCGCTGTTGGGTCTTCATTGCACTAGCCAGAAATAGCGCAAACAAAAGCCGAATGTCAGATTCCGCCCTTTAATGCACGATCCTACGGTCGAATCTCCGATGACACACATGCTCGATGACTGACAAGGGATCGCCCGACGTACGTGAAATGGGATAGCGGTAGCTGTATACGCATTATCCGTATATCCGTTGGCCTGGTTCAATATATTGATAACGGCCTGATTATAAGGGGCTTTTTCATGAGCAGACAGACGGCGTCTGACGAGGCTGCACATACGAGTCGAAGTCATCTTAGCCCAGTTGTTGGGATGCATTCACCGCTTCATTCACAGTCCAGGTGGATCTGTGGCATAGCTTCTGTTTTGTTGGCTTTTCCTAAGGAAGGTTGATGGCGTTGAAACCACCAGAAGTTGTGGAGGCTTGTATGAATTGTCATCGGATATGCTAATTTGATGCCACAACGCGATAAAAATAGTCCCAGATTGGTAGTCATGTGACAGATCACGTGCAATCAGTTCTCCCAATGAATACAGTCGATCTGAGGCTACTGCTTGACTTTGGACCTCCTTGAGAGTAGTTCAAATGCACGGAGGCAAGAATGCATCCGTTCTACCAAATCCGCGTTACAACTACCACGTCAGACTCCTCACGGTTGCTGATCATATATTATGCGTTGTAACTATAATATCATCCACTAGGAACCAAGTAGAGCTACATCCAGATGGTCCGTGTTATGGATAATAAGCTGGATGCTGACCATTCAATTTGTGAACAGAGCAGAGTTGTGGCACGAAAGAATAAGGAAGGATAGTCCAGCCCCTTGGTTACGGTGCTGCCATATAGAACACTGCAGGAGACTTACAGCTCCAGCAGACCCTGTTTGAAGGCAACGGGGACGCAGCCCCGAGACACGAAAGATGTGGAGGCGAATTGAAAAGCGTGCAGCTGCCATAAGGCTGTAGACTGCATTTGATGGGTAGTAACAGTCGCACGGGCCAAGACGCTTTATAGGCTAGATCTTGGGTTTCAGGCGACCCATAATGGCCGTGCCATGATAGATTCCCAGCTCATCAAATCTATATATAGCTTTCCAAGCTTGGCAGACATTATTCAACTCGGGATACCGCATAGACATCAGAAAGGAAGCCAGAATATCTGTTCTTCGTGGACATACACCTTACAAGTCCGCGTGAGATTCATGATCCTCAGGAGAACCGCAGTAGGGGGAGTAACTTCTCAATACCAAAACTGGGTACACTGTGCTGAGCGAGGCCAGTGCACAGGGGCTGGTTCATCCCAATCCACAGCAATGCCTTTCACCTACACTCTCAATCTTCTACACTACTACAAACCCTGAGAATAGTCAACGGCCGTACTCGCATAATCACTGCATTCAAATAACAAACGAGATATTTGATATAACTAGTCAATATTTCAGTTGATTGGCAACCATTCAATAACTAACATGTCCTACAGATGTTGATATATTGAAGGAGTGATGATAATAAAATGTTTCTAGGTTTATCAATATTCAAGCGAGATATCATCTTTGTTCCATGACAATGAGATAAAGAATACTGTGATAACTCTCTGATAAACAGCAACAACTACATCACCGCGCTTGTTGATCAGGTTCATATCATTGAACCATAGTATTGGTGGAGGGGCCCCCAGATCAAGAATAGATATTACGACTCTACTCGCTAATTCATGGACTGATGAAATGCAATCTAAACAAACAACCACATTCCATCACATGACATACCCATGGGCCTAATATGAAAGCACTGGTCTAAAATACTACCATCTTTGAGAAACAAGATTACAGTATTATCTAGGATATATCTGGTGCAAGAATGTCATTGAGCAACTCAATGTGTTATGTGCAGGAAAGACCATCGGATTTCTACATCATTCCTTGAGCTCCGCCTCGATAATGCCCTGCCCATCACCCGGAGGCGACCAGAACTTCACTACTCGGAAACTGGCCAACTCCAACAGACGTGTCCACTGGGCCTGCGACCGCTCCATGCTGTTGCAGAAAATTAGCATCTCCTAGTCCCACATGGCCTGCAGCATGGCGCAGTCGCGGTCCGCCAGGACAAACTCCTCGATGATCAGCTTCGAGTAACCCGCCTGCATGGCGCCCGCCAGCTGCCGTAGAATGCGCTGGTTGTCTTCGTCGGACCAATCGTGGAGGATGAATTTCATGTAGTAGATACGGCTCCTGGTTCGCGTGATCTTTTATCCTGTGGTCTCTCTGGAAAGGTCTTGCACGTACCCTGGATTGGCTGCGGTTTGAACAGGTCGAAGGCAAATTTCTCAATCCGCGTCGCATCTACTGTACTTTCTTCGAGAATACGCAGCAAATCCTTAAGTATCAGATGTCCTTCCCCCGCAGGGAACTTAGCTGCAAATGACCCCGCCCACCGGCAACGTCCACCATGAGGACAGCGTCATCCCCTTCGGTGCAGGCGCCATCAAACAGGCGCTCCTGCACTGGAAACCACTTTAACCAACTAGACCTCGAACCTCGATCGCCCTCCATGAAGGTGTTGCAGCTTTCCATATAGTCTGGGTGTTCCGGAATCCAGTCCCAGATCACCTTGTCCGTGCGTTCGACGAACTGCAGCGCCCCGGTGGTGGCGCCCTCGGGATTGTGGAAATCAGTGCGGCGCAGGAATTCGGGAACCTTGGCAAGCATCGGCATCTCAACATCGAATATGAACTTCATCATAGCGATGCTCAACCGATCTGTCATCTGTCGGGTCATGCCCGTCGGGGCCTAGGTGCGCTCTCCGCATTCTGAGACATAGCCGATGCCAGCTAAGACACGCAAGACACGTTCTATCCGAGCCGAAGAGGGCCAGAAGCTGCCAATATATCTCCAAAGTTCGGTGAATACGTACCGGCAAGGATGGAGCTTGCTAGCCTGGTTGCTGCCAACTCGGCGAGTAGCACTGGGCGATTGCGCTCGGTAAGAGTGACAAAGATATCCATGTTAATAGCAATGCGCACACACATCGCTTGGGTTGGCTATATTGGGCCAAAACGGCCATTACTCAGGGCATGATTCCTGCATTTTTGGTGACTTAAGTTTACAGCTGGTCCTATAGATGGTTGATTGCATCGGGAGCGACGAGATCAGACATGACGGTAGTCGGTGGAGAGACGGGGAAGAGATAAATCTACAAAGTCATGGATGATAGTAAGATATAGATGAAAGGGGGCGAGTTATGATCGACGGAGATCACAGTGGGCGGCGCGGTCATTTCTGACTATTCGAGGGCCGGTTCATAGGACTTCCGGCCCTTGCCGTCCTAGCAGGCATAAAAGTACAACTTTGGCTCCCGTCCCCACCTTGGGGTCACAGGGGGGTCTGGGGTGAATACGTAGTAGACGTTTTGGACATACAACTGATCGTGTTGACGACCAGTTTAAATCAGAGTGGCGTGGAAAGTGGAGAAGTAGGTGGACGGGGGACACTGCCAGTTTATACCCGCCAGGCTTCGGTGGGTTTAGTCCACGACGCTTTACCAATGCCACTCTCATGGCGCCCCAACCCATCGCGCGGGTCTGAGCTAGGGCATGAAGGACATTCTAGGGGGACAAATCTATGACAACCGATTCGATGGATCGATTTCTGGCACCGCGCTTTAGTTGCTCTCATAATCCCCCGGTCCCTTCCCGTCATTTGCTGTGCCGCTTGGACCAATTCAGCCACTAAATTTGGACCCGTGTGTGATGTTTGTGACATAGGGTGATGACAATACGGAGTGGCATGGGGTGGCTTCCCCTATAGCCTGGAATAATGTGCCAGGGGTACTATCAGGAATGACTGGTTGTACTAGATAATTCTCTCCGCTCTCTCCGCGAAACGCTTTTAAAACCACGGTATGAATTAACTAGAAGCTTGTCGGGCGTGCCCTGGCCCTATTACCCATGATAATGAAGCCCAAAGCAGTTGCTATCACAGCTATCTCATGGTCATTTGGTAGCGTGGCTATCCTGGTCGTTGGCGTGCGCTCATATACTCGTGTCTTTGCCTTGCGCAGAGCCGCTTGGGATGATTTTTTATTGCACTGTCGTTGACTAGCGCCATAGTATGCTCCTCGCTGGCTCTCGTCAGTGTCTATTATGGTCTGGGACGGCAAATAAGCGACATTTATAACCCAGACCGGCGGATGAAGGCATTCAAATACACCGTCACTGCGCCCAATTTCTCTCTTGTCAGCACTACGGCGGGAAAGATCAGTGTCACCGTTTGCTTGCTACGTCTCATGGGCCAGGCAGCAACGGCGCCACGTCGATGGTTTCTTTGAATCCTCGTGGTTCTGTGCGATGTGTGGAATATAATGGCTATCTTCGTTATCATCGGATTTTGCCGACCGGTGGAGCGCATCTGGAATCAGAACGTGCCTGGGGAGTATTTTAGCTTGCGGTTCCAATTGACTGTGGGGTCTTCCCAGGCGGCCTTCAACGCATTCAACGATCTAGCCCTGGCCGTGTCCCCAGCCTTTATCTTCTAGCGTGTCCATCTCCGCACCAAAATGAAGATCGCCATCATCGCGGTCATGGGGGCCGGAATATTGTACGTATACTTGTTATTGCAAAAGTGGACTTGGTTGACTTTCTATCCAGAGCAGCGGCTGCCACGCTAGTCAAGTGCGTTCTTTTGAGGAATTTACCAGCTCACGCAGTTATTACCTATGAGTTGCCTGGACGGCACCAAAGAGGGTTGATAGCTGACCAAGTTAGGGTCCTGGGCTGACATCACGACCTGGTACACATAAGTCTCTCTCGCGTTGCTCTCTATTCAAACGCTGACAGTTGCTAGAATTGAGTTATTCAGATATCCCTCTTGCACTTATCTGTTATAATTGCTTGTTTACTAAATAACAGATGTACATCATCATTATCTGCGCCACATTTCCCACCCTCCGACAGTCATACATGGCCGTACTGCACCGCTCACACAAGAGCTCTGCCTATTCAGGATCCTACGATCCTCACCCATTAGAGAAGTCTATCCCCCTCATGCGTTGTCCGATTGACGCCTCGTTACTGGAGACCCGCGCCGACAGTGACCCATTCCTCGCTTTTGGCCCACATTCGAGCGAGGACCAGATAATTGCACCCAGTGCCCTAGGATGGTCAGGAATTTAAAAGACTACTGGAGTTTACATTTTCCAGGAGAGAAAGCCACCATCAAAGTGAAGTGGTGAACCATTTCCACTGGCAAATGTACCCCGTGTGCAAGGCGAAGGCCGGGTGTATATGAGGAATGACTACATCTGATATCGCACCTATCTTCGTAAATATCTCGTTCTAGAATTAAGATTTTAGATACCTGGGTCCTCGTTGGTTCTATGACACTCAAAGCGTCCATTTTGAGTAATCATTCGGTGGGTCTCTCGATTGCAATCATGTATAACAACAAAAAGTCCTTGTCGGCAACTGCGCCCTGTTGGAATGATCACATATGTACATGACCCATAATGTCACTCGCGACTTATAGTACTCATCGCAATCAAAAGATTCTGCTACCTAGGTTGACTGTCTTTGGAGTCACTGTCTTCTCAATGTGTCACATTCTGTAGGTCTCCACAAATTACTCTAGCGAGTGTATATATATAATGCAGAATTGGGGTATCATCATCCCCGCTTGATAGAAACCCACTCGCTCGCCAGACTATGGGTTGGGCTGATGGCGTGGACCATTTTTCTTTGTGGCGCTAATAGCTGCCGAAGCTATCCCAATGACCGGGGAGACCCTACAGGCCACAAAAGGTCCTAGATGCCCTCCAACTGTCCTCATTGTGACCGAAGGTAAACTTATTGCTTTGTATCATCAACAGTACCCCACAATCGGGCGCCCCTATCGATTCCAAATATTGATAGCTATTGAAGCCATTATTTGTCGCAAGTTCTAGAGGGTCTTCGGTTACCTCGAGCGTTCTGACCAGCACGCCAAGCAGGTGATAGCGTCGCTGACCATTCCGAAAGGCAAAAGACTGATAGAGGTGGACCTTGGTCGGCACAATGCGGTGACCAGGAAGCCGGCCTGGACTCTCGGGATGGTCCCGTGTCAAAGCTAGGTCATTATTATTTAAAACTTGAGGATAAATGGAGAATGTCAGCCCGCACGAAGAGAAATCGAAAATTACCCAATAATGCTAACAGATTCGATCAAAAAGACCCAAGGAGCCTTCTTGGTTGTCTTTCGTGAAAGAGCTATTCCAACTATATATTATCTCAAATGCCACTGCTCCAACTTAATGGTGCATAGGTGGACCATGCCTTGGCATTGTCACACATTGGATCAATATCAGTATGGTAAAGTCACTTCATTTAATATCAGTAGGTGTTCGACGCTGGCAAGCCATGAATAATTGGTATTCAGGCAGCCAACCAGTTCCCGTAGGTGGTCTGGCCATGTGACCTGGCCTATAACTCCTGTGACTCACCCCGCACCCCTTTTTCTTCCTCATTTCTTGCTGCCCTAGCCCTTGAATGAAAGTATCTTCACGACTCGAATTCATTGTGACTGCCAAGGGTTATTTAAACTACAGATTGTTTCCGGGAGATAAATCCTCGCTGGGGGATACCATCTCGAAGGGGATTTGGCGACCGCTCAGAGTTGATAAACCCATCACGCACGAGGCAGAAACCCAGTATTGCTCAACTCCATCGTCAATAAATGACTCAAGCCATGGTACGTCTTTTTCTAAGATTTCAGCAGATCATCCCTTACTTGGCAGTAGTTTGGGTGTAGGCTATCTCTTCATGGCCCATTGAGTTCTCTGCTGAAGGGTCCGTTTCTCAAATCTGGAGTATTTTCGGCATCTCGCATCCCAGCTACAATGGATGATCGATGGTCATCCAGAAACTATAGTGTAACGTGTAACAATTCTGAAAACCATGGGTTCACAGTCCAAGTTGAAGGCCCACACGAATGTGAAAGCAGTGACCATCAAGAGCAGCTCCTGAGGCAATTGAAAGACATCCCTCAGGACACCCATTGCCTGCGTATAACCGAGGACACGCCTTCACACATCGAGTGGAGCCTGCTTAGCAAACATTTCAGAAATATCCAGGACCTTGAGCTGCATACTGGTTTCAATGAGGAACTCACTGACGACGGTATACCGGCACACTGGCCATTGAAACGGCTTTTCATCAGTGACGCTTGTGCGGAAGTGTTTTGCAGCCCCTTCGTACTCGAAGGCAAGGTAGAGTCTCTCGTGCTATTAGGAACATCTGGGCTGCGGTTTGAAGGGCCGACTAGCAAGGAATTATATCGTACACACCAGGAGGCCATTTCCCGGGGAGAAAAAAATCCGAGATATATAACTGTCGAGGGAGGAACACCGGAGGAGAGAAAAATAGAGATAATATGGCTACCGGATCTCGTGATGGATGAAATGAACAAGAGGTATGCGGGGGCGAGAGCAACACAACTGCGGATAAGCCCAGGAAACCAAAACCTACCGTCCTTACCAAAAGAAGTACAATCGAACATCGCCAAGCTGGAAATTATTGAGAATGACGCCATTGATACATTCAACCGGATGACTATGGCCCTTCCACATGTCGTGGGAAAGCTTGCGACCCTTAACATTCGCTCTACCCACGCCTTGGACTTCCATTCTACGACTGAAAAACTTTTTATATCAACTCTTCCACAGCTCTTAGAATTGCAAACCTTAGTCCTATCGGTTGGCGAGATTTTTGAGGACGAAGACATCCTTCCAAATCTCTATGCATCGATTCCCTCTAGTATCACGACATTGCGATTCCGAGGTCCCGCGTCTCTGGTCAAATCCAACCAGTGGGACGCCTGGATGGAATCCTTTGCGTCTCCACAATTTCTGCCAAAGTTGAAACGGCTTAGTTTTGTGCTTGATCTACATTATGAAGTTCCGGGTGCAACATCCCTCCAAAAAAAACCTGCCAGGGCACCAAATGACTGGCTTGACAACGCCCAAAATGCATGCGATCAGCTGTACCAGGCTGTCACAAAGCGTGGAGTTGCTGTCGAGCATTTTCAAGATAAATGGTGTGATCGCTGGTCGTCTCTCAAACAGGTCGATGATCGATGGACGCGGCATGGATGATTTTTTAGCCTTGTAGCAGTAGGGCTCCCTGTATGTTAGAGAATCTCAACTCACGTATCTTTGCTAGCGACCTCTTCCCATCGACTCTTGCTATTACAACAAATAAGTTATATGACGGTGGTGATACCCATCTCATTGCACTGGCTCAAGGTTTTCTGTTAACTTGCCAATATTGATCCGCATTGCCATGCCACGTCAACCTAGTACCCAACGCGCTTTGGTGGACATTATGTGGAGTAGGAGCGCTTGATATTGGTTCACTCCATCGATTTTTATGTCTGCCAGGCTTCTTTTGGCCCAGGGTTGACACCCAGTTCTCTACGACGCGAGCAGATGCACTTCATTTGTTGTTTTGACTTCATATTTATCTTACAAAAAAGTAAAAGGAAGGAACGTGGAGCAAAAAGCAGGTGTATGATAGTTCAGATGTTTGGGAAATCCACACCGATGGTTCAACGGCGACGGTGCTCCCACTACCTAACGTCCCCGCGGCTACGCTATCCTCGCATGAAGTCTCAATCCCACCCCAGCATTCCCACGGCATCACGCAGTCGACACCGGTGAGCGGGAGGGACCGATTGTCCTAATTCGTCGACCCGGTGCCCTCATCAGTCATCATTAAGTCCAAGCAAGGAGAATTTGAGTTTTTCATCAGCGTGTCGAACCCCGCGTCCAGAAAAGTTGGAATCCCCGGCATTGCGGACTGGTCCCACACCTAAGGGGTCGTTGACAAGGCAGGCCCCGTGGGCAGCTTGTATATCGAAGGGGTTGTACTGTGTAGCATGGGGTCGAAATGGTTCCATGATAAATCAGATAGAACAGCGTGCATGGCCCCAATGGTGGAGACTAGGGTTGGTAGACTGACTTCCTGGAGTCATTCCCTGCGCCGAGGTTGGCTTTCTCCGGATGCTTGTATTCTGCCTTCCTTTTCCCCTGTGTTGGCGTTTGGATTCGCCCTTGGCAAGTATCTCCGCTAATTGGTGATTAGATCCAGCGGAGAATGTCAGATGAAGAATGGTCAAATCGATGCCGTAACAGAATGTACTCTCCAACATTTTTCATATCATTTAGTCGTCCTGGATAAGCGCTCAAGTCGCACTCAAGTACCCAGATCTCCCCATGGTGATATATATATGGTACATATATTCCTGGGTCGTCATTTACATCCCAAAACATTCGTTTCCTTTTGGAGACAGCAGCTCGTATTCGCCCATCCTGAAGTATTAGGTCACTATGAGCCGCGAGAGTTTTCGTTCATGACCCGACCAGTTTGAGACAGGGGCTCGGTCAACGGTCTTCCCATATACCAATTATCAAATATGGCCTTCGTGTTGTGCGGCCACTGGCGGGCACCCCCTGCAAGACCGGAGTACGCCGAAATCTGCAGGACGACAATTGACCACTAAGTGCTTATCACCACTGCCACGAATTGGCTTCTCAACTGGGCTACTGCTTACGTGACGTCCTACCTGGTCAATGAAGGACCTGGAAATAAGGCTTTCTTATCCGAGGTGGTTTTTGTTTGGTTGAAGTTTTGTGATCTACTTCTCTATTCATGTGAATGTATTTATTTTCATGTTGTTATTTAAGCTATTATTCATGTTTTATATGAAATCTTTTGTTTTACATATATCCTTATATATTGTGAGATATATATGAAATTCATGGAATTCTCATATATAATATATCGAAATATCACTTAAAAACCTGAGCTAAAAAGGTTAAATAAAGCCAACTTTAGTTTGGACTCTCTTCGGTTTTGCGATTTGGGAACATGCAATCTAACTTGCACTATTCGGGGACCTAAAACCGCTGCGGATTCTACCCCCCTGGCACTGAACTCGCTGTCATGCGGGTTCGGTGCGGTTCGGTGGGAATTTTGCAGCGCGGTAATGCCACTCTATCATCTGCATAATTTGATTAAAATGGTTACATGGAATTTTTTTTTTTTTTTTTGCCACACAGTAAACTAGCAGCAGGATTCTCAGAAAGTGGCATAATGTTTATTTTACTTTATATGCCCTTCGCCCTTTGCCTGTCATCTGTTACCTGTCATTTCGTCTTTCGTTTTACCCTCTACTCAAGGCCATGTATGACACCTTCCACGCAATTACTATGATTATAAATTTAACTGTGTTTCAACATAGAGATATATACTCAATAAGCCACTGAAATAAAGACCTCATTTTTCATTCGTTCTAATCTTATAGCATGATTTTAAGTATTTGGACACACAAGTGTATGTCTCATACAAATTAAATACGTGAATTTATGTATTTCAAATACCTAAAATCACTTTCTACATAGCTAATCATAGGTCAGTGGATATGTCATCCCGTGAACCATGCTTGTGGTTTTTCCGGCTCCGTGCCTGAACCGTGGACGGCTGGAAGCCCCTCGACGCGGGGTATTTTGACGTCAACAAGTCAATATAATAGTCCAAGCAGTCGCCAGTTGTACAATTCTGACCCCTGATCTCGTATCAACAATTTCTCACAAAATGGAGCTTGATCCGAGGATTGGTAAGTCCTCTCTTATTCTGAGATTGGGCATCTGAGTTAACCACATGGTCACTAGCGGGATATTCCACCTCAGACAAGTCGAGCTTTGCTTATACTTCTGCTCGTGATCGGTGGCCGAGCATTTTGGTAAATCTTTGTTTCCACAATATCTAACCAGAGGACAGGCTAATCAATGACATCTGGCTCAGCGAGGAGCGATTGCCGATATTTCTGTCTCGTCCGCCACCCTAAAGGATCCTGAGGCCAGCGCTGAAGCGGGGGCAATAATCGAGCAATTTCAAGAATTGGAGGCCGAGATTAAGTCAGACGGGAAATTGATGTTCGTCTATACCATTTACCTGCTCCTCTCTACTGACCACTAATGGGAATAAAGGCCACTATGGGATGATGGATCTCCGGACATTGCTGACTACAACGATGAGCTCGCTCAAAGAGATCCTACCTGGCTGAATGTGTTTTGGCTATTTGGGGAATGTTACCTGTGTACGTAGTACAATATCTTTCGCTACTGTTAATCTACTAATCTGAGACTCGTGACAGACAGAAGAATCAATACTTTTTTCTCACGTTCTTCGAAATGGAAAGGCTATGACGTCTTTGCACGGCAGAAGAAGTCTACATGCCAGTCTTCGAAAACGGCAATTGTCGAGCTGGCTAACAGGTACAAGGTCATTGTCAATAATCCTAGTCCCAAGCACAGCGAGTTGGAGGCATTTCGCTTCAAGGAAATGTGTGAAATATGTCTTTGGGGCAATGCTACTGATCTTTCCCTTCTCACGTCCCTGACATATGAGGATATCCAAAAGCTACAGGGGTCCGCGGCTAGAAAGGCTCAGGAGAAAAACATCCTTGTCAACGATATTCCCGCAGCATACGATGTTTTGAACGAAGTTCGGCGGGAAAGGGGGACTGGAGGAAGAGTGGACCTTGTACTGGATAATTCTGGCTTTGAGCTATATGTTGACCTTCTTCTGGCCGGCTTTCTTCTCTCGAGTGGACTTGCATCAAAGGTGATTCTTCATCCGAAGTCAATGCCATGGTTTGTATCGGACGTGGTGCCCGCCGATCTCACGGATCTACTCTTGGCCTTGTCTGAACCGGAAAGCTTCTTCGAGGAGCAAAATAGCAAGAATTTCCGGAATACAGAGCAGGTCCTGACCGAAAGTGAGAAAACTGAACTCAAAACCTTAGGCACGCATTGGAATGCCTTCCAAAAATCTGGAAAGTTGATCTTACAAGAAGATCCCTTCTGGACCACTGCAGGAAGCTATTGGCGATTGCCCCACAAAGCTCCTGGTCTATTTGAGGAGCTCAAAAAAAGTGACTTAGTCATTTTCAAGGGTGACTTGAATTACCGAAAGCTCACCGGTGATGTACGATTTTTCCTATTGTTACTCCGCACGGACGATTTTAAACAGCTCCAGAGGCTAACATGGTTTTTCAAGGTGAAATGGGACGCAACGACCTCATATTCCAAAGCAATAGGACCTCTCGGGCTAGGATCAGGTGTGCGTACCTTGGCCTTACGGACCTGTAAGGCCGATGTCGTAGTTGGCTTGGCCGAAAATCAAGATGAACAAGTTCAGCGTGAGCATGGTAGCGATCTAGACACCAAAGCACGTACCTGGGCATGGACTGGAAAGTGGGCGGTGGCTTCGTTCAACGATGGCAAAGCCGCATAGGGGATCATTGCATCATTGACAGGTGAAACGATGCTATAATCCACAGTTGAGTAACAAAAGGCTGCATTCGATATTTGGCCCAGGTCTCATCCATGGATTGTTATGAACGATCATGCCAGATAAAAATATGTCTCAAGGGACCGACCAGACCAAAGGAAACGTCAACAACCTCGACTCTTAATTCGAAGTAGCGGATATAGTATGATGATGATCTTGATTCTGGGAACTTATTTGGCTCTGTAGCTGAAGTAAATGGGAAAATTCCCGTAGAACGGGCGCGCAAGCAAGAGGCCATCACCTCTATCTAGGAGCAAGAAACCGCAAACCTCAATTGCCTAGCCCTTACCAGGGTGACTAGAAGTTGGTCCTTGGTAACAACGTTGACAGGGTTGAAATGGCGAGTGATGGACCGTAAAATTGTGACTCGAAGGCGATGGGAGCCGGAAAAGCCGTCTACATATGTCAAAAAATGGCGGTCGGTGGCGAACTAACGGGGTAATGAGCACGTGTAAGCTGATAGACCCTTACAAATATAGCAAACCATTGCAGAATACATAGTAAGAACTCACAATGATAGACATCTCTCACATCTTTCATCATATGCTCGATTATCTTTTTAAGCATCAGAGATTAGAGCCTGCCGAGGATCAGTTATTGAAGCGGTTGGCATTCTGTTTTCAAATCAATCGCTTACGTTCTCAGCCACTCCCAGGCCGCCCACAACATCTAATCATGGGAATTTGCTCCTCGGCTGGGCAAATATCTCGGCTCTAGCAGATAGATTTGTAGAATGATATGTCATGGTCGGCCTGCAAGCGGAAGAAGGGCTATTATGGCGGCAAAGAAAGATCTCTTGTTGCGAAATA